CACAGTCTAGAACTGACATTGAAGGGCGATTTAGGGGGAGCAATCGAGGCAATCAATCCATTAGCCAACCAGGATGACGGGGTTCGGGGGCACAAGCAGAACATCTTGATCAAGGCTCGCAAACAGCGATAGAGACTCACCTAGAACTTTGCTGAGCAATGTATCGAAGCCGGATATTGATGCCCTGGAGATTTTTGTAGATCCTGCGAAACCCAAAGGCTGGACGAAAGATGGTCACGAATCCGAATCAGTTGCGTATAGTGGTCGACACTCGAGTCGAGAGCCTGCGGGCCGAAGTGAGGTGGAGTGACCAGGCGGTGTCAACGACAAGGGAGAATCGCTCCAGGAAGGGGATATGGTAGCGTTGAGCTGATGGCCGTCGCAATGGCAATGAGAACTCGAGGGGCTGGGTAGTGATTGCAACCGGAGACTGCGCAATATGGCACAGGCAGATGAGATGGTCGAGGTTGCGGGAGGCAGGCTCGATTCGACGTAAGATTTATTTCTTGGGGCGAGGGAAGGACAGGAACGGAACTGGACGGGGACGGGCGCCCGCAACGGAGAGGACAAGAGCACACAAGAGAGTGACTCTGATGGGTTCAAGGACTGTGTGGCGAACGCTGAAGCGATTTGGAAAAGGACAGGACAGGACAGGACAGAGGGAGAGCAAGTCAGAGGATGAGGATGAGGATGAGGATGAGAATGCGGATGAGGATGAGGGGAGAGGAGGGAAAGTGATGAATGGCTTATGGCTTTTTGGTGGAGAGAGCAAAGAGAGGTATTGGTATTAGTGGTGGTTCTGGGCGCAGGCCGGTGAAAGGCACAAGCACATCAGCCCAAGGCACCACGGTGTCTAGTTAACCTTCTCACTGCTCACTCGTTTATGCGGTGACGGTGAAGCGTAGGGTTGCGTAGGGCTACTATCTGAGCACAGCGACTGCCCTATAGGCAACCTCTGCTGGATGTCTGATCCCCTTCGGCCCCCCCCCTCGGTCTCTATCAAAACGCACGAGGGCTTCGACGTCTTTTCCTTTCCGGGCACTATCCTGATCCTTTGGTTGTCGGGGACGGACAGAGTAAGCATCATGCCTGTACCGAGTATTCACACGTAGTACTTGAATTCCAGGAGGCAGGGGGCGGGGGCCGGCGAGCAATAGATTCGCTGCTAGCTCTCCTGATGGTTTTATACAGCCTACACCAACAGGATGGGCAGCTGTTTGTGATTCATGTTGCAGTCGCGGCCTACAGAGCAACAACTGATGCGCCAAGAGATGTTGCGGGCGGTAATGGGCCTCCTCTGGCCAGCATCACAGGCTCCCCTGGGCTCCCTTGGCTCCCTAAGCTTCCTGGGCGGGCCTAGTTCCGCCCACCAGCCTCACCAGCCTAGCAGCGAACAGGGCCATACACTGGGCAAGCGGCAAGCCTCGGGTTTGAATTTTGGCGCACATCCCCCGGGGCGAGGGTGAGAGGGAGCAGGAGAGGGCAGGGAGAGGGCCAGCTGGGTGGCACCGTGGCACTGTGGCACCTAAACTGCTCCACTACGCTTGCCTAAGCTGAAACCCATGTCTGAGTCTGGTTCATTGGTGCTCTGCCGCACGCGTCGCCTCTCCGCCCGCAAGTTCCTCCATGAAACTTCACCAGCTACACCAGCTACTCCGTATTCCGTACCCAGTACATTCCACCAGCTCTGCACTTTGGCCATCAGTCCTGCCCACCCTCTCGTAATTGACAATCAGTCGACCTTGTCACTCTGTTCTTCAACCGTCACTGCCTTCATTGACGCTGCTCCAGTCTTTGCAGCGGCCCACCTTTACGCTGACAAGGCCTGGAGCTCTCTCAGCCGTCCTGACAAGTGCTCTATCATATTACTTTTTTGGTGTGTGAGAGAGAGAGAGAGATGGGCTAAATATTGACGCGTCTCAGACTGAATGGCAGCCTTGCATCGGCAGAGAACTTGTGTCTTGCTTTTACCTACTTCTGGCCACCGCGTGTCGCGGTTTGTGCGTCCATATACAGAGTAGACGGCAAACCTTCCAGTCTTTGACTTGTACGAGTAAACTCGGTCGCAAAGCAGCCTACATCCCCATTAATATTAGTCTCACCACTCATCCTGAGAGACATTCTGGACACACCATCTCCATCTCGCTCCTTTCCCAACATTCTTTCCGGGTGGCATTCGAGGGTGGTCAGCCAAAATTCGGGTCACGTGCTGTTGCAATGGCCCAGGGAAGACTTCACCCATCATCACCCTTCTCGGCCAGGGACAGTCCTAGAGGTCGTCGCGCCGAGGACAGCCCATCCAGGCAGTTGCAGTGGGAATTGGAACGTGCTCTCAGTCAAATTCATCTACACGAAATCGAGCGTTCAAAGCTCCACGCTTACCAGAAACGCCAACAGCAGGAAGAGCTTGATGCTCTGGAGTCGGCACAGGCGGAGGTTCACCGGATAGAGCTCAATGCCGCAAAAGCCCAGCATGAAACTGTACGCAAACAGGCCGAGGCTGTTCTTCAGGCCTACATTCAGCAGGAGGAAGAGGACCGTCGCAGACGCGAAGAAGAGGAGCGAAGGAGATTAGAGGAGGAAGAAAGGCGAAGGAGGGCCGAGGCCGAGGTAAAGGCACAAGCACATGCCCGGGCCCAAGCACGTAGGCGGGCCGAAGAAGAGCGAAGAGCCCTCGAAGAGAAAGAGCGCCATGAACGGGAAGAGCATGTCCGCCAGGAAGCGAAACGTCTGGCAAAGCAAAAGGCCGAAGCAGAGGAAAGAGAGCGAAAGGAGAAGGAAGCGACAGAGCAAAAAGAGCGAGAGGCCGAGGCCAAAGCCAAAGCTGAGCAAGAAGCTGCGTTGAAGCGACAAGAGGCTGAGAGGGCCGTCGCCGCAACCAAAGTTACAGTACCACCATCCACCACACCTGCCCAAAGCAAAGACACCAGTCCAGTTTCAGAGGTAGAAGCACAACATGCCAACTACCTAGTTCTCCACAAGAAGCTCAAGAAATTCCGCTCAGACTTCTGGATTGCGGCCAAGAAGGATCCCACCTTGAAGCCCCATGTAGGGGACATGCGGCGGGCGATCCGCACCAGCGTAGGCCAGTTGACCGATGACAAGGCTGGTAATAAAAAGGCAGTAAGTGATGAGGACACCCTCTGATTCAGAAGCTTCCCAGACTAACCATTGCAGCATGAGCGACTAAGGGCTACTTTGCATCAGGCTCTCAAGGATCGACCTTCTCCTCCAGTGTCTGTCAGCGAGTACCTACCGGCACACCTCAACCTGGGCGACAATGGGACGACAACAATTCCGTCACTGGCGTTGTACCTGCTCTCCATCTTCAGTAAAGCTGTTATCAGTGGTTTTGTGGGTGAGTGTGCCGTCAACCCCAAGGCGGCCGAACCAATTGGCACACTCGTTGCTCAGATCTTCTCCATGCCTGAGCTACAATTTCCTCGCAATGTCTCATCCGCCGCCGGTCAATCCCAGCCTACAAAGCCAACCAGTGTCTCCCTGATCCCCATCCTCATGTGCAAATTCCATGCCACTGCGCCGATTCTCTTCGGCATCTCCGGGCGCGAATCTACTGCAGCAGGCAAACACCGACTCGGCTGGCGTCTTGATAGAATCACGGATGACCCCGATTCGAAAAAAGCCTTTGTGAATGAAAACAAGCACTATGACCGTCTAACAGGACTTGGTGTGGGATACGCGTCGATCGCTCTCCGGAACTTCTCAAAAGCAAAAGTCTCCAACCCTTGGCCGCCGGTCCATTATTGGTCTAGTCTCGCGCATATTGCCAATACGCCTCCACAAGAGGTGCAGACCAGCCATCTGGTATTGCTGAAGAGCATGCTGGAAAACAATGCAATTGACCGATTCGTGTTGTTTTTTGGAGCGGCTGGCATTGCGGCCTTAAGGCAAGCCGCAGTCGAGTTCCCGAGGACTTTGCCGAGAGAATTACAAGAAAGGCCAGCGACAAAGACGTTGGTATTAATGGTTGAAGGGTGGAAGAGGGAGAAGAACTTTTCACTTGTGTAAAGCGCACGAGATAGAGCACGTACTGGCATTGTGACCTCAATGGCAAGGGCAACAGGCGGCTTAGGGGCGAGGGAAACGAGTACCTAGCGTGGATCTCACTGTATGACCAGGCTATCGGGCGGACTCTGATGAAGATATGCCACAGATAACATGAAGATGGCAAAACGCCCAAAGTTTGGGCAGTTGAGAACCATCTTTCGATTCACCGGCCTGAGAAAACGCATGGACACAGGAGGGAGTCGATCTTTTTGGTCCTGGGTATTGCTCTCCCCTGTCCTCTCGACTCGGCACAGCCTTCGTGGATTGATGTGCTTGAAATGAGAAACCCTCAGATTGCCAGCGCCCCGACCTGGCGAGTCTTGAACCCTTCTGCTTCAAGGGCGTCTCTGGGGCGCATGGAAGAGGAGATGGTGGCATTTGCCCCCCCTGATCTGTCATGACAAGGCTGAAAGGACTTTTTTTTGGCACCAAAGAAAAGAAGAAGCAGAAAGCACACATAAACATTATTTACGCGATGTCGGATCGAAAAGAAGGCCTTCAGCCATTATTACTCTCTACATAACATTGGGCCTCCCCCTCTCTTCTCCCCTCTTCGGCATTTGATTTTTGTGCGACATCTCACCCAGCGGGGTCCCCGTCATTTACTAGGATTCTTATGCATGCGCGTTACGTTCTATAGTATGTTCTCCGCACATCCAAGACAAATAGTCCATGACCCATGCAAGAAACAGCACAGCAAATGTAAGTAAGCAGGCGGCCGGGCGGGTGGATAAGGTGTTACCTCGCATACGCCGCCTGGATGTATATGTAAGAGGGCAAATCCGGGGTGATGCTTTGCCGTGTACTGATCTGGTACGGAGTGCATCCTGTAAAGGCCCCCCCATCTTGCGCAATCCTTCTCCCAGGCTATAAGAGACTTAGACAATTCGTCCAAACTTTGACCCATCAAGGGGGTTGATTGCTCGACAACGATGGCGACGACGGCGGCAGGGATCTCGCGGCACGAATTCCCAAAGCACGACAAGACCATCTCGTACCTCGACGCCGGCCCCAGGGATGGTCCCCTACTTGTCTTCATTCACGGCTGGCCCGCCGGCGCAGAGACGTGGAAACTCCAGCTAACCACCTTCTCGGCCCTGGGCTTCCGCGTCGTCGCCCCGGACATGCCAGGGTACGGGCAGTCTCGGCCCAAAAGCCGGGAGAAGCGCGACTACGCTTTGCAGGGCGTCGTGGAGCAACTGCTCCGGTTCCTTCGTCATCTGGGACGTAGCGAGGCTGTTTGGGTCGGCGGGCATGACTACTGGGGCGCGGCCGTCGTGTGGGCATTGGTCGCGCACAACCCGGAAGTCTGCCTGGGCGTGGTGACCATGGGCATGCCGTACCGCACGCTGGAGATGGGTGTTCAGGAACTCGTCAAGTACGCCAACCGCGACTTGTATCCGGAAGGGGAGTACCCACACGCGCAGTGGGCGTACCAGGTGTTCTACGAGGAACCCGACAACTACGAAAAAGCCGTTAAATTGTTCGACAGCGACGTCGAGCGGTTCATCAAGCTCGTCTATGCTCGTCCTGTAAACGCCGAGCCTGACAAGGACAAGCCGGCGGCCACGGCCAACGTGCTCAAGGACGGGGGGTGGTTCGGGGGCGCCGAGTCGCTGCCTAAGGCCGACGGGGAGGACGAGGAGCCGGGCGAGAGCTTGCTGGACGAGGACTCGCAGAAGAGCCTGATCGAGGCGTTTTCCCAGGGCGGATTCTGGGCTCCGACCGCGTACTTCCTCAACCACAACGTCAACCTCCAATGGTGCGAGGACTGGTCCGTCAACGAGGGCGTCATCTCCGTTCCCGTGCTGTTCGTCGAGGCCCTCAACGACCCCGTGGCTGGCACGTACAACTCAACCATCTGCGAGCCCATGAAGAACTACTGCAGGAAGTTGACCACTGTGAGCATCAGCGCCGGCCAGTGGGTGGCATTGGAAGCGCCCCGCGAGACAAACGCAGCGATTTTGAGGTGGATTGCGCGTGAGTTGCCCGAGGACAGGGCGTGGCCTGGGGGCAAGAAGAATCCGTTGAAGAAGAATGAGTAGATAGATTGAGCAGTGAGCGTACGAAAACCGTACCGAGATACTAACACAAGTAAGCTAGTAGAGAATACGAAGGCGGCACGGCGTCGATTCGTGCAAGAATGGGGGAGATTCTTATTTGGTTAAACAGCCATGACCAGGATTTGCTGGGCAAAGACAAGGAAAAGCAGGAGCTATCCTCAATATCGTTCAATCCATCCGTGACAGCACACATCGCCACGTGGTTCTTTTGCCATAGAGAGATACCTTGCCGTTGACTTCTGTATGGTTCGTCACGGTGACGACGCCCGTTTAAGCTCGATCTCGATCCATAGAACTATGGCGGATGCCCAGCAATTTGTTTCCAGACCTCCACGTCCCCTTCGCCCTGGCCAGGTCGCCCGACATGGTAATCCGCCTCCATCGGTCCTTTTCACTGAGCTTCGCTATGCCGCTCTTCTTACCGTTGAACACCATGATCGCGTGATTAGAGCTGTAGGTCTCCCACGGTTGCAATCCGTATGCAAAATCAATGGCCGCCGCAGAAAGTCTATCCGCAGTTTCCTTCACGTCTGGGTCGGCATCCGGACCGGCAACGGCTGGTAGTCTGCAGAAGAACGAGTTATCTAGTGCATGGTAGGCATACCCGTTGAGGGGGCTTTGGCTGAATGTGTCCGCCTGGTCGAATCTGTAGAGGCTAATTGGTGGGGACACGGAGGGTTCTTCTGCGATGATGAAGGGCAAACCAGTGAAGATGCTGTCGGTAGCCATATCAATGAAACCCTGGAGGCACGTCTCAGCAGGAGACGTTGCGGAGATGCCATATGCATTCATCAGTTCTCGGGCCAGCTCGGCGTTTGAGAATGAAGATTTCACACGGTCTACAAATTGCTGAGAGGACCAAGTTCGCCATTGGGTGACGCCAAACAATGCTGCTTCATGCTTGGTAGATCCGGCAATGATCTCCTTAACCCACGGCGCGAAGGGAGCAGGGCCTGCAATAGGCCTGTTGCCATCTTGGTAAACAAACCATTTGTCGTCCCAGAGCGGTGTTGCCAACCGAGGTACCATCATCCGCACAATCTCCATCGAGTCCAAATTACGCAAAGCCGTAAGTTTTTCCTCGGCGGATGCAGAAGGCGAGACACCCGTGCTGGCAACAAGCTCATCGAAAGTCTCTTGAGCCTCTTCAGGCTCTGGAAAGTCTAGATTGGGACTTGACAGTATGATACCTCTCTGACAAACCGGTACGTCTGATCGTAGATGAGCGAGGACCGACCACCCGCCCGCAGATTCGCCCGCGATGCAGGTATTGAATGGATCACCGCCGAAATGGTGGATGTGCTTTTGTATCCACAGAAGGGCGACTCGTTGGTCATGCATTGCCATGTTAGAAAATGGCGTCTCGCCGTCGGCGGAGGCTTCTGCTCTCAGCTCCTTTGAGGTCAGGAATCCAAAGAATCCCAGTCGATAATTCATGGCCACGAAGATAATGGGTTTCCCTTTTTCCAAGGCGTGCTTCACAAGATAGTTTCCATCATATTCAGAATTGCCATCTCCAAAGATAAAGCCTCCGCCGTGAATCCACACCAGTACGGGTAAAGGACCCTGGTTGCCTTCGGGAACATAGATGTTGAGCCTCAAACACCCAAACTCGTCCAACGGATACTCGGAGCTGCGTCGCACACCCTCGTACAGGTGCGCCGTCTCCGATCGGTTCACCGTGTTCTGAGGACATCTGGGTCCGTAGCGAGTTGCGTCGAGAACACCACTCTTCTCTGAGAGGTTGATGAGCTTGGACTGGCGGAATCTTGCCGGAATGGTCGCATACTGAATTCCCAGGAAATTTGCAACTTTGTGGGCTTTGTTGACGAACCCCTGGACCTGCAAGTTACCTATTTGGACCGAGACATCCTGCGTTTGCTGGACTTGGCTGGCCATTTTGCGAAGGATCCTGGCGACACGAATGTCAAGCAGATGCTTCTGTCACAGTCTGCTATGCCTAGCAGAAACACGCAAGTCCAACAGACGTCTTATGCTGACACACAGGCCTCGTCTTCGTCGGGGGCCAGAGGTGCATTTTGACCACCATCCAGTGATCCACATTCCCAGACCCCACCTCCGCATCGAGTGTTCGGCAAGTGAAAAGACATGGAGCTCGAGCCGAATATTGTTTTTGGCGACGTTGTCCGTCAAATGCGATTTCCAGGGGACCCTGATGGCGTACATGCACGGTGGAATTTCCTCCACCACATCTCACGGAGAGTAGAGTAAGAAGAACATCAGGATTCTGACGACCAGAGCCGTGGAAGTGAGTATAAATCCGCATCGTGCCTGGTGAACTCTGTAGAAAGTCGGAGGTAGACTGCGGCTGGCATACTAGTGATCCGCCATATCTTTTACGGTGGATTAAACAACAGTCGGTGCGCACAACATTCACGGCTGTCGAAACACAACTTCTGACCACCTTGACATCCCAGTCGCCGACTCACCCCCTTTTGAAAGTTCAATGCCTCGTTACTCATCAACACGAATAAGGCGGAATGAACCATGTCCATGCCGGTCCATGTTTGCAAAGGTAGGTTCAGTCCTAAAGGTGTATGTGCACGGATCAGCAATTGACAATCATCCATCCTTTAATATCCGAGTCGGCAAACATATACGGCTTCCACTTCTATGGACACACGGCCGAATCCATGACAGCCGGGGAGATGTTGGAGCCGACTGCGTCTGTCTCGAGGGAGATACCATGAAATGTTCTAGGCAACTCGCCGCCCCTTGCCAAAGCTCTCGAGACTTCAGCTTCACGACGGCATAGGCTGCATATACGGGGTCGGGCTGGACTGTGGTCTCGTCTCTCATTGGCCATCGCCGAGTCACTTGCACAAACTGGCAATGACCGCGAAGGACTTCGTATTGAGCCGTGAAGAGCCATGTGGCCTGCAGAACGGGGGACTCACACTTTGCACGCCGGGAATTTCATGGCTTTTCTGTTGACGGTACGGCCGCGAAGTGGCCCTCTTCCAGCAACAACGGCGCGATGACTCCTCCGGAACTTGAATTGCTCGGGACGATTCATGCAGGCCATTCCTTCAAGGTCGATGATTGCTCAATGCGGCCCCTACCTCTCTGGCGCTTCGACAAGGCGCGCTCGGATTTTAGATTTCTTCCGGCCCCTTCGCCTTCTGACTGTGTGCATATTGACAATAGCCGCCTACAGCCTGATGGACATGGGAGCTGATCTGGGATATATCTGGAGAGATGGTCTGCTCTTTCTGATCCGTAATAATGCTTGCCTGTTGATCAGACATTTCAGAACCGTGGACCATCCCAACACAAAGACTTGAGCAGCATAGATCCAAGACAGCAAGCTCAAAGAACGATCAAGATGTCCATCGCATCAAGCAATCCCCAAGCAGTCTTGCAAGGTTACCTCGACCCAACCCACACTTCAGACCTGCACGCAGAATGGGTCAACCATCCAACCCCGTGGCCTTGGGTCCTGGCGAGCGTCACACTTTCTATCATCCTAGGTTTTCTAGGAGTCCAAGCATCATACAAGTCTTGGGAGCCAAAGGCCCGACGCTTCAGCGACAGCGATAACGCAATCTCCATCTACCCGCCCGCAGACCCGAAATCCTACCTACCACTCCACCAGCGAGGCTTAAGCTCCGCCAGCAGCACCACTATATCGTCGCTGGACGAGAGCAACAAGTACGGCGGCCTCGGCCGCTGCGCCCTGATCGCCAGCATCATAGGAATAGGGTGGTCGACTATCCGCGCGGGCGCGTTGCTCGCGGTACTGACACAAATCACAATGGGGGAAAGGGGACACATGTACCCGGGTATCATCAGCATTGTCATCATGTTCACATCGGTGCAAACATACCTGGGTAGCCGCGCCATGCCCCGGATCCTGTACCTGCTCATCTTCGTGGACCTGTGCGCTATCTATGCGAGTCTTATCCTTGGGCTCCTTTCCTTCATACACAACAAGGACACGTCCTACCAGGAATTTGCGGTCCGCGGTGGACACTGTCCGTGCATGCTGGGCTACAAGACCGGTCACAATATGAAGTAGTGCGCCATGTTTGCACAACCTCTACCTAACCTCGTCGGCTGCGACTCGAAGTACCTATGGGCAAACAACACTGTCCCGGGCTCAATGGGCGCAGAGCTAATGCCGTATCCGAAGTCATGTCTGCTGTCCAGCGACGCGGCAGGAGACAAAGACATCGACCCGAACATGATGACCTACATGGTCCTCGCGGAAATCATTGTCGGCGGAGTCGGCCTGCTCTACGGACTCATTGTCCTGTTATTCTCCTCGCGCTGGATCTGGGAAGTCCTCAAGCATCCGTCCGAGCTCTTGCAGGCCTTGACCCTAAGCAAGTCGAAAGGTCGCGCGCAGAACTTTGGCTACGACAGCATCGGAGTAAAGGCCAAAAGCCACAAAATGCCCGGTCGCGCCATCGGCATGACCGTCCTGGCATTCATCGCACTCCTCATGTTCGCGGCGGTGACGATCGTCGTGCACGTCCTCGACGAGACCCAGCCGGTCAGAATGTTCTACATGGATTCCTTGGGATCGCTGGCCAACACGCTCGGCGATGGGACAGCCACTGCCGATGGAGGGGCGAGTTGGAGCGATTGCTTCGTCGTGGATACGCCCGTTTCGGCGGATGGGGGGTTCCACGGCTGGTGGGCCGTGAGGCAGAGTCGAATATTGCGCGCGCTTGCTCTGGCTTGACATTTTGCATGTGTTCTGTGTTTCTCTCTGTCTTGTGGTAATGTATGTTTGGCTCAAATTCTCTCTCTGTGTGTGTGTGTGTCTCTCTCTCTCTCTAGCGGACTGGGCCAGGCCGTTTGTCTGGCAGTCCGGCGTTAGCTATTTGATTTTGGGGGAGATGGCGAAACATAGAAACAAGAGTGACCCAGGCACCGGTAGTACGATACATGTAGATATACATGTACTGTAGAAGGTAATGGTTATTCTAATCCGAACAACCCTGAGACAACAAGTAGGCCTTGAAGGGATCCGAAATCCCACAAACAGCCTCCTCCTCGCACGAGATGGCCGTCCTCCTCGTTCTCCTTCTCCAGCAAGCGCGTAGAGAGGCTGAAAGGCAAATAAGTCAACGGCTATAGCGATGTGAGCAGGGAGTATACATTGAATTTCGGGAATGAGACAATGAAGGGGAGACCTGTTGTCTTTATTTAGAATACATACAAGTGGTTTACAGATGGGTATATTGACTTCTTTGCTTGGGTCTTTATCTGACCTTGCCACTCTTCCTCACCACCGTCTTCATGCCCTTTGGCGCGAACTTGGAATATCGTCTGACCGATCTCTCGCCTTTTGTCGTGATTGCAGCCTTTCCTGCCATAAGTTCTTCATTCCATTCTCGCAGGGTCTGGAATTCTTCATCTGTAAGGTCTCCTTGGTCATCTCCGTCTGCTGACGCAGGAGATTTTGATTGCTTTGGCAAAGGGCGTTGGGGCACATGGGTCGAAATAGGAGTCGGAGTGCGTGTCTTTGGTGGGAAAAGAGGCGGGTTCATCTCGTCCTTGTCGAAATCCTCAAACGTGAAACTCTCGACACCGCTGGATGACTTCTCACGCTTGATTCGGCCAGGTCGAGACGTCCTTCTTACCGCCTCGTGACCTTCCAACTCATAGTCGTCCTCATCTGGAAGCTTCCCCTCTCTGAAGGCCCTCTCCATCTCCTTCTGTTCTTCCATCTCCTCTAGTTGCTCTTCGTGCATCTTTTCCATCAACTCCTCCGCCTGCTGCTTCAACCGCTCCTTACGCCCTCTCGCCTTCTTCGCCTCTTTCGTATCTTCACCACCAAGTCTCAATGACCGGGGTATGCGTGTTTTAGCGCCCAAAGCCCACAGATCGCCCCATTGGCTCTTTCGCGCGTCACGGTATGCTTGCTTTGAGAATGATTTCGGGACGGTCCAGCGCTCAATCTTCCCCGATGGTGTACAAACGTCGAGTATTACATGGCCTCGACGTTTCATTGGCGACAAAACCATGCGCGGGAGGTTGTGTGGGGAGGGCAGCGTCGAAGGAGATTTGTCTGTGTTGGTGAATGAGGAGGGAGCATCAGAGAGATTAGTCGCAGGATGGACCCCCTCAAACCCATTTTGAGAGAGACGAGTCCAGGTTTGATAATCTTTCGCCGCAAGCTGTGGGTCCGGATGGAGAGGGGCAGAAAAGGCATCCTCCAGCCCTCGCCAGGATTGGACTTGTCGCTGACGTAGATCTTCTCCTTTCATTACCGAGATGTAGGAGAAATCTACGTCGTCGTGGTTGCGATCCTTAGCCCCGAGAACACGTTGGAGGTAGCTGGGGCGTATGTACCGTTGCTGGAAACTGCAAAAATCCTTCCGACCCTTTGAGACACCAGGGATGTGATACATCGGACATTTTTCATGATTCGTACATGGTGCAACAATCATACCAGTTTCTCGCGTGTGGACGTCTTCTGCGTCAGCATGCATCTTGCTGTACCCTGTCGTTCGCCCCTCCGGGACAGCAATGTATTTCTCAAGAAGCATTTCCCTCGCGCCAGCTATTGCTTCAAAGCCGCGCGGTATACCCTTTTCAATCAAAATCAAAACGCCGCCTTCGGGGCTGAGCATTGACCAAAGATTCTGCACGAGTTGCTTTCGCATCCAATCTTCTTGCAATCCGAATAGCGTGTGTGGTGCGATAATCACGTCGAATTGTTTTCGCTGTTGTGCAGGGCGGTCGTCTTCTAGGGTTGGCGAGTCGCGGGTATGTACGTAATCGGGTAGGCGTGGGATGAAAGTTGTATTCTCGAGAAGCGCAGCCGCCCGATGTCTCAGTGTGTCTGAGCCTGTCAGGACAACAGATTTCGTTGGCGGGGGAGGAGGCAAGGGGTCACGATCAGACGAGTGCAACGAGTTCCAGTGCGCGTTGACGATCTCTCGCCAAGCGAGGATCCCTGCACCGCCTGCACCGGCATCAAGGACACGCGGTCCGCCGTCCTTCGCCAACAGATTGTTCAGCCATGTTGTGCCTAGTCGTTTGCGTGTCTCAACGATGACGGACATGATGGCAGCGTACGTGGGGGGCATGATAGTCGTGATGAATGCGTTCGCCTCCATCTCACCCATCAAGTGTTGAGAAGCATCAAGCGGGATAGGGAGTTGAGGCCTCGATCGTCCTGATCTTGGGGTCAAGGGCGAGTCAGGAAGGCCGGGTCCTCCAAAAGTCTTTTCGCACATCTCTTTGAGATGCTTGTTGGAGAAGCTGCTCATGATTTTCTGAACCGGCTGCACAAATTGTTCTTGGGGGAGGAGGACGCTGCTAGGCGCAGTAGCGAACTTTCCAAGCTGGGTGAATGGGTGGTATCGCATGCTCGGATCTCGGTCATCATTCTCATCTTCCTGCTCCTCCTCCGCCAGCTCCCGCCCAGCGTCTTCGACAATCTTGCCGTTGAGCAAGCGAGCTATTTCCGCGGCTCTTTCCTCAAGGGACAACGAAAGAGTTGGATCCTTCTGGGCGGCTATTCCGAGGTCAATCCCTCCTTGAGCAGGCTTTGGGGGGGCAATCCCGGCAGATTCCTCTCCTTTGACGGATTCTGATCCGGCAAAGACGGACGGCTCTGGTTCGTACTCGATTGGCTCGCCTTCTCGGTCCAAGAGCTGGTGGTGAATCTCCACGACAGTACTTGCCTCTTCCTCATCGAGGAACTCTTCATAAGAGGCTGAAATAGGATCCCCGTAGAGTCGCTTGTACATCTTCAGTTCCTCTTTCCTGAGAGCAATTGAAGGGAGCCCGTCTCCGTATATCTGCCTCGCTTCGCGTACGATCTCTTCGGGAGACGCCCCAGACGCTCGCAAGCGTGCAAGCGGATCACTTGTACCATCGACCCTATTGTCCAGGTCTATTCGCTCGTCTGGAAAAATATCTTTTGCGACCATACGCCCAGCTCGATCTTCGTCAATTGCTTCATTTATAGGCCGTCCCAAGGCCTTTTCCAACTCTTGCAATACCTCCAGTTGTTCCGGGTTGACGTCAACTGCAGATGTCTGTTCATTTTCTAATAGAGTGGGTGTCTGCTCGGACTCCTGGGGAGAATGCCGTTGGAAAAGTGTAGATTTCCTGGAGAAGGATCTGAGATGTTGGCGCGGTGCGAGGGTCCTTCGCCATCGCAGGGGTAGCGGTGTTGCTCGATTCTTCAGAGTGACAGGCGGGCCACAGAACCCATTTTCGAACAGGATTTGAAGGTCCTGCCGACAGCCATGACACAAGCCTGAAGCCCTTGCCCTAGTAAGCATTGCTCCTTTGATGTACAGTCTAGTGGGCTGTCACATGGGTCGAGAACGAGATTCGCAGGGAAAAAGTTGCAATATACAAGGTACCCCGTATAAATTTTCTTGGCAACAGACTCGAAGTCCAACCTTTTCTTCCAATCATGCGTCTCTTAAAGCGGACTTTGATTAACTGGCGCAATATCCCATTCAGGTAAAGCACCGTGGAGCTACTATTAAGGACCATCGACATTATTGAGAACTCCATACTCGGTACACCGCCTTGCCTCGACCGTTTCCATGGTGGGTTGCTATCATAAGAGGCCTTGGATTTGATCCATCAGTTAGCCTCGACTTGAACTGGCTGTCTATCTGGCAGACCTAGGGATCTGCCAGTCGCTGAGACGAGCGGTAGCTTGATGCTTTTGCTTGACCGTGACTGAAATTACACCCCCTCCCACACAATGTCGATGCTTGACCCTCCTCGATCGCGTCTTCCTCATAGATTCAATCCCACACACTCTCCTCTCGAATGGTTCAACCCACAGGACTCCACGGCATGGGAATAAGGATCTTGCTTTTCATGGTCTGGATCAATGGCACAGTTTTGTGCACAGTATCCCCCCATCCTTCGATACCCCACGACATTTCTCGTCTCAATTTACGCTCCTCCAGATCCGCAAATTGCCATAGATGGTGCACGGTATTCAGATCTCCAATCTGTACGAACCAAGCACCCACGCCCTCCATGACTTCTCGGCGTGCTTTGAGTCCTTTCCGCCAATGGGTCTCCCATTCCAACAGGTTTCCGGGGTGCAAGGTATAGGATCGTAGTTCGAACAAGCCGCCAAGTTTTCGAGGGGGGGTAGTTGGCCAAAATGAGAATTCCTGCATCAGTGAAATTTTCTTGGATGTGATAAGAGTCTGCAATTTTTTCTCGAAGGCTGGAAATTCAGGGTGGTGTGCGATGCTGTGCAATGAGGCGTGGTATCCCGTGTAGCGCTGGTATTCCCAGATATGAACTGCAAGAATTTTGTCAGTGTGATCACTTTGACGACGGAGGCAGTCTACCAAAAGTTTCACAATCCCCCACTTCTGTTCTCCAACTTCCTACCAAATGCACCTTATTCTCCGGGTCATTTGCCATCCTCGGATACCAATTGCCCACCAATTCTACATAGTCGTCGACCTTGTCCGGTTTCACATCATGAAAGACGATCGAATGGACGTATTTGCCCCTGGCCAACACCTGGGAGAACGACCTTTCCATCTCTTTATCAAGGTTTTGGCCTTCGGGGGTGCCGTAGATGAGGCTAGAGAGAGTACCGGTTCGCTTGGTGGTGGTGTCGGTTTCGGCTTGTCTTGCTTCTTCTGTAGAGGGTGCGGTAGAGAGTGAGCCCAAGCCCAGGGTTTCAGACACGCGGGATGCAGCAGCAGTAAGACTTGGGAATCTATCAGAAGAAGATGCAGAAGCATCAAGGAACTGACTGTCAGCTTGTTCTTTTCTCTTCCGAGCAGCCTCGAGTCCATCTCGGAATTCCTTCTGCCTGGAGTTGAAAGCATCTGCTCCGTCGGGGGTAAGGTCGCTCAAGGCAGGGCTGCGAGGAGGGTCTCGTAATAGAGAAGTGGTGGTGAAGGCGCGAAAGAACGAAGGAGTTTGGGCAGAGGAGGAGAGGGGTAGAAGTCGACGGGCGAGCATTTTTGCCAAAAGTCGGGGTCCTCGAGCTCGAAATATAAGGGATGAGGTTGCAGCAGCGGCAGGGTCAGAATGATGCCTGTGGAAAGAGTGTCGTCAAAATCGATGCCAGTGGTTTGAGGAATTTTGGAGAGGTCCAACAAAGAAGAGGACTCGAGGTAACACGCGAGCAGAGGAGCTACGAGGTTGTTGTGCCGGAGAAAGCCCCAATGGTCAAGACAGCGAGGAGGAGGTTGCAGACTGTTTAGGCGTGAAAGACTGGGGTTCGGGTGGCTCTGAGCAGAACGCGGGGAAATGGTCTGCAGCTTCTAGTGGGTGGTGGTGGTGGTGGTGGTGATGATGACTTGGGGTTGGCAGTGGTGATAGCGGTGAAAGTTGGCGGAATGCGTGGTGATTGGAAAGCAGGAAGCTGGTTACGATGCCGCCAGATGCAGAAGCAGGCAATGAGCAGGGCAGGCAAGGACAACCATCGACGTCACCACGGGGGGAGCTTCACAGTGCCAGCCTGGGGGAGCATGTTTGGGCCGGTGGCTGCCAGCCAGGCATTGGCGGCCCCTAGGCATCGTCCTAGCCCTAGCGGGAAGCTTCCGCTCGGCGCTCGTACTTGTATTGAGTAGTTGGGCACTGCGGGGAACCCGTACCACTCGCCTCCAGCAAAAAGGCATGTACAAGTATGACAATTTGACTTTTTGGCGACCTGCGATCAGCCCACCTCGTCGCCGCGACCATCCCTCCACCTGCGAAGTCGATCAGCTACATAGGTCTTTACGGCCAATCTACGGAGTACACCTGCTTTCAAATCTCAAATACTCGAAATCGACGCTGTTCAATCCTGCTTCTGAAGGAGAGGAGACATGGCTGACACCCACAATCCGCCCCTCAACTACGAAGCCTCCAACACCACCACCCACCCAGTGATCTCCACGACCCTGCCCCCGGAAGTATCGCAATGCCTCAAGAATGCCCGTTTCCTTCATCTTGCCACAATCAGTGCAAGCCAGAGCAGCCCACCAACACCACACGTGTCCTTGATGAACTACACTTTCCTGCCTTCATACGACCACCACGGGCCCGTCATCATCATGACCACAAACGCCAAGTCCATGAAGACCCAGAATCTGATGCACAATCCAAAAGTATCACTCCTTGTACACGACTGGGTGTCTCATCGACCGCCCACGGCCACGTCAGTGAGTGGTGAGCAACGAGCCGGGTCTCCGCCCGCCGCCGCGGCTCGCTCATCTCTTGCCGCCCTCCTTTTGAATCTGAACACTTCGGCCCTAAGCTCAATATCAACCACAATAGCTGGAGAGGCGAGATTTCTCGAACAAGGAAGCGAAGAGGAAAAGTGGTGCAAGGAGGCTCACCTGGCGAATAACACTTTCGGAGGTCAGGTAACGCAAGAGGCGGGGTTTTTCAGTGGGCGGCCAGCAAATGCCGATTCGGAGAACAGTAGCTGTTATATTGAAGGAGATGATGTGAGGGTGGTCATTGTTCCTGTGCGTGAAGGGAGGATAGCGGACTGGAAGGGAGGAGTCAAAGACTGGGTCTTGGTCAATGAAGATGCTCCACCAACTAGTGCTACTGGGAACACAGCCGTAGCGGAAAGAGGCAGAAGTAATGGCCACCACCTGGTGAACGGGATAAGGGATTGAAGGATCTATGAAGACTTTTTCGTGCCGAGGATCAGATTTCGAGTTGTGGCAGGATGCCTCATCGCTGGACCAAAAATCCTGTGTGGACTGAGAAAAGGAGTCGGGACCGGATCTCTTCCTCGACGGGTTCCGCTACCGACCAAAGCATCTCGCCATCATCTCATCGCAACGTCCAAAACTCTAGGACCCGACCAACATAAAAACGCCAGATCATAATGCCTCCGGGCTTTCCAAAAGGTTCAACCAAAAATAACTGCAACGCTAAGAACCGACAAATGTTTCTCTTGCTCTAAAACAATGCGACGAAAGGCGTGAACCGGGCCAAGGGAGAGGTATGTACATAAGATATATGTCCGAGAGAAGCCGGGACGAGGAAGGGCCCAGCCGACATGGGCAACTCGAGGTTGCGGGAGGAAAGTCTGAGCGAGACTTCAAGATGGAAAGGTTGGCAGTGCTGTTGATCCTATACCTCCTCACATCAATGTACATTTTGAGTCGTCTTTCGATCGGGCCGGCTTCACTTGCAGCGCCACTCGTGCGGCTTCCGTGAAGGCTTCGTTCACGCCTCGGTTTCGCATCGCCGAGCATTCTGCCAAAAAGAAGTCTATTAGAAATCTACCATTAGGAAGGGGCGGTTTCCAGCGTTACCAAGATATCGCAGCGCCCCGATGCGTCGCGCAACTTCTAATCCCTCGTTATATTGGATCATGGGTCTTGGGGGGACACCATTTTCGTCGTCGTCATCTTTTTCGTGTTCTTCCCGTAAGTCGCATTTGAGAGCGCACAGGACAATCTTGACGCCGGGACAATGTTCATTTATCTCGGCAATCCATTTTGTGAAAACGTTTTCGAGAGAACCGCGGTTATCAACCTGGAGAGCAAAGTTTCACATGTCAGCCTTGTAGGTCGGGAAGAGGCAGCGGTTTTGGCAAACGGTGGCATACGCTAAAGCACAACATGATGGCCTGCGTGTCGTCGTATGAAAGTGATCGCAATCGATCGAACTCTTCTTGTCCAGCAGTGTCCCATAATGACAATTCCATATGAATGCCGTCGACGAAGATATCATGGACATAGTTCTCGAAGACAGTGGGTTCGTAGACAGTCTGGGAACCAAGAATGTCAGCATCTACGGCAACACAGACAAGGCTTTCTCCAAGGGCCATAGGATGCAGAGTCAAGAGTAGGGGACGAACCGGGAAGAATCCACGAGTGAATACGTTCAGAAGACTAGTCTTTCCACAGGCGCCATCGCCCAGCAGGACGAGTTTGCGCTGCACCACTTTCTTCCCGCCGCACAAAGGCATTTGCGCTCGTTAAACGGTGATGTATCGCGGGGTTCGAGAGGTACAGGTGTTGGAGAGCCCTACGCACGATCCGGGATTCGCTGTGGCCCTGGCCCAAAAAAAAAAAAACCGAGTGCGGAGAGTATATGGGATGTTTTGGAGGCGAAGAGGGGAGTCTGGGTGGGAGATAGATCGACGAACGCGAGGAGGGCGGCGGAGGACGGATAGGATACTATGGATACTAGCAATAGGTTATAAGTGGGAGGAAGGAGTTGTTGAGGAGATCGGCGAAGGAGAAGATGGAGCAGAGATAGTCGAGATGTCAATCAGATCCAACAAAGAGGAAGAAGGGTCCAGAGCCGTTGACGCACTATGCGCACTGCGGTCTGCAGCTGCGGGTTGTGCGGGTGAGAATGGGCGATGCCTGTTGAACAGTTGTTGGCGGACGCCACCGGAGCACATGCCCGTGGCGATGCATTTCAAGCCTGGAGCGTGCGGCATGCGCAGATGCCAGGTGCCAAAGGTGCCAGGCGGAACCAATTCATTTTGGCTGCTGCTACTGGTTAGGCTCCTCTGGGCTCCTGCGGGTGCTTGGACTACTGGGCTAGTGAGGCTAAGTAACAGCTAGTCAGTGGGGTCGCCTAGCAAAAGTGGAGTGATTATTTTCCCCCCAAGGGCAAACTGGGCAAACTTGAATTGGACCACACCACACCTCATTTCATCCAACTGGCATGCTATTCTGAATGCACGCCAGCGGCTTCCCCGCGGTTATCGGCATCGATGCTTTTGTCCGTTCACGGCCACCCAATCCTTCACATGCCCTGGTGGTTTGAATGGCTGTCGACTCTGCCCTGATCCCCTCCTTCAGTGACGCCTCACGCCGCACTCTCATCGACAAGCACAGACGATCATGGTTGTACTTGGTAGCAAGCGGCCATTCTCCTTCTCATGCCCATCTGCCAACCGAGACTCGCCCCGCAGCGCCAAAAATAAAAACCGATCGACCGATGGCGCCGCTGACTGCTGGCACAATCCCGGCTCACCAGACTACTAGTAAGTAACACGGAGTATGGAGTACGGTGCCTGAAAATCACTGAATCCTGCAACGAAGAGCGAGGCTGAGGCCAGTAGGCTCTGCCAAATCCTCTAGCCCGAATACCTCATGCCTGGTATGTCAAGGATTGTTTATGGATATTGTCAGGCAGGCCAGCCACAGACCACGAATGGGGCGGCGCAGTCAAGATCTCTAGCGCTGCTAGGCGCGCAGGCTTTCTACACCCAATTTTGTGTTCCACTGCGAGGCATATGACATAACATAATTGACGAGAGAGACCGCTGCTCCGGTTACTGTGGAAGAAACAGAGGCTGACACGGAAGCAGATTCGCGGGAGGTTACAAGATGTTGATTTAAGATATCTTCTCGCCATCGGCCCAGGCTTTGTTAGTTTGGTGGGGCAAATTGGAATTCAATGACAAAAGAATCAAACCAACCAAACTCTCACCCAGATCACACAGTCTGCTGTATCGGTGCGGTGACGGAGTTCGGATCAAGGACTGAGACAATCTTTTGTGCAGACCCAAATCACTGACTAGTCCCACATCCCTTTGCCAGCCTGATCAGAACAACTCGCCGTCCACGCTTCAACGTATCATAAGGCAAGCTGGCGCAAATCGCCCTAATGTGAACAAGAGCTGGCAGCACGGCAACCACCACAGTCGAATGGAAAGCTGCCTTATGTAGGATCCTTCATAGTGCGGCTCATCAACACAGCGAGATTTTAATTCGACGTTTTTCAAGACGGTTCAGTTCCGCCATATGATATCCTTTCACATAGGTGGAGAGCAGAAGAAATGAGATTTCACCCAATCCTGTACCCGATTCAAATGGGTGACCCGCAAAGTCGAGGCGTGGGAGGCAAGAACAGCGACGATGCCTGATCGGATCCCTCGTCCTTCCGAGATAGTTGGTGAGCATGCCTTGATTGGAAACCGCACAGCTCGAAAAGTGACGGCTTTCATTTAATCCAAGTTGAGATTGTGGCAGGCTTTCACTCCACGCTCGCTTTCGTCTTGCAGGACATTTGGCAAGAATTGGTCCCAGGACAGTCGGCCTAGGAGTTTTCAGCTTGAAGGTTACGGGAAATCTTTTCACGACGATTTAGACTGGCTGCTCTGTCCTCTCTGGTCCAAGCAAATCTTCCCTCAACTCTCTTTGCTGCCTCTTCAAGTTGACGGAAGCGACAGAGAACCATGTCCCTTACATTATCGGTCGAGGCGGTCAGGATCAGACCGTCGCTGGATGGTAATGTCGGTTTGGAGATCTCAAGGAACTAGCTGAGCTTTCAGAATCGTTGTCTGCTAGACGTACCGGGGCTAGAGCGTCAAACCTCGATGACCGTAGTGTTGTCTTGAAGGATCATTGCTTCCTAACGTCTATGGGTCACCTCTAGATACTTCGCTCGAAAAGACTGAAAAGGCATGTCTTTCAGACGGCCGAAAGTGGACAGGTCCAGCTCATTCGCCCTTTTTGAATGTTTTCAGGGCGCCCAATTGTTATCGACCTAACCCTTCTGACCCTTCTAACCCTATGTAGCGCTATCGTAACTACTTTAGACTGTAGCGCTGATTCTGAATCTATTTAAGGCTGATGTTGAAGGACAATCTTGTTGTGTGTATTTGGTGTTCAAGGGATACGGGTGTGACAAGACAGCTTCCACTTTCGGTTCACGCTGACAGAGAGAGACAAGGTCGCCATCTTCGATTTGGAATCATTAGCCATACCGTAGTGTGAACCCCCGAGCACAAATGGTATGCGAGGATATTGAAGGAATCCAGAATGCAGGGCGACAAACGCTGGAGACCATTGACCTTGTACTATGGTAACAGTCGATATCAGTCAAGCTTCGCACAAACGCCGCAGTGTATTTGGGCACAGGTGCGGAAGAAGCAACAGCAAAGGGGCACCTTTGTTTGATTGCTCAATCACAGAACTCTGGAACTTTGTTTTGATTTCTTCATCTAGACCATTTCGCCGGGGTCCTCGCGGTCTCGAGAGGGGAAAGAGAGAACCAGGGGCTTCGTCTTTTCTTGCTCGCTGTCCGAGGATGTCTTCTTCTCCGAGAACATGTGAGCAGGAGGGCATTTGTGTAAGATCATGGAGCCTCCGCTTCCACCTCCGCCTTTCTTCCATCATGCATTTTTGCGTTGTCGGAAGGAATCTTCTTTGCGCGCATCATGGCCCTGTTTTCCCGCACCCCTACGACCACCACATCAACGCCGCCACCCACGGTCACAGGCATGCCATTATGCAGTGCAGTGCGTGACACAATCCACCTTCTACTCCTCGACAATGTTGCCCCGTTCGCTGACGTACAGGCCGTCCAAGAACTTCCGGATATCCTTGTTCCTCACTCTGCAGGCTTGTTGAATATCGGCGGCGGATTGTGATACGTTCTCGAGGCTGTTGCCGGTGATTTCGATCTGGTCCTTGACGCCCTTCGAGGCTTCCACTGAGACTCCGTCGTGCATTGTGACGTGTCGAACGATCTTCTCGCCCAAGAAGTTTCTACCGCATAGCAAATGAGTATTAGTACTGTTGTTTTCTCCTTTGCCTGGGGAACCATTGAGCTGTTTTTCCTTTTCTGTATGTTCCTTCCACGGCGATAACCGAGCCGGTGTCTGCGTGCCTGGAGAAGATTTGACGGGGAATTGCCTGCTCTTACCTGATTTCCAAGTGATGCAATCCCTCCGGGTTCTTCTCGATGTTGACGTTGATGGGAAAGTGAGCATAGACGTATCGCATCTTGTACTTGTATCCCTTGGTCACACCAGTCACCAAGTTCTCAATAATTGACTTGACGGTTCGGAGAGCTGCGACGTTCTTTCTCTGGCCATGGTGGATTTCGATCTGAACGAGCTGTTGCCCTGCCTTATTTTTCCCAATTGTGAAGGTGACGGCGATGTGGGAGAGATCTTTCGTGAGTTTGCCTGTGCAAGAAATCCCGTTAGTCTCTCTTTCTCGTTCAGCATCCTCCGTGCATGCAATTCCCCCATAGTTCTCTCCGGCAGCTGCAAACTTCAAAGTTGAAATCTCTCGTACCTCGGGGACCCTCGACGGTGACGATTCGCGAGCGGATGTGGATTTTGACACCCTCTGGGATGACCAGCTGCTCTTGCGAGAAGATGTACTTCATCTTGGACAGCGGTGTGGGCGATTGACTGTGGGAGGGATTTGCGCAGGTCGGTTCGCGATGGGAGAACCGCACTTTCAGAAATTCCCCCAATTCTAAAGTGCCAAGCCCGAAGGTTTTGTGCGCGGCTTGGCATTTTGGGGGGACCTCAGCCTTGGGGACCGATATGAGGCTCGCTCAAATTAGGTGTTTTCTTGCATCATCGATTTACGAGATAATTTTACGCAGGGCCTCTGCTAGTTCTTCAAGATGGGAAGTGCAGACATGGTTTCAAAGAATCTGAACGAAAATGAATCTCCTAACTCCAGGCCTGGGTATCTTATGCTAATGTAAAAAAATCTCGACGGCATTCCTTCCACTTTTCTTCCAGCACTCATCCCGCTCGCCGTGTTTCTGCCAGCATTCGGGCGACTGTGGGATCATTGTCGTCAACTTGGATGCCTTGTTCGCGCAGGGCATTCCTGTATCTCTGTTTCAAGCCTTCTTCATCGTCTCCTCGTTCCGCGTCAGGGAAATCGTCCGGATCAACGAGCTCGTCTTCTTCGTCATCGTCATCAGACTCTCCTTTTGCGGCCGCGTCGTCGGACGCTTTTGAGTTGGAGTTCATTTTCATGTCTTTCATCACTTTCGTCAAGTCATGTTCTCGTTTGGCCGCAGTCTCTTGTTCGCGCTCCTTCCTTCGCTTCTCCAGCTCCGGCCGATAATCCCTTTCAAACTCCTTCCGCTTCTCTTCTACAGCTTCGAAGAAATCGTCGACACCCTCACCGGTCATGCTCGAAACTGCCACCATGTTTAGATGAGAATAGAACTCTTCCAACATGAGACTCATGCTATTGAGAAGGCTGGCCATGTAGCCGCTCCCGCCACCGAAGCCTTCACCTCCAAAAACACCTTTGTTCTGCTCCTCATTGAGGGCTTCTTGGAATTTATCGAAATCCGTCATCCATTCTCTTGCGAATTCTGCATCCTGAACATCCGTCTTGTTGAAAACAAGAATCATCGGAAGCTTTGTCTTGTACAAAATTGAGCACGCGTAAAGCATATTAGACATGAACGTCGATGTAGAAGATGTACGCGGCGTATCGATGATGTAGGCAATGACGGTAGGGAAGGAGGACGCAAGCGACTCGAGGAGAATGCTGCCTGAAGCCGACCAGACGAAGACCTCGATCTGTCCTGGCGTATCGACCAGAAAATGATTCGGCGGCGGCACTTTACTATCTGAAGGTGGATTTGCTCGCTTTTCAAGTAATGTGATGATTTGATCGATCTTGGTTGCGAATAAATTAAGAGACGTAAGGATGCCGCCGTTCGGACCAAGATTGTACTGCTTCATCACTTCTTTGTAGTTGATGCTGTCGCGGATGTCGATGTTGGGTTGAAATGGAACGTTGATGACAGCAGGATCGAGGTTGAGGACATATGGCTTCTTCTTGTTTACGTGCAGGTAGTTGTTGATGCGCTGCATGAACGTAGTTTTGCCGGATCCTGTGGACCAGTTAGTGCTTGCTTTCTAGAATTCCTTTCGTAGTCATACCGGCCATGCCGATACAGACAACGGCGACAGGGGATGTCGCCATGTCGCCTGCTAGGAATATCGTGCGTAGGCTTCAATGGATCTAATCGGGTTGGATGAATCTGAGGGAGTTAACTCTTAGAAAAATTCACAGGTTCATCTCTCGCCTTGCCGGGGATGGTGGGGAGCAATCACGTGGTTCGAGTCATATTACGTGTCAGGTATCAGAACTGTCGCGTCATTACATCTCTTGGCGTTGGCTCTTTATGGGGTCGATAGCCTCTTCGCTAGCAATCCCTTTGCAATGCAAGCTATGTTACCCAGAATCCGGAGTCCAGGGTATACGTTCTGAATCTACCTACTAGACAAGCACGCCTCAGACATTTTGTTGGTGCCTCGAACGAAATATGGGCCCTCGAACTTCTCAACGTCCCATTTCTCGCTGGCAGCGACAACATAAAGGTCGGTAAATTGATATCATTAAGTGATACGGTAAGGCGAGGACGTCTGGCCTAGGAAAACCTTGCTAAGAAGAGAAGAGAGAGCGCCTTAAGGCTGGGGAAGTGAGAAGAATGGGAAACTGGCGCGGAAAGCGATCCTGAAATGCCGGGCGGCCTTGAGAGCGCAGATTCCCACTTGAAAACCCTTGCAGACGATAAGGTGGTGAGTATCTTCTAACCAGTTTTTGATCGCGTGCTGCGTGGGATGAAGGGAAACTTGAATGTTGAGACTTGAGAGTCGGATGCGAGAGGGAGTGATGAGGAGCAGGACGGGGCGCAAGAGGAACAGCGTGAAGAAGACAACTGAGACCACCCAGAGTCTACCTCTCACAGTGCCAGCCATTTCTCATTCGCCCTTTTATTCCCAGATTAGCCTTGTTGCGCTGTTGCTGCTGCTGGTCTGTGATCTCGGTTCTTGGGCATAGCTAGGGGTGTCGCCTGGCAGGCTTACGGTCGTCTCGCCGGGAACTTTGGGGGAAATCCCTCAACTACCATTACCTCTCAAAACAATCCTTCGGGCATGGGATTTCTCGGTAGCTCACGTTGCGGTCGCAGCTAAAGTTGGGCCAGTGAGTTTTTCGATGGACTCTAAAAGCTCATGCGGGAAGAAGGGCCATGATAGCACTGGGCAGCTATAGAAAGATACTCAGCTGCGAAGAAGGCCAGTGTGGCTTGGAGATGCATCAATGAAGGCCGTCGTAAGTATATCTCTGAATCTCACAGGCACAAAACAGGATGCCATAACCGATGACAAGGGTTCGTTCCGATCCGCCAAGCTAATTGCCCTCTCCGTTTTCCTCTCATCTCCACACTCAGCTCCGCGACAAGCTTACTTGGCTAAAATGACTCCACTGGTGCTACTGCCTATGGCCATTCTCAATAAGTGCTACAAATGGAAGTAGTGTCAGTTAGAAAACAGTGACAGTGAGGTCTCCAATAGAGATGTTATGTATTTTCCGATGAAGTGCGTTAGACCTACCGAGGTAAGTAAGCCTTCGGGGGTGGCGCAGTAGGGGCTGGGCATGCTACCTATACAAGTACATATAAGCTTCGCGCCAATTCCATGATGGCCGAGATTGGTATGCGTTGTGTGTGAGTACTGGGTACTTGTAGATGCCAAGGTTAGTATCGCTTCCATGCGTTCCGCATTTCCGGACGGCAGAGCTGCAACGTTGCTGGCTGAAATCCTCTGACCACACTCTTTTTTTTTTCCTTCCGCGACTCTGACGAACAGCACTGCAGACAGATACTCTCGTGATATTTGCTCATCATGGTGGATATGTTGTGCTGACGGATCAAGAAGGCCAGAAACCAAGGCCAAGGTGAAGAAGAGATAGGGCAATCCGAGTACACTACCCGGTAAGGACATACCTGCACCAAATAAGCAAGACTTTGACAGAGCGAGCATTGGTGGCATGACATGGATTCCACATGTCGCTGGACGCTTGCTCGGATGCAAGTGCCGATCACTATTCAAAGTTTTGGCGGCCTGGAGTGGGAAACCGTGAATCAAGCAAGTGATGCGCATAGTTTTGAATCCTGAAGGTGTATGAGAACCCGATCGCCTATCACAGCGTCCTTGCATCGATACACCGGAGAGATCCGAAATCAGAAGGGGATGCCGATGAGGTTGGTGATCGTTCCACTGTCGAACAGTCCGCCGCCACTTTCGAGACTCCCGGCGGCCAATGCCTGAGCAGTGAACTTGGGCCCGGGGCGCCTTCGCAAGCATCTGGAAGAATTCCCAAAAGCGACTTCCCACTCCGCGAATGCACTGATAAGGTGTGTGATAGGGCAGGTCGGTAACTCCTCCAAAATAACGACCGTGCTAGCTACGCTCGATACGGAAGGCGTCTTGAAGATGTCCTCCCACGCCTGACCTGATGAAGAGTTCGCTATCAGATCTACTCATAGCTGGCTAAAGGTTTCTCGCGAGCTTCAGCGCCGATCAGCAGGTGTGTAGCACTCAGAGGTGGCATCGGTTGCATCGTGTATTTGATCTAGTGCTGCCCACAACCCGGGCGTCACGCGATGTCTGCCAATGGCACCTTCCTGACCAAGTTGCGGCGCCGCCCTTATCAGAAGCGGCTCGGGGGCGGGATATTTGTGGATGCCTCGGTGCATGCTTGGCGGATACAAGTGGGCCGGTGGGTGGATACTCGAGTGGATATCAGGTGCGTGGTTAGTGGATGGTCGGTCGAGGCTTGGTGATTGCTTGTTCTATGCTTAACTTCCCCCGAAACTTAACCTGACCTCCAGGTTTCCAAGTGCGGCCCTTGTTTATTTGCAGCTCTCACACGCCGTTGAGCATCGCCTGCCTGATGCGGTAAGAAATACACATCTGCATCCCAGTCAGTAGGTATCCTGTCCTTGTAAGCTCACTCTACCTACGGGTAACGCTGGTTGGCGTGCCGTTATCTCTGAAGGAACGCGCAAATCCCTTCCATGCTCAATTGGTAGCGGGTTTAGTTGCCACTGATCGGCCGTTCTCCTACCCAAGGGCGATTTACCTCCTCAGCCGGCGAATAGTTTGCTCCATTTGATTACAGCCCATCATTTCGTTCGTCCGGTCAAATCTTTCTGGATCTCGAACCACGATCACAATCGCTCCCGTGTGGCAATCCCACCCCAGCGTCCCCGAGACATGGCCATCCTCGTACTTGCATGTGGCAGACGCTTACAAGTAGCTTGATTCCACAAAAGAGCTTGTCTTCTGTCGCCGGAGGAAGGGGGGTCCTAGTTACATCGGCGGGACTACCGCCATCCTCACTCGATTAGAAGGTCGATAGTCGTGCCGTACATAACCAAGCTCTGAACCCTTCTCGTTTCTCTTTCTCTCGTCTCCTGGCACTGCTGTCTAAAACCCTCCTTCCTATTCACGACCGGGTTGTCGCCAGGTCATTGTCAAATATGTCAATCATCCCGACAGGCCCAATGGGCATCAGCATTCCCACAAAGGAGCTGACGGAGCTTCATGAACCCGACAAACTTCGCCAGCTATCGCAAAGCGGTGCTCACCCTGGCATCCGTCAGCGTCTATGGGGTCTGCAGGCGCGTTTGGACCCTACTGTCACCTTCGAAGAATATAGCTTTTGGGCCAAGATCGAGCGTGAGATGGAAGACATAGAGTACCGTCGATATATGGCCAAGCTCAAGGGCGGTGGCATGCTGGGTTACCTCAAGGCCTATTTCAGCAACAGCACCGAGCTTGAAGTTACCGGTTCTGAAGATGTGGCGGCAGAAAGCGAGACCACTCACCCCGAGAAGGAGAAGGAGAAGGATGTCGTTGCCAACAACAGCGATTCCTCGCTGAACCCAATTGCACCGTCAAGCACTCACGACTTGGACGCCGAGTGGCGGCGAGCCGCTCGCGCCCTCCGCACGACGGGCTGGATCACCATCTTCTACCTGATCACCACCGATATCCTCGGTTGGAGCCAGACTCCTTACGTCTTTGCTAGTTGTGGCTATGGCCTCGGGGTTGGCATTTTCGTGCTTTTCGGGATTGCTGCCGCGGCCTCGGGCCTGATGATCTGGAAGGTCTTCCTGGCTCTCGACTCTTCACGCTACCCTATGTTAAGCTTCGGCGACCCTTTCTTCCGTCTCTTCGGCCCCAAGACCCGTCACTTCATCAATGTCACCCAAGCCTTTCAGATGTGGTGTTCTGTCTGCGTTGTGCTCATGGGCAACTCCCAAATTTTGTCGCAGCTGGCCAAGGCCAAGGTCTGTTACATCGCCATCGTCATCATCAACATGGCTATTGGCATGATCTCGGGCGCGCTCCGATCTCTCAAGCACCTTGGCTGGTTATGCAATTTCGCAGTCTGGTTTAACATCGTCAGTTTCATCATCATCTGTGCGGCCGCCGCTCTCAATGGCCCGGATCCAACGGTCGCTCTCCAGACAACTCTTCTGAAAACCTTCGAGCCGGTCAAAACTTTTGTCGGCACGCCACCTGCCCAGTATCAACAGCAGACAACTGATATTTTCGCGGCTCAGTTCAATGGTATTGATACCATCGTCTACGCCTACTCGGGTGCTCTACTCTTCGTTGCCTTTTTGTCCGAAATGCGCCACCCCATGGACTTCTGGAAGGGCTGCCTGCTCGCTCAAACATTCATCTTGGTCGTATATGTCTTCTTCGGCGCCTTCGTCTACACCTACATCGGTCAATACTCTATCACCAGCATCACCCAGGTTGTCAGCCCCTACGGTCTGCAACTGGTCAGCAATATCCTGGCTTTGGTCACGGGTTTCCTCGCCATATTTTTGTACTTCAACATCGGCATGAAGACGGTCTATTTGGAAGTTGGCCAGGAGCTGTTCGGACTGCCCGCGATCTCTACCAAGAAGGGATACTATCTCTGGCTGGGTCTTGGGCCTGTGTATTGGATTGTCGCCTTGGTGCTTGCCGTCTCGGTGCCCAATTTTACAGCCATCACCAACCTCATCGGTGGCCTGCTGAGTCTCAACTTCACGTACAGCATTCCCGCCATCATGTACGTGGCCTGGGTCATCCAGAATGCTGCAACCCTGCCTGGTGAGGGTTTCGATCCGTATACGGGAGTTACCACTCGTCATGACGATGGCTGGAAGCGATACATGCGCGGGCTTCGCAAGAGCTGGTGGTACAGCGTTCCCGCGATCTTGTTCGCCTTGGGCGGTTTGGCCTCATCCGGGATGGGTTCTTGGTCCGCTATTCAATCCCTCAAGGAGATCTTCGGCCCTGGTGGCACTATCCAGACATCTTGGAGCTGTACTGCTATCGGCTAAGCTGAATAAGTGCCGATCCTAGTCAGGTTGCCCACGGACTGCCTCGATTTGCTGTAGAAGGCGACTTTAGCCCAAATTAACCCAAGCCTGCTCGGATGTGCCCTTGAAGACGACAATGCCATGCTGCATATTTGCTTTGAAATACCGGGTGGAACGAAGCGGGATCCTATGAAGGGCCTGAAGATAGTGCTCCAGAACAGCAACAGTACCTAGATAGAGATTACAGAGCTCATTACTGTGAAATTTCCTCTTAATATTGTATTATTTGAGCCAGCGCCATCATCGCGATCCCGTCAGCAAGTTATCAAATGAATGATAAATGTTGTGGGTCACCGTCACCAGGAGTCGAAGAAGCTCTCGCAGAAGAACAAATCGGGCATCATTGCCATGTGCCTGCGCGGTCCAGACTTTGAGGCGCTGAGCACTCTGGGGCCTGAGCCCTACGAGCAGGGCGCGGCACGGCGTGGTGATTTCAAAACCCCTTCGTTTTGTCATTTACGTACGGAGGGGTTCAACTTTCTCGTCAGACCACGCAACCGTTTTCCGCAGCTTTGGTAAAATTCCCCCGACATCTCATTCGCGCCACCAAACCCGGATACTCAAGTACATTTTTGTCACAAATGGCACTGGAAGACTTTGAGAAGGAGTTGGCAGAGCAGAAAGAGGCGGAGAAGAGACGGGAGGGGCGCAAGGAACACGAGAAGTCCGAACACAGGCATCGACACCATTACCATCACCACCGAAGTTCCCGACATCGCGACTCGCATTACGATGCCGAAGACGGTCACCGGTCCAAGAGAACGAGACACTCAAGAGACGAGGAAGCGTCGGAAAGCAGACATCAGCACAGACATCACCGCCGCAGTAGAGGAGAGGAGGACACAGAGGAGGAGAGGCCGCCTGCAACGAGCTCAGGTTCGGGCGAATTGAAGCGTGATGCCTGGATGGAAGCTCCTTCGGCGCTCGATATCGACTATGTTCAGAGAAAAAGACCCGAACCCTCGCCGCAGCCGAAGTCTGGTTCTCTAGAAGCTGACTTTGAGCTGAAACTGCATGAGAGAGAACTCAACCATCACCTGCGGGATCTCAAGAACGGCACTCCCACCAACGAGCTCGAAGCCGAACCGGCCAGCCACGAAGTTGATTACACATTTGGAGATGCTGGCTCTCAGTGGCGTATGACCAGGTTAAAAGGTGTATATCGGCAAGCTGAAGAAACAGGCCGCAAGGTGGAGGACGTTGCTTTGGAACGCTACGACAGTCTACGAGAATTTGATGACGCGAGGGAGGAAAGGATCGAGTTGGACCGCCGCAAGACCTACGGCGATGGCTATGTGGGCAAGGACAAGCCCAGTGGAGAGCTGTTCCAGGAGCGGAAGATGGATGCGGGCTTCAAACGACCTCGTCCGCGAGAAACTGAGACCAGTCCAGACCGAGTTCTTGAGCAGATTCCTGTCGCGACAACCCACGCCACTACCCAGAAGGTTGACCAGACGACGCTGAACAAACTGAAGGCACAACTCATGAGGGCTCAAATGCGGAAAGACCCCAAAGCCGCGGACTTGGAAAAGGAGTACGCCGAAGCGCTTGCTGCGTACGAGTCACAGGACCCCACGATAATCACCCTATCCGCCATGGATAACCGCATGCTCTCATCCGCGCCTCGGAATGAAGTCAAAGCAGTGCAGAACCGCCGAGGAGTAGAACGTGGCCAAGTTGAGGAGAACGAAGACATGAGCATTGAAGACATGGTCCGTGAAGAACGCCGCACACGCGGACAACAAGGAGGCGAGGGTCTGCGGATGGCGGAGCGGATAGCCAAGGACGCCAAATTCGACAATGACCTTGATTACCTCGATGAGAATGCCGAAAAACTGGCCAAACGGGTACACAAGTCCGACGTCAACCTCCGCAATGTCGCCATCAATGAGTATCAAAAACTCAATAGGATTTTGGAGAACTGTCCGCTCTGCTATCACGAAGATACGGAGACTCCGCCTGTCGCTCCTGTCGTGTCTCTCGCGACAAGAACATATCTCACTCTCCCGACCGAACCGGAACTCTCGCCCCAGTCCACCATGATCGTGCCGACCGAACATCGCACAAACCTCCTCGAATGCGACGACGACGAATGGGAAGAGATCCGCAACTTTATGAAATCGCTCACGCGCATGTACCACGACCAGGGTCGCGACGTCATCTTCTACGAGAATGCTGCGTTTCCGCACAGGAAGCCGCACGCCGCGCTTTCTGTCGTACCGCTTCCTTACAGCCTGGGAGAAACCGCACCGGCCTTCTTCAAGGAGGCCTTTCTGAGCACAGAAGACGAGTGGTCCCAGCACAAGAAGATCATTGACACTTTGGCAAAGGCCAAGTCTGGCGGATTGGGCAAACTGGCGTTCCGAAGGAGTCTGGTGAAAGAAATGCCATATTTCCACGTCTGGTTCGAACTGGACGGGGGCATTGGACATGTGGTGGAGGACCAGGAACAGTGGCCTAGAGGCGATCTATTTGCGAGAGAGATCATTGGCGGCATGCTTGGGTTAGAACCGGATGTGATCAAGAGGCAAGGACGGTGGCATAGAGGGACGGACAAGAGGGTCGAGGATTTTAGAAAGGCGTGGAGAAAGTTTGACTGGACAAGGGTGCTTACCGAGGGTGGTGCATAGTTGAAGCAGGGTACTGTACAAGTTCGACCCTGGGAACGATAGTCGACTAATTGAAGAATACTATTCAAACCATATGGTATAATATTCTTGATCATCAAAATAGAAAGGCGAGAAGGCCTTGGCTGAAGTCACGGGGAGGCGGCGGGGTCTAGTGAGTCTCGATCTCGCACTCACCGTCAGAACCGTCCATCAATGCGGCTTCTCGGTTATCCGCGGTTGGCTTCCAGCATCTCACTGCGCTCAAATACTTGCTTGTGTCCGGGGAAGAGAAAGACAAAAGGGAGCTGCTCCATGTCTGCTTGACGGATTGCCCTCCAACTTGCACCATGAAGTACGTCCCTTCACCACAAGCCTTAAGATGGCTGCAATGTCTGGCGCAAAGCCAAAGCGTTGCTACGCGCCCTCGAACATATGCCCCTTTCCTCCGCATGAGCAGACACTTCCACGCGACGACTAGGCTAGATAGGATAGAAACACACACTCTCTCGGACATCGGCGAAGGGGTAAAAGAGGTACAGATCATCCAATGGTTCGTGGAGGAAGGGGCTCCCATCGAAGAGTGGAGTCCTCTGTGCGAGGTCCAGAGTGACAAGGCCTCGGTCGAGATCACGTCCAAGTTCAGCGGCGTCATCAAGAAGATCCATTTCCCGCAGGACGCCGTCGTGCAAGTGGGTGACGCCATGGTCGACATCGAAGTGGAGGGAGATGCAGAACCTGAAGAGACGGAAAAGCCGCCGGCGGTCCAGGACGATCCTGGCAAGATTGCAGACGAGGAACAAGCTGCAGAGGATAACAGGGCCGGACATCCCGAGGAACAAGACACATCGACTCCTGCAGTGGCGCCCAAGCCAGCCAGCAAATACGCCTCTCTGGCGACTCCTGCCGTCAGGGGTCTGTTGAAGGAGCACGGCATTGCAATCGAGGATATCCCGGGCACTGGCAAGGATGGCCGTGTCTTGAAAGAGGACGTTTACAGATATCTCGAACAAGGCAGCACTGCACAAGCTCCTCCGACCGTTGTATCATCCGGGCCGTCGTTGAAGCCCGAAATTGACGCGAAGCAGACCGAAACCGCGCAAAGACTGACGCCTGTCCAGTCAGCCATGTTCAGGAGCATGACGGGGTCCTTGTCCATCCCGCATTTCCTATACTCGGACACGATCGACATCACCAACCTCGCCTCGATGCGGACTCGACTGAACGCGGCCAGAAACCCCGAAGAGGCGATGATGCCGAAGTTCTCGTACCTCCCCTTCATCGTCAAGGCCGTGTCTTTGGCAATGAACCAGTACCCTCTCCTCAACGCGCGGCTGGACTTGACCACTGACCCCAAGAAGCCACAGCTCATGATGCGCTCGGTGCACAATATAGGGATAGCCATGGATACGCCCAACGGACTTGTCGTGCCTGTTGTGAAGGCTGTTAATGGGCGATCGATCACGTCCATCGCCCGCGAGATCCAGCGCCTCTCGCAGCTCGGCCAGGCAGGCAAGCTCGGCAATGACGATCTCGCGGGCGGCACCGTCACAGTCAGCAATATCGGCAATATCGGCGGCGAGGTCGTGGCCCCGGTGATCGTCGAGGGCCAGCTCGCCATCATGGGCGTCGGCAAGGTCAAGACCGTCCCGGTCTTTGCAGCAGATGGCGTCACCGTCAAGCCGGCCCAGACGGTCAGTCTGAGCTGGAGCGCGGATCACAGGGTCGTCGACGGGGCCACGATGGCGAGGATGGCGCAGGTGGTGCAAAAATACCTCGAAGAGCCGGGGACTATGGTCGTCGACATGAGCTGAATGAAGACAAGAATTTACGTAGTAATACGTTGGTCGCTATGAGCTGAAATACAATAAATGCAGAGTTTAGGCCTTTGAAAGCTACATGCGATGAAAACTTTTTGTTTGACATATTTCGAGGACGAAATATACACCAAGCCAATCGCATGGAGGATATGTGTGTGTGCCAGAGTTCAGCAAGAGCACAAGGCAAGAAGCAAAAGCAAATACAACATGCAAGTTGGAATATGTACCGCCTGTCTGTCTATCTAGCTGATCAACTTGGCATTCATGCCCACAATGCATCGGACAATGTCCCAATCTCCTCCCAGGCCGACCCAGTCGGTGACCACGATGCCGGTGCTCCAGTCTCCGTCCTTGACACGACCGTTGTCGCCCAGCATGTGCCTCTGACAGAGGTGCGACACGATGGCCGGGTTGACCTCTGCGGCGACCTTCTCGGGCCAGCAGTTGACGTTCCAGAAGTTGCTCGCGCTCAGGAAGTTGACGTACAGCGGGTACTTTTGGCTGCCCATGTTCTGCCCCTGGAGGAGGCAGCACGACCCGCTGCGCTCGAGGTGGTCGCACGCGTACGTGATCTTCTTCTCGATCGACGGCTTCTCCATCACCTGGTAGAAGTCCTGCACGCAGATGTCGCCCGACGGACACATCGAGTTGGGCGTGTTGTCGGCCCAGACGTGGCCGTCGATGCCCCATCCCCGGCCGTTCCACTCGTGCCGTAGGGGTTCTTCGAGGACGAATCGGCGCACCAGGACGATCCGGCCGCGCACTTCGCCCAGAGACGGCACGCGCGGTTCGGTGAACCACTCGCGTGGGTTGGTGTAGTTGTTTTTCAGAATGCGGGAGAGTTGCTCATCTGTGCCCTTGCCCGTGCCTTCACGCTTGAGTGACAAGATGAGGGTCTCACCGGGGTTTTGCTTGAGGAATTCGAGGATCTGATTGTAGAGATCACGGAAGTATTTGTTCCCTGTGAGAGAGATGGGGAAGGAAGAGTGAACAAGCATGAGCTTGTCCGAGTTCGGGTCGTAGGGCTCTGGGACCTGGACGCGGATGTCAAAGAAGCGGACGCCGTTCTTGAGCTGCTCCTTCGGCGACACCGCCTGGCAACGCACGGATGGCGCGGCTTGATGATGTGTAGGCGAATTATGCGTGCCCGGAACCGACAGGACTCCGAGTGGAGTGTGGTCTGGGAGGTCTTTCATCCAGGTTTCCGGGTGGGAGGTATTGTACAGAGCCACATAAGAAGTCTCGGGGAGAAAGATACCTGTAAAGCGCAACTTGGGGTTTGCCGCGAGAGCAACCAGCGTCGCCGTCTCCGCCGTCGGCACGGGGCAGTACATCTGATGCTTCCCTCCCAGGTCCGTCTGGAATGTCAGTCGAAGGCGTTCATCGGGCTTGTTGATGACAGCTTTGATGTCCGTGGGCACCACAGTGAACGGCGGCAGCTTGATCGAAACCTCTCTGGTCGCAAAGGGAATCGCGTCGGCAGGTATTTGAGGTACGGCTTTGCGGGTGGTGTTGTTCGTAAGGCCCAGCCCATTCGTGATCGTAGCCAAGGAAGCTGTCACATTTTGCATCTGGAATCCTTCATCCGGCGCAGGATCGAAATGCTCGACCAGCACCAGGGTCAGCGGATTGTTGCTGATGTTGCGGATAGTGACAGGTGGTACCATTTCGGGCGGCTTCCGTTGTCGTCGAGGTTTTCGAAAGGGTGGAAAGAAGTTCATCGACGCGGCCAATGACGAAAAGACATAATAAGGGGACAGAGTCGGGATGACAGCGAATGAGAAACTCCGGCCTAGAGCTGCACCTTTCAGCTGAGTTTGGTCCCTTAGGCCCTTGGTGTTGGGCTCAATCTCAGGCCAGCTCGAAGAGATCCGTGCAAAAAGCGAATGAGAGCCAGCGAGAGGACGCGCGGGGCCGTGGTCTTCGTGAGCTGCCGCCAATCGCATTCCCTGCTGAGCGGTGAGGGCGCTTGCACATGCTCAGCTCGGAGTAAGTTGCTAAGTAGCTTCTCAAAAGGTTCAAGGCTGAGATGGAGCACCAGAACCTGCCGTTGATGGCGCCGTGCGCCTGAGTTGAAGGGGCCACTGTTGTTGACTGGTCCTCAGCAAGACAGTCTCCATGATAGCCGATATATTGGTCGAAGAGATGATGACAAGTGGAGGTCAATTGCAGAGATGGTTAAAGCATCCAGTCAGATCATTTACCGGCATCTTTCTCTTTGTGTCCCTTGTCCACTTGAAAGAACTTCCCGATATTGCCTTTACATTTATAATAAATATGTGGCGTGTATAACCAATCGCCTCAAGCATCGTCCTTACCCTCCCACAAAATCTGGCCCTTCCAAACCGCCCGGCCATGGGCAAACCCCACAATTAGCCACAGCACGAACAACACCGCAGTCATCGCGCAGCTGACCCATTTGATACCAGGACTATCCAGCACGGTCCCAATTGCGGTCGTGGCAAGCGCAAGGCCTGTGTTAGGGAAGACAAACCCCCACCACGTGAGCGTAAAAGACATGGTCCTGATCCCATTGAAGACCGAGATTGTTGTAATGCCATAGTACTAGAACGCAAGCAGCCAGAGGAAGATCCCTGCAATGCTGCCCGTTGCGCGGAGAATCTCAGGTGCAGAGACAGTCTGGACACCCAGAAAGTCAACGGGGAGGACGGACGTTGCTCGTTCGGAGAGAATGACTAGGCCCGCAGCGGGATATGCTGCCGGGCCTACTGCGACATACATGCCAGGGCGCAGAGACGGTACTGGGAGTTCGGCAGAGAATAGACGAATAACCCAAATCGCGTAAAGGAGGGCAGTGACCAACCACCCTAGGCCTTGGAAAGTGACTCCGGCAACAAAGACAGGGACTCCGGCGGGAGGCTGTTGATGTTGAAGAATCACCCCAGCCAGTCGTCCTGTGACTATGAGCGGATACATGGGTAAGATCCAGGCAGGCGTCATTCCTTGGATGTTGATCCTTTGAGTGACGAACAGGAGGTCGTACTGAAAAATCGCAAAGAGCAGGGTAAAGCTGCAGGTCACCCAAAAGCATACCTTCATCGCCGTGTCAAGCCAGGCCCAGCATAGTGACCATATGAATCCACACCTTGGAGAATAAGTCTGACCGAGACCCAGAATGTTCCCACAAAGAAGGCTTCGCCGGGACGGATGAATGAATGCCTAAGGAACTATGTGCCACAATGAATCGTCTCATTATCAAGGCTGTGAAGAATACGAACATGATCAGATCGATAACAATGATGACTTTACCGATTGTGATCAAGCCACGGAAATTGTAGGGTGTCTGGTAGACGACATTAGCCAGCGAACCTGTGGCCATCGTCAATGGTTTAATCCCTGTCTTATCGGAGGGAGGAGCTCCTAGTTTGGCAGAGAATGCATTTATTCTTCATCTTGCTGACCACCCCACGCACAGCTCATTTCGACAGGGCTGAAGGGGGGACTCCGAGCAGGAGTAGTTGATCGATCCTTATGCTGGCACAGGCTGTAGGTGCAAGGATATGTGTAGTTGCTGAAAGAGTACTTCGTGTTCATCACCGAAATAGTCCATCTCAACGAGTGTGATTTCTGATTTTGCCTCATTATGTCCATCCGCGCCATTCGCAACACATGGTGGTATACCAGACTGGAGACAAGCGAGGGACGAAGAACAGGAGAATGTGGCTGCTAATCTTTATATGCGCCACCGTAATTCCTGACGTCACGCACCGCGTCTCGTCAACCCGCCTCGCCGCTCAACTGAAATGACAGTCTTTTGAAACAACGAGCTGACAGCATTGAAACTCGACGTTATCGCTTGCCACGAGGGACTGTTGGGTAGAGCTATTATTTTTCGCTAAAAAAGAGACGCCCATGTTGGATCGAAATGAATGAACCTGCCAATACTAACTACTTGAGAAGAGTGAAAGGCAAGCTGAGCCACGCATGCCGTTCTGAAACTTCACCAGACATCATCGGCATGATATGTCCCCTTCCGCCTATGGGATGACCTTTGCCGCCCTCATCCTGTCAAAAGCGATTGCATAGGCCTTGAGAGTGTCGATCGTTTCCTCAAAACCCACTGCTCGAGCAGCGCTCAGGTCATACTGGCGGTCAAAGAAGGCCTTGTCCATCATAACGTCCAAGAAAGGCCAGTAATACGAGTCCAATTGGCTAGCTTTGAGGCCCTCTCTCGCCACCACTTTGTTCCAGGTATCAGCATGTCTCTTGACAAACTCTGCTGGGGGTTCAAAAGTGCCCTGCGGACCGATCCCTTCAAGACCAAAATAAGCGCAGATTCCGGGCCACTTGTCTGCCCAAGTCACCACGTCACCGTTTGTCACGTTGAAGGTCTTTCCAGAGCCACATTTCTCGGGGTTCAAAGCGGCATATATTTCCATCTTCGCCGCAATGTCTTGGAAGGTGTCAGTATGTTTGTGACGGTAGCCATGCTCAGCGCCCGGATATGGGACCTTGGCCCCGGCTCCGTGGACTTCGCGGTACAGGCTTAGGTAGAATGCCAGTCCTTGAGCAAGATTCATGACGTTTGTCCCTGGGACAAATCCAATCATCGCGTCTGGCCTGATTTCGGTGAATGTCCACGAGGCTCCTTTCGACAGAGAATCGAGCACGTCGTATTGAGAGTAGTAGAAGATATCGTCGGCGATCGGTTTCGGGACTCGAGGGTATGACTCCTTGAGCGGAGCCACAATTTTGACGACATCAGGGCGTTCTGCAGTGCCGGTTAGTCGGGTCCAAGAAGCAGAGGAAGTCATCAATACCCAGTCCATACGCCTTTCCACCAGTTTGTAGGATGAAGCTTTTGATGTCGGGCGAGACCGTTTGGATAGCCTCTACAGCGGTCTTGATGAGGTTAGTGTTGACCTCTTTGAGCGTCTTTTGGTCTTTCCCTGTGTTAATGTAGACAAATAAGAAGACATGAGTAACGGTCTCAATCTTGGGGACCTTTTCCTTCAACGCCTCGGCAACAACGTCGACGGGGGCGGTAAGATCAATGCCGCTGGCCAATTGGAGTCGTGGATCGTTGGGCCAATGGGCATCCGAAATCGACAAGGGACGATTTGACAGCGCGGTGACCTGACTGAAAGTGGTGGGAGTGGGATAGCTCAGGGCCTCTTTCACAAGCGCCCATCCCGATATACCAGATGCTCCGAAAACGAGGGCGTGGAAGTTGGTGGACATGGTTGTTGGGAAATCTTGGTGTTTTCCGGGGCAACTGAATATCTGGTGACAGGGAGCACACCACCCTTCGTCTTCAACTCCATATTTATATCTTTTGTTGCGCGTGGAATCTCCAGGAAAGCGTCACCTCATTGCATCACACAATCATCTCGTATAGAAGGACTGGTCACGTTCATGAAGCCGACTGCAGCGATACCCTAAACAAGAGCAAATGCTCATAGGGTCAAACTGCCAGCCAGTCCTGTTCCTGGACATACCCAGATGGGGAGGTGGGGAACATTGGACACTGGCTTAGTCGTACGAGAAAACATATGCGTGGGATTCAACGAGTGCCTGGCGAGGTTGAATGGAACGAAGTCGAATTAGGATTTTGCAGAGCTTCATGTTCCATCGTACTTGCGTAAATCGGCCGAAACGGACGAGCTGAGGTCTTTTGTGAGGACGGAGAATTGCCGGCATTAGGGGGGCGATACATTTCACGGGAGAGTCTCGATGAAATACTGACAAACGCCTAACATGGAAGATGGGGAGCTTGCCGGAAGTGGTTGCCAAGCCCGTCGGAAGAACTTGAATGCCGACGGAAGTCTGACGTAAGGTTACTCGGGACTCATCTGGCCCACATCCATCAAACAAAGTCAAGATTATGAATTGTAAATGCAAAATATACCTCATAAATTAGCACACAAAGCAACGTGGCGCAGCGGAAGCGCGCCGGGCTCATAACCCGGAGGACCTTGTGAGTACAAGGCATATATGTGCCAAATCAAATGATGATGCTAACCATACTCCCAGGGATCGAAGTACGTTCACCTCATGGGAATTCTTAAACAGTAACACGCACTAACTAAAATTAAAGACCAAGCGTTGCTATGAGTTCTTCTGAATTTTTGAAGCCAGAAACTACAGTCGCTTGTGGCCGTCCGCACCTTTTTTCTTGCTCTAAATTTTTTTTCTCTACCAACTTGGTGTATCAGTGTGTACGTGTACGACGAGAAGGGGACTGCCAAGCCGTACCTAGGCCGTATCATAGGGCCAAAGTACACAAGCTTCATCATTACACCAGCAACCTTGTCTTTTATTCTTACATTCCCCAGACGAAATGTGCTGTTGTAGCCAATTGGCAGTGTTATATCAATCTCTACCTAGTATCTAATATACCTCTGAAATTCGGCTGATGCAGACTGACACTAACTTGTTGTAGGTAGATGCAATCCACTTTGATATGAATTTTTAATGAAATTGAGGTGGTTGCAAACGTTCGAATTCCACCTCACCTTTTGCCTTTCAATCAGGTTGAAACTACAGCTAGGCGAATTCAGAACCTGATCGGCCTCAATTTCAGATCTCACGGACGCGTCAATTCTGACCATGTCTTTCCTGTGCCCACGACTCTGTTCGCAACTGGCAAAAGTTCATTCGAATGGCTGATACTCGGCGCGTCGGCCACCATGTCCACGAAACAAATGCGCTGAGTTTTGGACACCTCGGCACTGCCACTTATGATGTCCGCAGGCATGAATGGACGTTCCTGCGCCAGCATCAGACTCGAAACACCGAGGATGGACAGAGAACGCAGGCCAGCTGGAACCGCTCATCTCACTTTCTGTTGGTGGACGAACAGACGTGGAACTCTGCCCCAGACTTTGTACAAGCAAGAGACAAAGTGCAAGACTCTAGACTAGGTCGTGGGCTGCAGAATTTATTTCTGAAGCGAGTCCCCGACGCGGCCTTGCTTGCTGTCGATTTTTCGGCTCAGTCAAACACGGCATCCTCTCAGTCCGAAAAGCTGAATCGACCATCAGAAAGCGTCCTGGCCCTTGGGCATGCTCGACCTTCTCTTGACTCTGGCTTGCACAACGACGCTCCATATAGTCCGATTGTTGCGTTTCGAACGTGCTCGAATAACGGCATTCTTCAGCTCCTTGCCATAGAGGAGCGTCAGGTTGCCATCCGCAACGAGGCTGGTCTGCTGAATTTGTGCACGGTTCCTTTCATTGGCAACGTGCTGGGACACTGGGCGGAGTCAACAGACGAAATAGTTCAGATATCGTCAGCCAGTCATGTGAGGGGCACGCAATTTCTTGTCGTCAAGCCAAGCGGCACGACTATTTTGCGGCCCACGTTGTCAAAGCACAAAGTGCCTGAGGTGCTTCTAGATCCATGTCCAGTCGTCACCATTCCATGTTCGAGAACGGGCGGGCAACCTCACGCACACGCCACATTCAATCCCCAGGATCACTGTCTGGTGGTAATTGTGGACACCGGCGGGCAATGGGGCGTCTGGAAGGTCACGGGAAGAAAATCAAGGTCGGCGCGCATTCTATACCAAGTATCTCTGCAAGGCTCGAACTATATAAGCAATTCCGGCCAGCGATCTCTGCTCTCGGGAGTCTCAACATACAGGGATAAATGGCACCGAGCTTGTTGGTTGACGAACCCGAAAGGAGTTATGGACAGACTCTTGGTGTGCAATCGACGCGTTGCTGCGGCTTTTGATCAGACGGGATCATTTTTGGGTCCGGTCGACATGCGCCTGGGATCCCAGTCAGATCGGAACGTGATTCTTGATGTCAAAATCAGCGACCGTCGGAGTGATCACGTATTCGTCCTGACCACGTCACGCTTCCTCCTATTTAGTTCGTCTCAGAGTACGAGAAACCCAAATGAAGCGCTTGAATTGGTATGTTCTTGGAATCATTACCGCGATCGCACCGATCTGAGGCTCCGTATGAGTGTCTTTGAAACTTTGCAAGGTACGGAGATTCACTGTTCAACTTAACACATCGCTAACATATAGTTTTAGATTCGTGGGTACTCCTTTATTCTGCCACCAGCCATTTCGCCGTCCTGTACCGCTTTGAGCAACAGGATTCCGCTTCGACAACTATCGCCATCCATGATCCTTCAGCTTTTCAGTTACCGCAGCATCTAACAGGACGCATGAAGAATGTCACTGATATCATCATGTGTCCAGTAGCCTTCTCGACTCAAGATCGGCCTTCGGGACCTGGCGGATTCGGCCTGGTCAAGCTTGTTGCCTGCTTGGCTACAGGGGAAGTTGTCGAAGCATTGTACAAGCATGAACTTCAGCAATTTGGCCTCTCGGGTCATCTACCGAACAAGTTTAGGGAGAAGGTGCCACATTTATCATTGCCCCGGACTCTGGATAGGCTTCTGGATACCCATCCATTAAGTTCTGAATATGTCGTTGACGAGGGTTCAGACGAGGATCTAGACGATTTTGTTGTAGCGGATGATGGAGAAACAAAAATTTTGACAGGTGAAGCCAGCGCTGCACATATCATTTCACAAGATTTACAACCTGTTCCTTCCAGTTCTCGGAATTGGCGGCGTCTTCTGCACTACGAAACTTTGATGGAAAAGGACAACGGTGGTATGTCTTTCAGGTCGACCTTGCAACAAGCGATTGAACATCTGGAACGTCTCAAAGGCGAGGATAAGATAACGCCCATCCATCTGATATCGGACCTTGCCGACAGGTGTCGCATCACGGACGTGGAAGAAGATTCTCAAACCGCGGATCTATGGCTTGATAACATCGCACTCCAAGCCAGTATTACCGTCGAACCGGCCGCTTCTGCTGTAGGGGGCTTCCCTAGTGCTTCGCACAGGCATTTACTTCTTGACCTTTACGAGAGCTTGGTTAAAGTATATGTCGAATCACTATCCGGTAAAGTCACAGACCGCGGCCGGGTCAATCGTGAAAGGCTGGTACGCCAGATAGTGGGAGATAGCTTTCTGGGGACATTTGTGTTGATTTCCGGGAATCTTCCTCGTCCATCTGATTCTCCACCACCATATTCGACGCGGACACGGGATGGCGAGGTTCCATCTCCATCACTAGGTCTACAATCAGATGATCAAGGGTTTTCGCAGGCACCAACACCAGAGACTCTTCCAGATGCAGAAGAACCTGCGGTCACCCGTCTACGGAAATACGCAACATTTCATCGTGAAGTGCCGCCTTTACTGCTCAACCATCACGCGAACATCTCCAACATTCTAGCCCATCTCCCGGGTTCTATACAACAGAACCCCGCAGATTATTCCTACCAGCAAACAAATCAAAAGATCAAGTTTACGCAGGAGGAGATAGCGGCAGAGTCGTTGAACCCAACAGAGAGGAAGAAGGCCCTCAAATCTGCCACTCGACTACAGCGGAAATTGGAAAGAACTCAACTCATCAGTCAAGAAGTTATGATGCAACGAAACTTATTGCCCGGCATCAGCAGCAGGCCCAAGGTCTCCGGTTTGCCAGAGCGAGAGGTGCAAAGCAGTCAGGCAGCTGCACCGAGCTCGAGTCAAACGACTGGACTACCAGGATTGAGCATGACACAACCGGAGAGAGGTGCTTATGGAACGAGACAAGCAGAGAAGAAGGGCAAGAAGGGGACGAGGAGACAGGCAGGCTTTTAGATTTTGGACAGCCGGTACAGTATATCTTGAGCGCGCCGTCTTGGATGGTGCCAAGCTTGCAAAAAGGGGCGAGGGGATTACCCCGGATTTTTGGATTCTCCGAGCAGGCCGGTGACCTCTGGCTGTGGCATGGCTCGGTGGGGCTCACTAAGCCTCTTAGGCGTTCCTTTGCCTGGAAGTGCGGGGATGGCGCAGGCCAGCGGGCTGGGTAGGGGCCACTAGGGGCGCCTGAGTGGAGGAAGCTGAGGTGCTTGTCGCGTGAGGTTAGGGATGCTCTCACCACCCACCATCCACCTCCCACCACCCTGGCGCGCACAGCTCTTGCTCTTGCTCCTGCTCCTGCTCGGGTCACTTGACTGAGCGACTTGACCCCTCAATTGCTTCTGCCTGAGCTGTCCATCTCTCCTCCCCCTCTCCCTCACTTTCCCCTTCTCTCATCCCAACCATCCTCCATCCTGCCATCCGGCGTGTAGGCAAATCTCTCGTCCATCACATACACATCGTCCCCTCCATCGGGTATCTGTGCTCCCACTTCACCTATTGGTTCTTGGTATGTATCACTTGAACCTTAGATTGGCAACCTTTCTCTCCCGCCTCACATTGCTCTCAACTCTGACGAATTGCTCCTTCTCAGACTCGTTCACCCATCACCTAACCTCCAACCCGTCACAGTCAACATGTCTGCCGACACTTCAGATCTCACAAAGGTCGACTCTGCCATCGGTGTCGATGATGCCGCCCACAAGGATGCAGCCAAGGAGACCAAGCGAAGAACAACATCCAGCGCTCCTGGCGTCATGAACATCATTGACCTTGGTAAGCTCGCTGGCTGGAGCCTCCATGACTCTTGCTCACTAGAGATCAGAAAAGGAGGGAACCAAAATCGCCGTCGCTGCTGAGACGCAAAAGACCGGATGGTAAGAGTGGATTCCTCACTTCCCCTTGACCGCTCGGAGTTGACTCAGCCAGGAAAATCAACACCTCGCCTTCCACGGTCGAAGATCCCTCAATCCTGAAGAAGCTGCTCACCACTCCCCCCGTCAAGAAGATCGATTTGCACTTCCCCCTAGGTCTCGAGGTCACTGCAAGGAACCTGAAAGGTGTCACGATAAAGGATGCACTGGATGCCATTCACAAGCAATTCAAGAAGAAGGTAAAGTGCTCTGTCATATGCAATATATCTGGACGATTGACCAAGATCACACACTGACGTTTTATTTGCAGGCGGATGACGAGATGGAAGAGCCATACCTCAAAGGCTTCGAATGGGACCCCGAAGAGTCGTGGACAAGACTCAAGGTCCACACCCAGAAAGAAGGGCTACCCGTTGGCAAGAAATCCAAGAAGAAGGGCGGCGACGAGTAAACGTGATTACCATGACTCGAATGTACACGACCAGGCCGCTCCTGGCTGAGCGGCAAGACCGACTCTCTCAACTGCTACCAATCACTGATCCACTACGATCAAATATGCTATCCCAAAAGAAAAATCAGCTTGGTGTGCATGGCAAGGTGCTTTGCGGGCTCTCTTTCTCGCTCATTCTGGCAATGTTTGCTCAATGCCGTGGTGGTGGATACCCAAATGGCTTGAATTTGCTAGCGTAGACCAGCAATGGCATAACCTCGAACTGATTCAATGCATCTCACAATCACGTATGGGTCAGCCTTGACCGCCTGGACCGCCTGTGACAGAAGTTGCATACAACCACGACTCAAAGCCGGAGTCAGTTTCTCCTGTTGCCATGCGGCGGTGGTGCGAGAAGGGCAAGCAGTTTTGCCGGCATAGGGCATTCAATGGTCACTGATCTTTGCCTCACGTGGGATGCCTCGTATGCAAGAAACGAGTTGCAGCCCCATTTGCTATTGACAGTGTCGATCGTGGTACCTCGTACAAACCCGTGAGATCTTTAAGGCTGCTTGCTCTCTGGAAAATCATCATTCTTCGAGCACACTCTGTGATTGTCTCTTGAAACCCGTATCGACACTCAACCTCGACTTGGGGGTCCAAAACACCCAAATTCTAGTAGCAAACATGGGATCAATCCTCCAATCAGATGTCACCGGCCCCAGCCAGAGCGACGCCAACGACATCCCCATCGTCGACCTCTCACCATTCACATCACCATCACTCTCAGCCGACACCTCGCACGAGGCTCGGCTGAAAGCTGCGCAAAAGCTCGTCCGCGCGTGTCGCGATGTCGGCTTCGTGTACGTCAAGAACCACGGGGTGCCGGAGGATGAGCTGGCCAAGGCGTTCGCGCTCTCCAAGCGGTTCTTCGACCTGCCGATGGAGGACAAGATGAAGGCGCCGCATCCGCCTGGCTGGGTGGTGCACCGCGGATATTCGTGGCCAGGGTTGGAGAAGGTGTCGGGCGCCATGTCCAAGCAAGACGACGAGGACGCTGTTAGGAAGTTGAGGGAGGTGCAGGATTACAAGGTACGTGCCCACCCCTCTCCTATGGGTCTCTGTCCTTGGTATCGCATTTACCCACGAGGAGGAAAAGAGAGGGGAAGGCATCCTGGTGCACAATTTTCTCTTCTCGTTATCAGGGTTCTTCCTCACCCCACGCTGTCGATTCTGTTCCCACGGTATACCTGTCTTTTTTTTTCTCTTATCGTTTTTCCAAACAGGAAAGCTACGAAGTTGGCTCCGAGACCAACCCAGACCAGCCCAACGTATGGCCGCCCGCGGAGGTGCTCCCCGAGTGGCGGCCGTTCATGAGCTCGTTCTACTGGACGTGCTTCGAGGCGGCGAAGCACATCCTGCGCGCTCTGGCGCTGGGCATCGGGCTCGCGGACGAGGACCACCTGCTGAACTTCCACGACGGCCACCACAACCAGCTGCGCCTGCTGCACTACCCGGCCATCCCAGCCGCGGCGGTGGAAGTGGGCAAGGTCGCGCGCATGCCCGCGCACACGGACTGGAGCAGCGTCACGATGCTGTTCCAGGACGATTGCGGCGGACTGCAGGTCGAGCGACGGCACGCTGCTGCTGGCGGGAAGGCGGAGGAGGACCAGGGGGAGTTCGTCGACGTCGACCCCATGCCCGGCACCTGCGTGGTCAACGTGGGCGATCTACTCATGCGCTGGAGCAACGACTACCTCACGTCGACAGCGCATCGCGTCCAGCTGCCGCCCCTCCAGGACCGCTTCACGGGCGACGAGAGGCTGACCCGCGCCCGCTACTCGATCCCTTACTTTCTGACCACCGATCCCGACACCGTCATCGCGTGTCTGCGCTTCGATGATGATCATCCCGCTAAGTACGACCCCATTACGCAGCGCGACTATGCGGCCATGAGAGCGCGGATGCAATATTGAGTTTTCGAATGATCTCTATTGCTAGCGTGGGTATAGCGTCTCTAGACGGGGAGCAATGTGTTAGGATTGGAAGGGCGTGCGAGCCGGTCCATCTCGACTCTGTTTCTAGAACTAATAGGAGCCGGGTTTCGGGCCTCATCCGGGCACGAGAGTTAGTTATTAGTGCACTCTTGACATCATGCTCCCCATCTGATCACCATGCTCTCGATACACCTCGTCAATCTCGGCCTGGTAGACTCTGGCTGCTTCCCTGCGGCGTAAACTGCCCTTTGACGTACGAGGAAGGGGTTTCTCCCTCGCGGCGAAGACAACATGCGTCTTGGTGAGCTTCGCAATCACAGGCGCTTCAACGTTGACCTGGTCGATCAAGAGCTCTATTTCACTCCGTAGCCGCGCCGCGTCCGCTCCTCCCCGTTCCATATCCCTCAGACCCTCTTCAGTCAGCTCAATCAATGCAATCGCTTGCTGGTGCCCGTCTCCCCACAGCAGCACGTCCTGGACCCGATCGTGGCCGTGTTGGATCTTCCCCTCAATGCCGGCCGGGTGAAATTTGATGCCGTGGCCGAAGAGGATCAAGTCATCAACACGACCCGCGAATTTCCACGTGCAGGGCCGACTCGGGTGAGGGGCGAAGAGATCGCCCGTCGCGTACTCGTTTAGGTGTGGGAAGGTTTGAAAGACGGTTTGACGGGATGCGGCCGTTGGATCCTTGAAACGAACTATAAGTGGTTCATGGAGTGTTGTGGTGGCGGCGGGCAGTGATTTCGAGTCACTGACTGCTACCGCGGAAGACGGTGGTTGACTTAAAGTGGACGGCCTTACCACCGCCATACGTGATACTAGATAATGAGCTTAGCCTTGCGAGATCTTGATCCGAAGAGGCATATTTCTCTAGCACTGCGGGAGCGCAGAAGATGCAGTCCCCCTTACCATACAAAATGGCGTCGAGCAAGTCTGTTGCATTCATACTCCGGTCCGAAGGTCCGAAAACATACGTGGTCTTGCCAAAGACAGTAAAACACATCAGGATTATGGCACTGATAACATGAAAGGGAGCAAATGGCACAATCAGTCTTCCGGCTGTAGCGTTCAGAGGGTTGATCCTGCGAAAGCCCGGGCCTCCACACTGACACTCCTCGGGCAACTGAGTAATCTGGTCATTGGCGGCCATCTGCGCATGGGTGATGCGTATAGGCTTTGGGAGGCCAGTCGTGCCTGAACTGTGCAAGATCAAGAAAGTATCTTGAGCGGCTTGGTCGAACGTTTTGGCCATTGGGTATCTTTCTGCGGGAGTAGGGTCCAGTAGTTCATCCAACTCCGGGCAGACAGCATGGTTCATGGACCGAGCAGCTAATATGTCCGACACATCCACGCCTTCTGCAGATAAGAAAAGATGACAGTCGCATAGCTGGAGCAGATTCAAATGGGCAGCGAGGCTGTTGATGTGAGACGAAAACAGAATCTGGCCTCGGAAGCATCCGTGAGCCAAGGTTTGACCTGACGTGTCTGAGCCAAAGTCGGACTCGCCTTACCTGGTAGCCAGTTTTGGCAGCTGCCATGGACAATATGTGATATCTCATGTCGGATTTGCCGACATAAGCTAGAGTTGGGAAATGGGCGGCGGGGCCAAAGGTGGTCTTGATGAAGCATGCAGCACGGTTGATTGCATTTGCGAAAGCGCGAAAGGAGATGTCCCGATACCCATGGGACAGAGTGGATGACAGGGGAATCGAAGCCCATGTTCTGGCCGGGTCATTCTCAGCGATTTCGTCTATGGCAACAGGGAAGAGACGACGACCGGGGCGAGCAGCGGTTGAGTCTGCAGGCATTCTAGACGGCAAGAAGAGAAGGTACAAGAAGACAGGTTGTAGAGAAGAGTGGGACTGGGGACATCCCAACGGCTATTTATATAGCCCATGGTTCGCTTGGGAGCCTGGAGAAGAGACGGACGAGGATCAAACCGAGCCATCCGGAATTCTGGCATAGTATTCCGTACTCGGGACGTACTTGGCCAGCTGGCTGCTAAGCTGCATTTTTTGTGGGTGGAGGGGAGAATATGCACATGGTTGTACCTGTAGCAGGATAACCCTGGCTGAAGATTAGGAACACGAGTATGTATTCTGCTCGTCTGGTCCGTCTGTTTCGCGGGAAGTTGCAGTCGAACTGAATGCAAAGAGAGTGGAAAGTGAAAAGAGAATTGAAAGCGTAAAATGCCAAATGCTTGGCGGTGACATCAAATGCTACTCGCCGTGTAATACTCCGCCGTAGTCCCTTGTATGCAATGTGCACCACTACGTGTTCCCTCCATCCTGATCCAATGCTTTCCTTCGGACCTCCGTGCTTCCCCAGATCGAATGAAGCTCCATGCCATCATCCATCGTCTACACTTGTCGCACAGGTGACAGCTGCATAAGCTCCGTCCTATACAGGTAAAAAACCTTAAGCCTTGGAACTGGACATGAAGCGATCATCATCATAAGCCCCCTCACCATCGCCGTTCCCATTCCACTTCCCCTTCTCTTCTCCCTGTCTTGTACAGGACGGCCTGTTGTTTAATTGATTTTTTTTGCTCTCATCTCTTCGCAATGTTGTGTTCCTCGCAGTTGCTGGTGGGTCTCTTGACTCTGGTTGCACCGTCTCCGGCCCTGGAGAAACGACAGGCTCCCTTGTCGACATTCATTCCTCAGGAGCAAGCTGTATCTATCCAGGGTGTCCTAGCCAATATCGGTGGCCTTAACTCCACTTGGGTTCCAGGTGCCAGCCCTGGTGTTGTCGTTGCGTCCCCCTCGACAGTCAATCCTAGTGGGTTTTGTCGCTTCTCTGTCACTAAACGAAGAGAACTGCAAAGATTGATAGCTGCCTGCAGATTATTTCTATACCTGGACTCGTGACTCGGCATTGACGTATAGAATGCTCATTGAGGAGCTGGTATTCGGCAACTTGACTCTCAGAAAAACTATCGAGGATTACACCACTGCTCAAGCCATTCTGCAGACCGTCACCAACCCCTCCGGCTCGCTATGGCCAGCAGGCGACGGTCTCGGGGAAGCCAAGTTTTATACCAACCTCACCAGGTTCGACGGCACCTGGGGTAGGCCGCAGCGTGATGGTCCCGCCTTGAGGGCCATTGCCTTTATGGATCTGGCTCCTGTCCTTTTCAAATTGAACGAAACAGCTCTGTACAAGCAGATCTATTGGCCGCTGGTCCTCAACGACTTGAGGTATTTGGGCCAGTATTGGAACCAGGTAAGTCATTGGGTGGTTTGTCAGCCAATGTGTCCATTCAGCTAAGCTCCCAATCGCTAGACGGGCTATGATCTCTGGGAGGAAGTCCACGGATCGTCCTTCTTCACTATTGCCAACCAGCATCGCGCTCTTGTCCAAGGAGCTCTTCTGGCGAGACAGCTAAACACAACCTGCTCACCCTGTGCTCAGGCTCCTCAAGTCCTCTGCTTTTTACAGAACTATTTCTGGAACGCCACTGGGGGTTACCTCACGGCAGACGTGAACGTCAACAACGTCGTTCGTAGCGGTATCAACTCGGACCCGATTTTGGCAAGCATCTCGGTTTTCGATGCGAACGCTACGTGCAATGCTAGCGGTAAGAATTCCATACAATTCACAGCCTGCCTTTGACCCTTCTAACGAAGTCCTCCCTAGACTTCCAACCTTGCAACTCAAAGATGCTCGCCACACACAAGGTCCTGGTTGACAGCTTCCGCAATCTCTATCCGATCAACAAAAACGCACCACCCCCCCACGCTGTGCTAATTGGCAGATACCCGGAGGACACCTATTACGGCGGCAACCCTTGGCCACTTTGCACCCTTGGCGCCGCAGAAATGCTCTATGATGCCGTCCATCAAATCAGAACGGCTGGTCAACTCACCGTGGACAACTACAGCCTTCCATTCTTCACCGATCTTTTTCCGACCATCAGCATCGGACACTACACGGGAAATGTAATGAACCAGATCTTGACCAACATGACAACGTATGCGGACGGCTTTGTCTCTGCTGTCCAGCAACACCTCCCCTCCAACGGCAGCATTTCGGAACAATTCGACCGCACCACCGGCTTTTCCACCTCCGCGTCCAAGTTAACCTGGTCATTCGCTTCCTTCGTGACCATGTCCCGTCGTCGGGCAGGTCAATTCCCGGTGAGCTGGGGGGCCTCGCGTCCATTAGCGAACACGAACCTCACAAGAGGCCAGTGTCGTGGAACGAGTTTTAATGCCACGGGGAATTATTCCCCAGCCCTCGCAGCCGGGGCGCCCAATGTGACCAAAGACTGCGAATCGGAAGTGATCTTCAGCGTCAACGCCACAACATCATTCGGCCAGAACATCTTCATTTTGGGGAATGTCACGAAACTAGGTGGTGCGCTGAACAACGCGGACGATATCATCCTCCCCTTGAATCCGGGGAACTACACGTCTACGAGTCCCGAATGGTATGTGGACCTCTGGTTGAAGGCCGGCCAGTTCGTGGCGTACCAGTACGTCCTGCAAAACGGAGCGCAGTGGATGTTTGAAGACCACCCTGTCAGGACTCTGCAGGTTGGAGCGTGCGGCAGTGGACGGGTTGCCCGCGCGAACGACGTGGCTGCATTTCCTTCTTCTTAGGGAGAAGAAGGAGACGACACAATGAACCAACAGAGAGGAATAGCCAACGATCGGAAGCTGGACTTGTGATTGGAGAAAAGGGGAGGGTTGAGGAATCAGGAATCGAAAGGACGACGACGGCCATGGGATTGGTAATGAAAGGGCGAATGAGTGAACGAATTTCCTCGAACCAAAATGATACCATCGTGATCATTACGCATTCAACATCCAGCATTCACGACTGCGCGAATACGAAGTACCTACGTACCAGTTAGTATACCATAGTACCGAGTATAGCCTGCCGGGCTTCTTACTCTCAGCCCTTGCTCCGAGTGACAATGAGCCTTCCCGTTTCCATTTGCCATTCCAATGTAAAGGAGATGCGCTATGTAGATGCAGATGGAGATGTAGAACTCACTCTCTATTGAAGGACGAAGTCTGCAGTCAGATTGGACAACTCGTCAGCCTGGTTGATAGTGGTAGTGATATCGGTGTGGTGATTTCTCTAATTAGAGCTTTCCATTTTCTCCCTGCTTTCTGCGTGCCTTGGCGTGCTTGCTATGTTTTGGAGTCTGTTATTCCCTCTGCCGCCCGGGGGTCGCGATGGTTCTGTTCTAACACACTGGCACATCTCTCGATCTCCTTTGCCTCTCTCCCCTCTCCCAGACGACGCACCGAGTCCTCTGCCCTCCCCATCCCACCGACTCGACTAGCTCCAATCTCAATCTCGAATTCCATCCATATGAGAATCCATTTCTGTATTCAAAGGCGTGTTCACGAGTGTCCAACGATGGCCTTGGGCTTGTACGGCTCCTCCAGGTACTTCATCTCGTCCTCGGTCAAGGACTTGCCCTTGACGGCGACGGCCTCCTCGAGGCGGGCCAGGTTGCTGAAGCCGACGATGGGGATGGTTCCCTTCTGGATGATCCAGGCCAGGGCGACGTGAGACATCTTCCAGCCCTTCTTATCCGCGAGCTCCATGACGCGCTTGATGATTTCGCGGTCCGCCGGGTCCAGGTCGCCGAACATCGGGTTGCCCTTCATGCTCTCCTCGCGCACCGTGGCTTCCGACCCCAGGGGGCGCGCCAACAGCCCGCGGTACAGAGGGGCCCAGGGGATCAGGCCGACGCCCGTCTCGTGGCAGTATGGGTTCATCTCGCGCTCTTCCTCGCGGTAGCACAGCGAGTAATGGTTCTGCATGGACACGAACTTGGTCCAGCCGTGGACTTCGGCGCAGTTTTGCATCTTGGCAAATTGGTAGGCCCACATGCTACTTGCGCCTGCAATGGGAGACGAAATCGGGTTAATCCAGGGGGGTAAGGAGAGGGATGGAAAGGACGAGGCCGGGATAGCGTACCAATATACCGAACCTTGCCCGACTGCACGAGGTCGTGTAAAGCCTTCATGGTCTCCTCCACCGGCACAGACCGATCAAAGCGGTGAATCTGCAGCACATCCAGATAACTCGTGTCCAATCTCTCCAAGCTGGCCTCGACGGCATTGAAGATGGCAGCACGGCTCAAGCCACCCTGGTTGACATAGTCTTTGCTCTTCTTGATCTGCTCGGGGTACTTGATGTGCACGACGCCAGGTTCCTCGCCGACGGTGCCGAAGCACTTGCTGAGGAGGACCAGCTTATGGCGGGGGATATTGTGCTTCTTGATGACGCGGCCGATCATGCGTTCGGACTCGCCGTTCGAATACACGTTGGCGGTATCCCAGCTGTTGAGCCCACGGTCGTAGGCGCCCTTGAGGAGTCTATCCACCTCGTTCTCGTCGTCGATAACCCATGGTTGCCAGTCTTTGTGGCCTGTAATTTTGGGAGAAAAAGGAGGGCGATCAGTTAGCTTCATGGCTCCTTTCATCATCGCCAAGGGGGTCTCCTGCAGATCAATCCGCTCCCTTCGCTACATGTTTCTGCTATCCCCTGGAACCCGTCGCAAGATGACGATCGAACTCATCCTAGCTGGGCCCGCCCCCCCCCCCGCCACAAGATAATTAAGCAGAGGCTCTCGAACTCACCAAAAGACATGGCTCCCAAGATGGGGATGGAGACTCTCAGGCCGGAAGCGCCGAGTTGGACATAGGTGACCTTTGTGTTATCCAAGCTCTCTTGAAGCGATCGAGGCATGCCAGAGTCACCCATCTTTCACGTTAGTCGGTGGTGTTTCTGTTCCTTCTTCGAGAGAGACGTGATCGAAGGGGAGATGGGATTTGTAATGAAGACGGCGGGCTATCAGTACGTATGCAATGTCTGCGGATCGGCGCTTCAAGGGCGGGGAGATGGCGCTTGGTGGGGAGGAGGAGAGTGTGGTGCTTCTTTTCAAAGGGTGTTTTGAGAGCACAGCACACGAATATATACGTCGTGCTCGTCAGCGTCGGCGGTGGGAGACCGGTGGAATTCAGGATAATATCGAGCGGAAATTTGGAGGCGGATCCCTCACAGCTGGCAGCGGGCTCGGGCATCGTCGTCACAAATGCCGTGCGAGGACTATTCATGGGTCAAGTCTAGTGTGTTGGCTTGTGCCGTCCGCTGAGCTCGTTTCCCCGCAGGGCTCTCGGCTATGTCAACGCGCGATACTGGTTTGGTCGGGGGATGTTTGGGCCCTTGGAGAAAGACGCGAGGGAGCAAGGAGAGGTGGTCTGGGTGGTCCAGTAAGAGAGTTGGATGAACTGGACAGGGTGGACGAGCGTCAGAGACGTGGCCCTCGATTCGGTATTAGCGGACTTAGCTTGAGATAAAATCCATCTGCTCGCCTTGTGAGTTGTCGGGTCATCAGCACGTCAAACTCAAAAGCCATGGGTTGTATGGATGGGTGCATGGGTGGACGGAATCTGCCGCCCGGTGGAATGGTTGAGCTCAAGAAGCAGATGTCGTGATGGGAAGAGCAGAAGAAAATTGATATACTATATTCCGTGCAGCTTTCCTGTGCCCATGCAAACTCCATATCATCAGATAGCTACTCCGTATAATGGTCAAGTAGTGGTACAGGTACGTCGGTATAGGCGGAGATGAGGAAACTCTTTCTCCGTCTTTTGCCCAAAAAAGAACCAGACAAACACCGTGTCAGCGCTTATACTCGTGGCCTCTTCAATCTTGCAGAGATGCAAAACCCATACCATGCCCATGGTCGATGTCATCCCTTCTTCGGTCATGTCTCATACTCCTACCCGGCCCATCATCTGTGTCCGATCAAGTCCATGGCATCTTCCTCTTCCTCACCGTCGTCATCCTCCATTGGCTCATCACGTTCACTCTCGGACTCGGACTCGGACTCTGATTCAGCGTCGGCTGCGTTATGTTGCCGGGGCGAGTTGGGCCGGCCCCAGAAATCGAGATCATCGTCATCCTCGTCGTCGTCCAAGGAGGCCGCTCCGCGTGGAGGTGCTTCGGGTGTGCCTGCTGCTCGTTGCCCAGTTCCGAAATAACTTCCGACAACCGGGGAGACAGAACGGGCCGAGCGAGCTGTGGGTGAATGAGGCAGAAGCCAAGACGACCGGCTCCTGGGAGTATTTGACGCTGTTCCTATTTCGTTAGGTTGAGGCACAGCTTGATTTGACGCTCTTACTATATCCACGGGTTGCGTCGCTCGGTCCGTCGGCGTGTGGCTCTGGCTCGCTGTCAGGGCCGCTTCAGACGTTCCTGCTTGCTGCGCTCGTTCCTGTTGTTCCTGTAGTTGTGGAGTTTCTTCAGCCCCCAGAAGCTCCAGCTGAGTCGTATTGTAAGATTCGCAGATCGAGCATTTTAGCCCTAGCCAGTGATATTTGGTCACGCTCCGGCTGTTGCAATCGTTGCAAAAGATGTAGGCACGATTGTCTCGATACTCTTCTGGCATCGGTTGTTCCTCAATGTGCCGGTCCAAGCGTCGAAATTGGCTCTCCATATTGGCGATACTCTTGGAACAAATCGGGCATTTGTAGCTTGTATTACACCACTCTGAAAAACAAGACTCGTGGATGCTATGGCCGCAACGCATGAACGCAACCGGTTTATTCGACGTAAACATATACTCACCACAGATGGGGCAGTCGCATTTGGTGCTTCTTTCAATACACTTGTGGGTGCTTTCGGCCTGGATGGACATGCAAGCTGCACATGTTTTGCAGTGAAAGAAGTCTTTGCCCAAACCCTCGCCGAGCCGACATATACCACAGTCGTCACAATGGTATATGGACTTTTCCGGATCATCGTTCCACAATATGCAGATGGGGCAGTAATAGCACGCCGTTTGGACCTGGCACGTTTTGCAAAATTGACCGACTGCCTGTGGAGTGTTGCAAAGCATGCACAGCATATGCTTGGTCTCTCGACGCGGCAAAGTGTGGTTTTCGGCTTCATCGTGGCATAATCGGCAGGTGTACCATCTTTCGCACATGTTGCATTGCATCTTTACATTTCGCTTGTAATGGACACAGCCAAGCACCGGCTGAGATATTTCGCCAGATGAGTCCATGTCATCAGGATCAAGAGGTGCATAGGTCGGCTGGAGGGCTTCTGGAGTGAGGTTGTAGTTGATCTCCTGGCCAACGCCTGACATGGTCGAACTCGGTGATCCCGGTCTGGGAGAAGGGTCTAGCGATCTGGACAGCAAGCTTTTACCAGCGAGACCCTTCTGATACCGCTCCATCATCAATGCATGGACGAGCCTTGATTTCTCAGCAGGCGTACCCGGGCCTGACCACACCGCATTGATCTTTTGTCTGAGAGGGCCCATACCATCGTCTTCAGGCAGAGTCCCCGACCCGTCCCTCCTCCGGCCACCCCCGTTCTCTTGTACATCTTGCGTGCCCGCCACTTCTGCAACTCTCGACAAATCTGTCAGCGGATCAGATGCTGCATGAGGCCTTGCACTGTCTTCATGTACGCGAGACCGATACGGCAGCTCATTGGCAGGATTCAGGGAGGTCTCGCTGCTCGTGCGATGGTTTGGGAGAATAGCGGGAGGCGACGGTTGTAAAGCGCCGCGCTCAAGATGAGGGAACTCAGTCTTAGGAGGCTCTTGCCGCAGAGGTGGTCCGGATGGTAGTTGTCTCGAATCGTCGTCGGACTCCAAAGGAGGAGAGGGAATGGAGTCGAAGCTGTTCAGCTGATTGGCCCATAGCTGGATGGTCCTGGTGATAGATTGCACAGTGGTCTCCCTGTGCTCTGACTCCGGCTCGACCGCAGGATCTTCGAGCGAAGGCGGAGGGGAAGTGTTCCAAAGACGAGAGGGGCTCCAGCGTTGCAGGTCGGGCACGGCAGGGAAGAAACCGGGCGAGTCTTCAGTTGTGCCGCTGAGGCGGGAGAATCGCCTCGCTTGGCGCAGGACAGGTTCAACAATGAACGAGGGGAGATATTCACTCATTGAAGCCGAGAGATAAGCATACTACTACAGATAGGATTTTGAATTTGGCAAACTGGAGTTGTCTGTGACTCGACCCAGGCAAATAGGAAGGGCAGACGACTAGGTTCGAGGCCCGGAATTACTTGAGGAGGCAAAGAGCAATGGACATACGGGAAAAGGGGATCATTGGTGCCATCAAGGGCCAGTCTGATGTCGTGGAGGTGTGGAGGCGTGGAGGCGTGCGAGTGGTAGGATAGGAATGACTGGCGCAGGCTACGGAGTACTACAAGTACAAAGTAGGCGCAGGCTGGTCGGAGTTTGACATGTGAGATTCTCCGTTGTCTGCACGTGCTTTGGGGCATGACAGCCTTGCACAGCCTTGTTAGACAACTACAACACTTCAGGGGACGGAAGGCTGTAGCGTGTAAGGAATGATTTCAACTAGTTCTGTCGCCAAGGGATAGTGATTCTGCTCTGCGCACATGTACACACACGCACATATATAAATTAACTTTCCCATAAACATATATATACAGTGCAGAGAAAAAAGTTCATCACTGTTCCCCCAATTGACAAAAACTTTTTCTACCAGCCCCTTCGATATGGGGGTGGTAGGAAGTGAAACCCGCGGGTTCGCAGCAGGTTTTTCCGTGAGATCGAGATATGATGCCTTCCAGCTCGGTGCTAGTTTGTCGTACACTGAGTGTACCCAGACATATCTGGGATCCCTTTTCGCTCGCTCGGTCGTTCGGTGGGAGAATTTGAACCGTAGACATGATGCCTGCTAGCCCGGTGCTAGTTTGTCATACACCGAGTGTACCCTGACACGTCTAAGATTCATTCTGGCTCGTTCGATCGAATGAGGAGGAGGAATCGAGAGGATCGCCTACCAGAGAGTTGCCTGTTACTTTGTTGAACAGTCGCCGAGGTGATTTGGCCTGAACTCTCTAATAGGGGTCTTGGTGTTGTGTACAAATTCTCTGGATTAAAATTATATCCTTAGAATTGTGGGTCTTCATATGACCTCGGGTTTCTTTCTGCTAGCGATACTAACAGGGCCATTGTACATTGCTTCTGAGCTGATAATGCTTCCGCCTCGCCAAGGCCAAACTCGTCCTGCCTGCCCTTCACCTGTCCTCGATCGTTTGTGGTCATCTTCACAACTCAACTGTTTATTTTTGGTTGATCGGTGGTGTTGACAGACCATGGCAGCTTCGGCTTCCAGTTAGGAAGGGCTCGTCCCAACCGCGTCCGTCGTGTTCCTTGCCGTCATTCTTATTTGTCTTCTTCTTTCGCAGTAGCCTCCAATCCTCGCAGGGTTTCTTCAATCTCATGCGGTTCTGTGATGGACCACACTCCTCCCCCTTTCGCGGAAGAACGGCCAACTTCTTTCGAGACAAGATTGCGGCCAACCTTTCCAGGCCCAACACCGAGCCATCGGCGGCATCCAGCTTGCTGATCCAGATACTTGATCGAGTCCCACCAGAGGATTGTGTCGACGGCTTGCCTTGCGAGATTTTGCATGAGGTCGTCTTTCGACCTGAACGGCCTAGCAGTGACATTGCTGATGCAAGGGACACGGCCGGGAAACGTCACCTTGTCCGCGGTCAGAGCCTTTTTCATGAATTCGTATGCTGGCATCATGATCGGACTGTGGAAGGCTGAACGGGACTTCAACTCCACGGCTCGAGGATCATGCCCGCCAAACTCTCGTATGTGGACCAGCAGATTTCGTATCCGCTGGAAGCTACCACTGAGTACTATTTGGTTCTTGGAATTGACGTTGGCGATGGAGATTTGTTGGAAAGCAGGGAGAGCGCTGGAATCGTCCTTTGCACCTTCAGAGCCCTGGCTGAGGAATTCTCTGACAGCTGCTATCAGCGAGTCCAATTGTCCTGGCTCGCAAACTAGGGCAATCATGCCGAAATCCTCACCCGATTCTTCTTTTGCTTTCCTTGTGCATTCTCCCATGACGTCGCCGCGCCTTCGGACCAGGTCGAGAGCATATGCATACTCCAGATTCCCAGCAGCCACCAGTGCTGCATACTCCCCCAGGCTGTGTCCCAAGGTGACGTCGATCACTTGCTCCGTCTTGAAACCGAACTCTTGCTCGAGGACCTTCAGGATCATTATGGATACAGCCATTATTGCAGGCTGGGCGTTTTCCGCCTTGTCGAGCTGCAGGATGGGGCCTTCATCGATGAGGGTGGACAGCTTGCAATGCACTATATCATCCATCTCTTCTAAAAAAGGTTTACAGGTTCGGGGGAAAGCTTCGATCCAAGGTCTCGTCATGCCTTTCCGTTGGACGCCATGGCCAGGAAAGAAGAGGGCCGTGCGAAGGACGGGTTCCGAAGTCGAAGCATACGATCTAGAGGTCCGGAAAGCGTGCAGGCTTCGTTTGACCCCTACAAGGGCTATTCGTGGAGGTTGATACATGACTGCGGGGTTTTCGATATGGAGGAAGAAGCTCGCTAGAGGGAAGGTTGTTTCGACAACATTATGGTGGACCTGAGGTTGGCAGAGATGAAACGCCCTTTGTCTCTGCCCGACAAGCAGGTTGTGGACAAGTCTGGACGATGGGAACGAAAATGCGTCAAGTTCGAGTGTTGTTGATGCAGTTCCGTGAGTCCGAGCAAGCGAAACTCCATCCGCCACTGAAGGGTTGACTGCTAGCTCAGAAGTTGTTGGGGGATCGCTCCTGAGTCCTGACCTAGGTACCTAGGGTAGGCATTAGGGCTAGTAGTGGGCCTCCATACCTCGTACCAAAGCCCAGGTGAGCCATACAGTACCTCGGCGAGCGGGATCGGTTAGGGCCACGCTGTCCACGCTGCTTTTACGTCAATCAACTCACAATGTCCAGAATACAGGTACCAAAGGTACATAGCAATGTGATCAGGTAATCCCCTTCATAACCTCGCTCCTTCATTTATACACTGGCAATCATACATATTCACACGGATGTTTTACAATGCCCAATTCCCACTTGTCCTCTTTCCCTTTGTAACAACAGGCCGTAAGATCCCACCCCCAAATATCCTCCCTTTTCATCGCTTGATCGTGGTCACATTTCCAATCCCACCTATATTATCTTTTCATCACTCGTTATGAGAATGTGAGTGAGTCCGTTCGGATTTGTCCTCCATTTCGATTGCACTTATATCGGAATCGGCATAGTTGATGATGGGGCCTGACCGAACCTCGATCGTGGTCTTAGCCGTGATGATTCCCTCCGGTTGCCTTGCAAAGTGGTATTCGTCCGACTGTCGCGAGCGAAGCGGACGTGGGGTGCTTCTCCCCAGGAAATCGCGCTTATCACGCCTTCGAGCATTCGGATCTCCCAGAGGACCACTAATGGTAGTCCTCATTCCCCAGAAATTGTCACCAACATCCTTCCAGCCAAATGTATCGAGGCCCAGGTCTTTAGGAGGTGGAGGAGCCCGGCCAAATATCAAGACATGCCGGGTCACCGCGTAGAGCATAACGTCTAGCCATCCACAGGAGGTTATGGCCGCCCCGGCCAAGCAAAACCACCCTGTTGTTGTCAGTCGGGCGGTCCCCTGCTGCACGCGAGAGAAAGACTTACAGTATGGCACCGATATCCCCGTCATTGCAGCCATCCGACCGCCTGCAAGTGGTAAGGTGCAGACAACGTACACCACCGGATAGATGATCATATACTTCGCAGCACGTTTCATAGCGGCAGGGTCGGTACCATCGTCATTGGGGAAGTTTGGATGCGAGCGGCTCCGGGACTTGGCTTTGATGAAAGCAAAAATGAGAATATATGTGACAACGGTCCCAAACATGCAGATGAAGATCCAGAAGTAGTGAAGCCAGAGTCGTTCTTTATCGTATCTTTTGTCAATCCAGCACTTCGTGGTCGTCAGCTTGGTGGAACGGCAAAAGCGCCTAGGCACATACCCATGCTCCCGCTCGGACGTATACTTTGGGATCTATACCAACACCGATTATAGCCATTAGGTAGACAAATATCCACAAGCAGATAATTCCTCCGTAAAACACTTTGGTTCCCACTCGCCGGCCCTTTACCACGGCGTAGTATGTGTGCAAGGCGATGGCGAGGATGAAGGCCCCAGAAGCCAGGTCGCCCGTTGAAACGAACCAGCCATTCGCCCAGCATGTCGTGGTTCCGACCTGGATCTTATTCTGGGAGAGGTATACCGAAGTCAGCGCGAATGCCATCGCCTGCTGGATGTCTGCCAACACCAAATTGTAGATGAGGAGTAGGAACTGATTGGCGCCATCCTTGAGCTGGCCCCTGTGATACCATACACAGAGTCGATATGTCAGGAATGTGAAGAGAGCGACACTGGAGATCAGTGAGAGTATTCCAAAGAATGCTACCGCCACCAGCCCATGCCGTAGAACTGAAGGTAAAGGGTCCAAGGTGGTGGTTAAGGACACTGACGACGTTGCGACCATTGTGGCCGTTTGGTCGACAGATTGGCAGCGCGACAACTCCCAGAGGAATACGAGGGAGGCAGCTATAAAATGTAAGTCTACCAACCGAGCATGAACATGGTACCCTAGCACCTAAAGCCGGTGCATTTCAACGATCGCAACCAACACCGGGATTCCGTCATGGAATGGGAAGGTGCAAACCCCAATTGGATCGTGGCCTGGGTTCCAGGCCCATGAACATTCACCGTCTGCAAGGGCAACAGTTTCACGTCGTGCAGGGATCGCTAGATTGGATACCAGTGGGGTTCTCTACTCCTGTACGAGTACAGGGAGTACAGGGTACTTAGATAGGGTACCACTGTCTTGGAGGACGAAGTCCTCTAGGGTATTTCTTCGTCATTTTTAGCTTCGGAATCATGGCCAAAGAGGACCGAGCGTGGGTGGGGTGAACTTACTGTACCAATTGCAGTTGCATCTAGAGGACTCTCTGCTCGCGTGGAAGCAGCTTGGTACCTTGTTAATCTTCGACGGGTAAAGCGCCGATGCCAGGAACCTAGGTAATCTTGCTCGATGCTACCCCAGGTCACGACCCAGGAGGATCGCCCCTTTCCTCGCGTCCCCGTACTCCGTACTCGGCGAGAACTCAAAGGACTCGAAGAAATTTCAAGCCCTTCCCGGAAGAGAGGAGGCGGAGTTCGGTAAAGCGGTCGCGTCTCACGAGCGAATAATAGGCCAACAACCGCCCCAGCAACGATATGTGTAGTACTGGTGCCACGGCCAACAGACAGTGTACAAGCCGGCAGGTCCGAAACAAGATGTCGCTTGCGGCTGAGAGCCTTGGTAGGCGCGGATTTGAACGTCTGTCCAATCTGCAATCCGGTTCGGTGTGTAAAAGGCAGGATTTGAGACAGTGACGAGAGACCATGGACTGTAGGACCCAGCATCATCGGGGACTGCGAAATATGTGATTCCTCCGCGAAAGAAAGCCCATCAAATATACGTAAAACTTCGGCAGACTTGCTGGGGTCCCTGGTGTTCCTAACCAACCGTCGGCAGCATGTGCCGCTGGGGTGGTTCACATGGCTGGCTGACAGTCCATGCTCGAATATCCAAATCAGGTGAAGAGCAAGAGAAGGCCGTTGTCAAGCACGAGGAGAGGAGGATTTTGCTGCTCGGAAGGTCTGCCCGATACCATGTCCCCCGTAGTGGAACTCAAATAAGAAAATAGGCGGACTTGCCGCTAATGATTGGGAAATCAATTGAGCAGAACCAAAAGAACATCCAAAGTAGGAACCGTTTCCCCTTTACGTGATAGTTGTGCGCACGCTAAGATTCTATGTATACTTCATATTTGAAAGGGGCTCCACGGAAAAGGAAAGGTTCAAAGGTCCATCCGGCTACGGGGAGAAGAACTTCGGCAAGTCTCCGATCGAAAGAAGTAGGCTGAGGATAAGGACCCAGTAGGTCCATGAGTATGTACTCTTGTTCCGGCTTTCGTATATGCCGGACAGCCACCACGTGTTGTGGAAACATATCTTGGAGGCATTCATCTCGTACAGTACTCGGTGTCCTCTGCAAATATGTTTGATCTGGCAGCCGGGCGTTCTGTGGTAACAGAGAGCTTCAAGCTATGCGAGCCAGGGCAAATCCTGCCCCACGGGTGAACCGTCTTCCACAAGCCTCCGTAGTCTGTGCTTTGATAAGTCAAGAAGCATTTCACTCACCGACCTTTTGTCTTGGTGTGATCAGACACATTGCTCTCGTTTTCCCGCATGCCATGGTACTGTACTGGGTACGCAGTGACAGAGGAGCTTGTCGGGGACGAGAGACAACTCGGCCGACCGCCTCGTCTGGCTGTCGCGCACGCGGTGTTCGAGGCAACTTCTGGAAGCTGAGGCGCAAGTCGAATTGCAGAATAAGTCGCACATTCAAAGTCCTTCGTTGGTCATGAGCATTCACTTTACCTTGGAAATCATGGCCCTCTATCATTCATCGTATACTGTCAATGATCCGCGATATGGCGGTCGCTTTGACGTACAGACTCTGCTCAGAATTCTTGTTTTTGGGCTGGACAAAACTTGGATGCGATCTACATCGTACTTTGGTAGGCATTCCAATGAGTCATACGAGGCACTCGATATTATGCCCAATATTCTCCGACTTTGGCGCTCAATTTGGGCGGCTGGATGGAGGTTGGGCTTGCGTGGCCGATTGCCAGCACCATGAAGTGTCGTTTTCACGCCCAACCGCGCCTATCAGTGTGACAGTCAGCACAAAGGCATCTCAAACCCCGCAAGAATCATGCTTGGATGCCGTGACTGGATCAGATCAAGTGTAGATTTGAAGTTCCGCATCGAGACTTTAAGCATCTCTCAGAATTGCAGAATTCACGGTGGAATCATCAGGTGAGGGAACGGAATGTGAAGAAATGCTGGTCTAGGACTTACTCCGCGCTTGCTGATATTGTCCAGCGATATGAGGCTTAAGATACGGTTCGTGAAGAGAACTAATCGTGCCCAGTGCCACTGGTGTTTGTCATCAGCAGCAGCGACTACGAAGAAAGGGAGGAATTTTCAAATGAGTTGCGTGTGCCGAGAGGATTCGGCCAAGTGGCGCGGTTGCTGTGGCCACCCAGAACCGTCCACAAAGCTGGGTTGGCCGTTAGTTGAGTGTACCCAGTAGAGCTTCTCATTATTCTTCCAACCGTATTTGATCGTTCCGAGCAAGAAAGCAGATGATCTTCCTCTTCGAATGTCGATATCCATATGTTCATTGACACAAATACTGCCTTTTGATTGCACACACGCATCCACACCCCTTCCTGCAGAGCTCCATTGCAGCCTCGAGCATCCTCAATAGCAGCGTGCGCAGCTCACCGATAATCGCAAATGCCTCGCCAGTGAATCAGTCCCTCTCAAAATCTACGAGCACAAAAGCTACCGGAAATGCTTCGCCGAGTGCCTTGGATATTGGCCACGATCCTACGCATCGCTGTTGTGTCGGCCAGTGAATACTCGCCCTATTCAAATCCTCTGTTCGGCCTCTCGAACGATGCACTCCTCGTGAAAAGGCAGGGCTGCGAAGCAGGCCTCAACTCTTGCTCGAGTCTTGGGTCAAACAATGTCTGTTGTCCTTCTGATACAACCTGTGCTTTGGATCAAGCTGGACATATTGCCTGTTGTCCGTCTAATGCAGTGTGTACGGGCACAATTGCGGGATCTATAACGGGGTCGGTTACATCGTCGGCTACCGGGTCAGGCACAACAACAACAACGAGCTCCGGAGTCTTTTCGATCACAGGCGTGATTGGAGGTGGCTCAACGGTGACCAACCCATACTATCCTTTCATCTATGCACCGACCTCTTTCCCCAACGCCGATTTATGTTCCAGCGCATTCACAAGCTGTCAATCCGCCTCGACCGCTTGCTTCACTTCTCTAGCGGGGGCCAATGGGGTCACAATAGGAGGTCTCGGTGGAGGCATAACGGTGCAAGGAGTCTCGGGCACAATACTCAGCTCGGCAAGTGCCATTTGCAGCTCATTAAGCTCGGTGGGTTGTTCTGGTCTTCAAGATGTGAGCCAATGCACCATATTCGGAAGTGGCTCTGGAGTTATCCCGACAACAACAACAACAACAACAACAGGGACAAATGGTATCATTCAAGTTGGAAACCAAGGTCCTCGGCAGACAGCCTGTCCCAGAATACTTTATGCAGCAGGTGCTGGGGCGGCCATTGGGGCCATGCGCGGGATAATATAATGCATGGACAGTGTCTTTCAATTGCGTTTGCCGCATCTCCAGGAGTTGGTTGAATGTATTGACACTATTTAATGGACATATGACGACGAGACGACTTGTACATCGGAACTGCAAAGCGTGTTTGAAAGAGGACAGAACTTGGATTTCGGCAACGTCAGGCGGAGAGCTCTCGGCGCTTCATCGTCATGGTAGTGTACAGACGAGATTGAGACATCGAGCGTGCCGTTCACACACAATCCTTTTGCGCACATCCGCTGGACCCCAGTCGCCGCAAGCATACCGGCACCGGTCGGAGGTGTCTGGGAGACGGCCATAGTACCTGTTGGATATTCGAACAGAGCCAGAGGACATACTTGCCATGGAGTATGGCCGACAGAATCTAAGGACGCGCATTCCATATTCCAAAGGTGACGGATCATTCCGTCTATGTCCAGCCGAGACCCATACGTGCCTTTTCCTCTCAGGGGTATCATACGGAGCCCTGCTATTCATCTCCTTTTCCTCCCTGTTTCTCTCTTGTCACTATATTCGAAGTCCCTACTCATGCTCCCGGCGAGAAGATTCTCATCTCAGAAAATAGCTACGCTGCAACGCCGTTTCTAGATTATATAATTATACCATGGTGCGGCAGAAAATGCGCCGGAAATCCTGCCGCTTCAATGTCTACTACAGTATTGTGACAACCGGGCTGATTTCGGGGCTTATTGTCAACTTCGTTGATGTGTGGAGCAGCGAATTACATCCCGTGCTGCCCATGTTGGTCCCTACCATTTTTGCAGCTTCCAACGTTCACACCCTAGCGCAGATCTGAAATCTGCCCTAAAAAAAAAAAGAGGTAGACACTTTATTCCAGGGCCATTGCCGTTGTGTAATTACGCTTTCGAGATGAGGCCGCCAACAAAAAGACCATCAGGCATGTCATGTCATGTATCCTTGACGCTAAGATGTACGGGCAGGGGACTCTGTTGGCTGATGTGACAAAGATGATCCCCCGCGCGGTGAAACTACTTACTGCGGCTGTTGCAAAAGCTTAGTCGCCCTGGCGGGCTTCAAGGCGAGGATATAAGGTCCATGTCTTTCCCGCTCGCTCTCCTTCTATCCCGGGGGATTTGTGTCTCATCACTTCCCTTCAGAGTATTATGCGTTCGAACTCGAGAATCGGCGGAACTGGCTTTGATACTCCTGAGTGAACAATGTCACGGAACATTCCGACTGTCGATGCCAGCGTCGAAACAGACTGCTTGGTCATTGGAGCAGGCCCTGCTGGCGCCTCGTTGGCATGTTTTCTGATCAATTATGGTATAGTGAATCCTATACCTCGTACCTTTGTCAAACAAGCACTCACCCCTCCGGCATCCAGGACTGAGAGTGATGCTCATCTCGGACGCGCCCGGAACGACAGCTACTCCTAGGGCGCATCTGGTCAACATGGCAGGCCTCGGTAGAATCATCGGTCCTGTCTGCGTTGGTCCGTAAGCATAGCTGACGGGTCACAAGAGTGCATGCGTGATCTTGGCCTCGAAGACGAATGTCTGCGTCTTGGGAACCGTGGCGACGCTCTCAACTCGATTCGTTGGTGCTATTCTATAACGGGGGTGGAGTATGGACGAATCCATGCTTGGGGTGCTGGGCCGGCAAAGATGGTGCGCCTTGGAATGTCTAGCTGATACCACCTGGCTGCTGACCAGCACACAACAGGGCGAAGTGGCCGACGTCAGTCCCTGTGCGTCTCTGGATCTCCCACAGACTTATCTCGAGCCGATACTGGTTCGATATGCGACGACGCACGGCGTGAAATGCCTCTTCAACACGTGTTTCGCAGATCTTGAACAAGACCTGCAAGGATGTGTGACCAGTGCCGTGAACAAGGTGCTCGGCCAGAAATTCAAGATCCGATCCCGCTATGTGTTTGGCTGCGATGGAGCAAGAAGCCCAGTGGCAGCGCAGATCGGGCTTTCGTATAATGTCCAGCCTTCAGGAGGCGTCGCGTACAACATTCTGTTCAATGCTGACTTGGGCGACATCATGAAACATCAAACTGGACACCTGCATTGGATAATGCAGCCAGACACGGACCTCGAACACGGAATCGCACCCGTGTTGCGGATGGTCAAACCATGGTATCAATGGATCCTGGTGGTATTTCCCAAGCCAGGAATGGACATCAAAGCTTTCGGCTCCTCCCAAGAAGCCACTAATCAGGTCAACGATCTGCTCAAGGCGGTGATAGGTGATGACAAAATTCCGTTTGAGGTGGTGGACATTTCAAGTTGGCGGATCAACGAGACGGCGGCGGAATCGTATTCCAAGCAGAATGTGTAAGTACTGTCGGACTGCTGACACCGCACGTCTTTGGGTGGAAAGCCGCTGAAAAGCAACCAGGTTTTGCCTTGGCGATGCAGTCCACCGACATCCCCCTATCTTTGGCCTTGGCAGCAACACCTGTATACAGGACGCCTACAACTTGGCCTGGAAAGCTGCGCTGGTCGTGAAAGGGAAGGCATCTCCATCCTTGCTGGACACCTACAACACGGAGCGGCAACCCGTCGGCCAAGATCTGGTGAAGTGGTCAAACGAGCTTCTACGCAACCACGCGACTGTCTGGGGAGCAATTGGTATGTTTGGGGAGACGAAGGAAGAGCGGATCAGGGCCAACAGGGAACTCTCGGAGGTTTCAGAGGCCGGCAAGGTGCGCCGCCAGCAGCTCTTTGACGCTCTAGAGCGACACCGCGGCGAAGGTGACAGTGTGGGCATCATGATGAACCAGTGGTATATATCTGGTGCCATATATCTGGAAGACGAGGAGGTGCCTCAAGCCCCATTCACCGGCAACTACCTCACCCAGGCCCGGGTCAGTACGTACCCTGGCAACCGGCTACCGCACGCGTGGCTCAGCAAGGATGTGCCCAGCAAGGAGATTTCCACGCTCGACCTGGCCGGGAAGAGTGGGTTTGCGCTATTCACCGGCCACGGTGGAGACGCCTGGAAAGCTGCAGCCAGGACGGTGGGGGACAAGCTTGGAATCCCCATTAAAGCGTTCGCAATCGGCTTTGGACTCGACTACGCTGACAAATATCGCGACTGGACCAAGAGGAGAGAGGTCGACGAGGATGGATGTGTCCTGGTGCGACCTGACCGGTACGTTGCGTGGCGGGCAAAGCAGATGATGGCGCCGATGGCGACCTCATGCGAGGAAAAGCTTGAGCAAGTCTTGAGATCGATCCTGTCGCTCTAGGGAACTAGTATACTTTGAGTTTGCGAAATCGAGCGGGCTTTGGCAACAGAACTGATCTGCGTTTTGGATGTTAAGAATTGGAACAACAAAGCACCGGAAATACGTACTGTATACGTGAAAGGCAAGTTTCTCCAACACAAGGCAATGGTTCCATGATTGTACTTCCCTGTTCCTCTACTCGGGACACACACACAACGAATCGCGCACTAGGCGACGGTCCTGTCCCAAGTCTTGCTGCGTAGTCGGACCCGTAGTCGAAGCCGATGCCCGGAGAAATGGTGTTGTAAATGGCAACGGTATAGGCTCAATAGCCCTTTTTTATGGAAATAGTCTTCGTGAAGATGACATGTTCCCTGACGAATGAAGGGCCTCCCAGAGTGAGATAGGCTGAGCTGATGGTGGTGTATGGGAGCCAGATGCCCCTCCTCTCCCTCTCCGTCTTTTGTAACGCTGACCTCAACAGTGGTGAACAATATAGGACTCGGGTTGGGGCGTGTGTCATTGAGACCACTGTATCTTGTCCTGCGGGACTCTGCATTCGCCATGGCCATATCTACCTCAGCCCGCCCCTTGCGCCTTGCGCCTTCGGAGTCAATGTCGTCAAGACTCCTGTACCAACACCACCACCACCACCACCACAACGGGACGCGCAGAGCCTGGCAGCTCGGTTTGCAAACCCCTTGACTATGTCCAGCTCAGCCGTGGAAGAAAACCCAAACTCGTGGCTCTCTCCCTTCTTGAACTCTGACCATCAAAATCCTGTATGAATACGAGCTGTATCTCAGTCAGGCTGGATCGTCTCTTACTTCAGACTGACACCGTCCAGACGTCGGTCGGCTCGATGCAGCCCTTTCTCTTGGCTATCCATCAGAAGCCATGTTGACATCTTTCAAGTTCGGCAAAGACATCGTCTGGGGAACAAACTCACTCCTTCGGTACGCTTTCAAGGGCGTGAGATCACCACTCAGTCTGCCTGATTTAGTCCGCGGTGGAAACAGCGACAAGTTCATCTTCATTCGGCCAATCTCGTTGTCGCCTGCCCACGCAGTCAAACTGGTCGCTAACGGGACGGTTAGGATCTAGACTTGCATGTTACCTTGCATGCATTTCCACCTGCCAGAAGGGGAACTCATACATCTTTGGATCCCAAACTCCAAGTCGTCTCTCCCGCCCAGTGCCTAACTATAAATGCCCGGAGAAGACCAGCTGTAACAGGCATCCACCTTTCCCCAGCGACTAGCATTTCCTGCAGAACTGTATCCTCCAGCCTTCTCAACCATGAAGCTCCTCTCCACTTTAACCCCCCTGTCGCTCTTGGCCGGTGTCATGGCTCTCTCAACCCCCAAGCGAAGTGGTGACTGGCAAGACTGTCTTTCGCAAGATGACGCCGAGTTGATTGTCGGCCAGTATATCACGATACTGGAACATACCGACGTGGCTGCTGCCAATGCCACGGCCCAGAGCCTGCTCGATCCGAACTACACCGAGACCAGGGATTCGATCTTGTCGCTTGAAGGACTGCCAGTAAGTCCTCTAGCTATTTGCCAACCAGGGGAGTTGGCTAATAAACATTGTGTCAAATCAGCTCGGAACCGCAACCTTTGTTGGCAAGGATGTGTATATCAATGGGGTCCTCAGAGCGCCAGGTCTGAATGGTATCACCACCATTGAGATCCTTGCCGCCGGCTGCACCAAGATCCTGTGGTATTGGAACTTCCTGGGTGTGGGAGGCGCTCAGTATGAGGTCAAGGGCTTCAATCTGTTCACCATCACGCCGTCAATGCGGATCGCGCAGGTCGATCTAGAATTCAATTCAATTGCTTGGGGTCTCGATACAGGGTATCAGCTGGTCAGACCTTCGAGTCCAGCTCTCACCCGCAAGTGAGAAGGCTTGGGAAGGTCCGGTCTTTGAGGAAACAGGCAGATCTTGAAATAGCATAATCGATCCTTTTATCCTTCCACTGTTGCTATTGTGTTGATCAAGCGCCTGAAAGTTGAGAATGTGCTTTGCGGAGTACAAAGCAAGTCAAGGCGACAGTGGGGAAATCACAAATCAAGGAGCCCCCTTTACTACCTATCGAGTCCAGAATAAGTGGACTCGAGATTCGAGAAATCCTTACAACCTTCCTTACTCAAACAAGCAAAGGCTACATACTGTTAATTAGCTGCCCTCGCGCCCGACGCCCACAGAAGGATCTCGGAAAGAGTTGACCGAGACGCGCCTGCGCATCGCGATCCCCAAACCCTGCGTCGCTCGCCCGCCCTCTTGTTGCGGGCACTCACCACGGATCTATTATTACCGAGTACTGTCGACATTGCTCTGCGCTGCGTCCTGGCCTCGATCACCCACCAGCTGTGAAAATCAGACCATGACAAGAAAGAAGCCGAAGCCCTCCTCTTCTGCACAGTCTACAAATCAATCGGCTGAAGGCAACTCCGCAACTACCCGTGGGAAGCAAGAGCCACCGCGCCCAGGTCCAACACCGGCCCCAGCAACAGATGGTAAAGGAGGTTCTGCACCACACTCGCATTCGACGGTGCCGCCTGCTTTGATCATCTGTCGCAACAAGTAATTGGACTTTCCTGTCTAATTTGAGGCAATGGCCCTCCTCGGTTGGACATCTCGTTCTGCAAAGGCTAACCCTTGACATAGACACTGGAAGCATATATCTTGCTATCACGGACCATGGCTCGGCCTCCCAACCGAAGTCCTCGAGAGTCTTGCTTACAGCAACTACTATTCTCCTCGTCCTCACCCAGTCCACCCTGCCGTCCTTTTCGACCTCGTCAAGATCAGAAAACTGATTGATGAGGCAACCAGTCTCGCCGTCCGCGCTGCAAGCGGCGCCGCTTCTGCGTCCTTGCACACCTCACTGAGCCCCAATAAGGGCATCTACTACGGACCAGATGCAGAGATCCTGGGGCTAAATGGAAGAGCCGGTGGACACGCGAAATTGAGTCGTGAACGGAGGCACCGAATGCGGGACCATGCAACACAAAAGTTATACCACGCATATTCCCTCGATGAAATCGCCGCAAGTGTTGTCACGATGCAGTCGGCGTCAGCCCTTGAAGATGTCGCGAAGCTCGTTTTGGGGCGCGAGGATCAAAACCCGGATGCGCTATATGTCCACTTCTTTCACGAAAAGATACCTTCCATGGCCATGGCTGATCACACTCCGTTGGATCCTCTGAACCATGTGATCAACCAAAAGCCCACGGACTCGTCACCATACAGGACGAGAGCCGTCACTCGTATGTTCAAGTACGATTATGAAGGGGTGGTGCGAGATTGCACGGATGGTCTCGCTGTGCACAGGCTATACCACTCACAACATCAGAACGACCAACAAGATCTGATACTAGCTAAGGATGCGGCCACGCTCGGTCGAGAATTCCAGCCAAAGGGCCGCGTAGAGGACAAGGACCAACCTAGCAGTATGGAGCCCCAGCTGTTATGTCTTCGAGGCGGAGCGTACCTCAATCTGGCATGTGAAAATATCAGACCGGCTCTACACGGTCCTCACCGAGATGGCGCTCAACAAGCAGCTGACGACATGGATCCCCCCGTGGTGGACATTAGGAACAAGGAGGCCAAACATCGTGCAGAAGCACGGAAGCTGGCCCGGACATATGCGAAAAGGGCTCTTCGTGATTATCTCTCCTTTCTGTCGCATTTCGAATACACGCCAGGTCTTCCGCTGGAGTATACAGTGCAATTTGTTGATAACGTGAGTGCTCCATCGCTTGGACGTCGCTCCCGCGGTGAGAGGTTACTCGATATCGACTCCCACGCGCGCACCGGGACGTCGCAAGCATTGGTAAAGTACGAGAGCATGAAGGATCGCCTTAAAAACAAGGGACGGCCCTTGCTTCCCTCACCCCCTGTTTACAAAGTGAATGAGTTGTTCGCGGCTGTACCGCCTGCAGACGTACCGCCTTACGCTCCCGAACGAGATACGCAAATCGACCCAAATCACCCCATCTTCTCACTGCCAGACTTTGCCGAAGCAGTCACCTATCATCCGCTTTTGATAGACGTCCTCCACTCTCTGTTACTATGTCATTGCATCATTCAAACATCGACCAAGGAGCTGCAGCGACATGCTTACATGGTCGCACGTGTCGCACGTGTCTGCGATGGTTATCCAATCTTTCTATCTCCCCGTTCTTCGGCTCGGGCAGACTGGATGGAGATTCTAAACCGCACAGAAAATTGGATTGGACTCGCGCAAACTTGGAAGACTCTATGTACACCGGCGCATCTTGCTGGGTATAAATACAAATCCAAACCAACGGACAGGAAAGAAACGGCCGAAGAGAAGAGGCTGCGAATAAAGCACGCGGCCTACCTGCAAGCCTTAGCCGACGAGGGAATTATGGAAGAAGAAACGAGAGCGGCCGCCTACGGGGAGGAAGATCCATCGAGGAAAGTCTACAACCGCACCAACCTGATGGGTTCCGAGTCGGATCCCAGTGGCGATGGCAGTAATGGAATCTCTTCCACATCAGCAGAACAATGGGCCATGGAGGATGAATGTCCTCCGGGCAGCACCGAACGGGCGGACGCTATTGTGCAATGGATCATGGAGGCGCCGCCTCCCAGCATATCTGATGGCAGTCGGCCGAAGAAGTCTGGACCAAAGGGGAAATTGAAAAAGATGGGCAGCACTGCCTCGAATCTGAGAGAGACTGAGATGACGGCAGTGGAGCAGAGTGTCGGGAATTTGGAGCTGGTGGATTGAAAAGGTTCTCAGTGCCTTTGACGTGGCAAACGGTTAACTGTTGGCGGCAGCATCTCGACGGAGGAGCTTCTTGGACTCTTTTGCAACACTCTACAAAAATGCTACGAGCTATGAAAAGCACATGTAATATTTATTTACCAAACTGCAGGGCAAATGGGTTGCGAGCCCATCTCCTCCAGCTCTAAGGTCTGGGGGGTGCAGACTGACCAATGGCGTCAACGACGAGAAGCTCGATAGGTCTCCTCCTCCTCCTCCTCCTCCTCCTCCTCCTCCTCTCTTTCTTCCAACCCCCGATTGCCATTGACAAAGCACAGAGTTGTTTCGTTGGACTTTTTCCAATTTGTTTCTCGCTCCAATCCCCATGGCCAATCGACTAGGCTGCCTTGAAGTTGGCGGCGCAAGCAGAGTGACAGCCGCTCGGTGCTCACTTTGGGACGAGGTTGAGCGTGCTGTTTTCTATTCCGTATATAGAACTAGCTGCCTTTTCCTCACCCTGCTCTCACCTCCTCTCACCTTCTACTCACCCTTAGAATTGCGCTGATTAATCTATGTACTTGAGACCCGGTATGTAGACGGCTGCAGTATCTCACGTCGGGCCATGGTCGCGCTAAGCTGCATGCGCATAGCACTCTTGGTGCAGGATACTCGTATGTACCGGGGATAAGAAAGTCGATGTCTTCCCGGGCCTGTGTACACGAGATAGGCGATACGTTTCATATCGAGTTGCTGGGCGGGCGCTTGATGGCACGTGCCGAGATGCCTGCTTCCCTTAGCGCCGACCCGCCAGCTCGTCAACTTGCCGAGCCCCCCGGGGTCTCCAAACGGACGTCTGCCGAAACTTCCAACTCTTAATAGCTAAGTACCTACCCAGGACTCCTCGGTTAAGGCGCCCCGTGAAAGAAGACTCGTCAATACCAATCCAAAGTTACTCGGTTCCTTTAATACGTTTAGGTCTTGCTCGTTTCGTCGAGCCAAGACAAGAAAGGCCTGCTGGCGACTGCTTCCAGATACGACTCACCAGCATCATGGAAGGGGCTGACAACCCTGGCATGATCAAGTGTGTCAGTTCTGTGTCTGTTACTTCTGCCGGGACGTAGCCAAGGCGATCGAGAGGGTCAATAAGCGCAGAAGCCTGGAGGTCGGGGGCCCTTCGCCACTGCAGAATCAATTTTGACTTTCGGCAGTCTCATGAAAGCTTCCGGAGGTTATTTGCACGGCATGATTGTCGAATGACGTAGGATAAGCGGTGCTGACAGAAACAAACAAATAGACAAACAAGAAAAAAGATGGATACAAGAAGATTGCGAGAGGCTAGATTCGGGGATTGTCTTCTACCGCGCTGCGTTGTGAGAGGCCATGTATGTTGACTCGAAACATGACACGCAATGAGACTCTCGAGACGCCGCCCGTCGGCCCAGCCTTCCCATGACCTTCCATATCAAAGTGATGTCTATCTGACGAGGAGAGAAGCCTGAGGTTATTGCCAGCATATATCTTGATGACGAGCACAGGAGTGAGCAACGCCAGACCAGACATCACGATCAGAAAATTTCTACACTTGATTTGATTCAGCTAACTGAAAATGATGACCCCTCACGTCGTCATATATTAGCGGCCCCCGGGGAAGGAAGGGGAATCCCTGAGACAAAAACGCCCTGACGCCGGCACGCCAGTTCAAACATTTGTCAACGCCATTTAGCCATGGTTTTTTTTTTTTTTTTTTTTTTTTTTCACACCGCCTCGAACGATTCTCTCCTGGCAACTCCGACAAATACGGTGGCTGCTGCTGTTGCTGAGGCTGCCAGCCATGCGCTTGGTGCGTCGGTATCGGTCTTGAGCCCAGCTCCGAGGGCGCTGGCGTGCCCGTGGTCGCCCAGTCTTCACCAATGTTATGGGAGGAAGCCGCGAAAGACTTACTGTCCTGGTAATTTCTGGGATTGGCTGGAGCCGATGCAGGAGAGTTCTTGCGTCGTTTTTTGAAGAGGAAGAATGCGATGATGGCCAAGGCGATGATCAATGGTAAGCCGAGCCCAACTGCGACACCAATGGCTATCTTGTCACTCCCATTCAGCCCGGGAGAGGGCGCTGAGGTGGTCAACGCGATTGCCGCGGACGTTGCTGATGAGCTGATCGAAGAGGAGGCCGTGGTAGTGGAGGAAGCGATAGTGGAAGAAGCGGTGCTGGAGGAAGCGGTGTTGGAGGTGGTAGTTGGTGGCGTAGATCCCGTGTAGGTGGTGGTCGGTACATCATCTGGTGGATAAATGAAGAAGTCATGCGAGTAAAATTTACTGACAACGCCAGTCGTATCGAAGGCAGCCAAGATCAGGTAATAGGAGGGATTGGTGTCGGCAGGATATTCAGGGTAGGCGTAAGTGCTGACTCTCCACGAAATCCCATGGGAATCGTATGCGCTGAATGAGGCTGAAATGCACGGATACATGAGATTTCTGGCCATGAACGGAGCACCGACTGCTCGGAGGTGAATGAAGACTTACGTTGAATGGCTTCACAATATGCCAGGCCGAGATTCAAAAGGGTGCAGGTGTGGTTGCCATCATTTTTCATCAACACCAATGTGGCATTCGAGTAGGTCGAGGTAGTGTTGGTCCATGATATGGCCAGGCTCGAGCCGATGCCAAAAGATGGCGAATTGGCCGATGGATTTTCTGCTGGAGCTGGCGGAGGGTAGACGAATGACATGATGCTGACGAGAAGCACAGTACCGAGTATGGAGTACCGAGTGCTACGCTTGCCTTGATAGATATTTTGCAAAAGAGACTTCTGCGGAACAAAGACTTCTAGTCGGCTCGAGGGTGTTTTCAAGCCAATGGCCTCCTCGGTGGCTGCAGCGGTCTTGAATTTGAGCCTAGGCGCTGTCCGTTCGGCATAGCCCACAGCAGAAGATGCTCAGGCCACTTGGGGCGGTGGACTTGAGCAAAACTGTAAGTAGTAACTAAGGGGATGGTGCCTTGCATCGAAGCACTGTATCCCTTTCAAAGACTCTCGCAATACCACAGGGAAATTTGAACGTCACGACCTCTGCATTGAGTGGGGTTGTGAATCCTCCGCCCTTGTTTTGTGTTAAGTTCTGCTTGCAATCTCCAACTAGTTGGAGATAGAGCATGCGATCTCAATCAACATGGGTGAATCGTTTGCAGCATTCCGGTGAGTTTTTTAGCAATCCTAGCATCGACCGAATTGCTCACACCGACATTGCTCTAATGGGGGACAGCGCACAGCTTCCTGTCCAAAGATAACATGCCAGAGATACTCGAAGACCCTTCCACTCGTAGCATCATCTAGAGGAGTATCAAGTAGCCACTGGCGGTAATGCTCGTAATCCGCCTTGCTGCGCTTCAGAGCCTGCGTTTTCGAGATGGCAAATTGTGAGCAACATGGTTGAGCGATGACTTTGGGTATTTCCGTAGAGTTGCCCCCAAACATGTAAGGCCATGCCTCCCTCATAGCGTGCTGAGCAGTGCGGTGGTCTTCTTGTCGATCGACTTGGATCTCTGCTGGACAGCCCGGGTCATGAATGCAACGCATATTAGCATAACCATGTTGTTCGAGGTATTCAAGCCTTAGAGACCTGATGTAATTGATTTGGTCGTGATCGTCACTATCCGTATGCCATGCTTCAGGCCAACCCCGAAGGTGTGGATGGACGAAGACCATGTACGATGGAAGAACGTGGTAGTGATCGATGATGAATGTAAGATACGCCATAGCCTCCCTGCCTTTGTTGAGAGGTGGATGGAGCATTCCTTCATTTGGTTCATCCATATAGTATATAGCTTGTTTCCAACTGGGACGGGCATCCTCGTCAGCGCACACGCAGCTATATAGACGGTGCTGGGTAACACACTCTTGAAGGTAGTCAAAGACCCAATTCACATCTTCGCTGCGGACCTTGGCCAGAATCACCGCCTTATCCTCCGCCTCGGGACCTGAGTAGATCCATGCTTTGGAATCATCGGGCTTATTGAGGCCATTAGGCTCGTTGGGCGCGTTGCCGAGCTGAAGTCTGAGGGACACGGTCGCTTTCGTCTTGTAGAGCAGACCTAGGACGAATAAAACCAAACTCGTGGCCACCAAAGCAAATCGATACTGCAGCCTCGAAATTAACATTGGAAGTCGAAAGTTGCGCTCATCTGTGACTTTCGTGACTACAGTGGGACACGGAAGCTACCAAGATGCTGAGTGATGCTCAGAAAGAAAGACAGAGTGGTGAAGGTAGAAAAGTTGCGCCCCGAATGCGACAACCAAGGCCAACCAGGCCCACGTGTTGTTTCTAGGGCTGGATTTTGGGCTGGATCATTGACTCGCGGGTCCGCCGATCGATCGCCCTTGGCGGCTGGGCCCAACTGCTGTAAGCGCCCAAATTCCTAATTTAAGCCTCACAAGGCCTCACTAGCCTGTATTTCCGCTTTTAGTTCCCGGTAGGTACGAGCAATACGCGGTACTTTAGACAGCCTTGTGCGTGTGGAGAGCGAGCACGCACCCATAGTAACGAGACAACTCCGCTGTTCCGAGGTCAAATCGGATCGTGAAAAGAGGTGTGTGGCTTTGGGCGCAGAGCTGAGCAAAAAGTGAGTCACGGAGGAAGGGACGGCCGGAGAGGAGCTATTGCTGGCTTGATGCTGGACTGGGTAATGACGCGATTCATGAAGAAACGAGAGTACCCAGTACCCAGGAGACGCGAGCGAGCTACTGGGTACTGTACAGTAGGTACGGAGCGAGGGAGCATTCTTCGCTGGCGAGTAGTGCAAACCCAAAATCGCGTCAGTCATGCGGGCCTCCCATGAATTTCGACCAAGTTGTAGCTCGAGGCCCCTTATCGATAAATGTGTTTCAGTTTCACTACCTCGTAACCAGTACTCCTTCCCTACCTTGACCTATCCTTGACCTACATACCTGATGGTGCGTACCTAATCTCGTACTCGGTACTCACATACATACCAAGTGGATCCGGCGGCGGCAACGATCAGGAATGGAGAACTACCGAGGACGGTGCACTGCAATGCTTGGAAAGTGCAGTTACCCCATTGTTGATGGCCAAGAGACTTTTCGAACGCCGCTATCAAAGAGTATTTTAGGAACATTCAGAATGTGTGTGAGAGAGAGAGAGAGAGAGAGAGGAAGCTGCACTGCGTCGAGGCGGCTGTCGAGACAAACATGACACATTCTTGTGTCCCTTCACCCCACCCAACCAGACTTGGCCCAAAGAACCAACTAATTAATGCCAGCGCGTCCTACAAGCGCCTGCCTCACCCTGTTGTTGAAGCAGATGAATACTTGTTCTAGCACACTGCCTCTGCGACTCCAGCGTCCTTTCTTTCGCCATGGACGGCATGCTTTCTTGGCTTCCAGCTCAGTTCTCCCCTTCGCGAGGATTCTATTCAAGCCTCTCAAGGGAAGCCATGTTCAAGCTGTATTGGAGACCCTTCTTCCGTACATTGATCGTGTCTGCTATCATCATTGCAGTCTTCCTCGTATATCGGCCACTCGCCTCTTCGTCAACTCCCATTCCTTTTGTCAAAAGTAGTTTCGACTGGTCCACCTACACCTACCGACACCCTCTCCAGTCCGTTGCTCCTCTCCCGACAGGAAAGCCGCACCGATTTCCTCCAGTCCACTCCAAGTTCCGGCGAGAGTCAAGAGCTGCGGCAACACAGCGAATATCACGCCAGCAATCGATACTGAAAACATTCAAGAAATGTTGGCAAAGCTACAAAACTCATGCTTGGCTGAAAGATGAACTGCAGCCTATCTCTGCAAAGAGCAAGAATACGTTTGGCGGATGGGCAGCCACGTTGGTCGACTCTCTGGATACCCTCTGGATAATGGGACTCGAGGAAGAATTTTACGAAGCCGCAGAGGCGGCTGCAAGCATTGACTGGGCAATAACGCCAGATACCTCATGCAATATGTTTGAAGTCAATATCAGACATTTAGGGGGCCTGCTAGCAGCCTACGACCTGAGTCACGAGCCCGCCCTGTTGGCAAAGGCTGTCGAGCTTGGGGATATGCTCTACGCCGGATTCGATACTCCAAGCCACATGCCTCCGTTCTGGCTTGATTTTGAGAAAGCAAAAGGTGGCCAACTAGCTGCGGATGACCATCAAATTTCGGCTGCAGTAGGCTCGTTCACGCTTGAGTTCACTCGACTTGCTCAGATTACTGGAAACCCTAAATACTACGACGCCATCGCCCGCGTGACCTCAATACTTGTCGACCATCAAGCGTCAACTCAACTGCCCGGTATGTGGCCAACATCCATTAATGCGCGCGACCAGACCTTCTCTGAGAATACCTTCACCTTGGGCGCCCTTGCAGATTCCCTCTACGAGTATCTGCCTAAGATGCATTATCTCTTAGGTGGTTTGGAGCCAGCATATGAGAAAGCTTATAGGGACTCTATGGCCACAGCGATCGAACACTTACTGTTCAGACCAATGCTCCCGAACAACACAGATGTACTAGTCGCCGGCTCTACAACCGTCATGGATGGGAAGCCTACCCTCAATCCAGAAGGACAACATTTGAGCTGCTTTACAGGTGGTATGTTCATCCTAGGAGGAAAGCTCTTTTCGCTTCCAGAGCACGTCGACATTGGTGCAAGATTGAGACAGGGTTGCATCTATGCATACGATGCATTTCCAACTGGTATTATGCCGGAGATCTTCCGCATGCGACCTTGTCCATCGCTCGAAGTGTGCGAATGGGACGAGGACCGCGCTTCTGAAACACTGCCAGAAGGGTTCGTTTCAATCTCCGATCGATCTTATATTCTTCGCCCAGAGGCCCTGGAAAGTGTGTTCATACTTTACCGTACAACCGGGAATACAGAACTGCTAGATGCTGCGTGGAGAATGTTCGAGTCCATCCGGGCTGCCACGGAAACCGAATATGCCAATGCTGCCATTGATGATGTGACTGTCACTGGCAAGCCATCGCAAAGGGATTCAATGGAGGTAAGAGCTGTCCGATAATTTCCAGACTGCGGGCTGTACTAAGAGTTTCTTAGAGCTTCTGGTTCGCAGAAACGCTAAAATATCTCTACCTCATTTTCTCACCACCTCATCTTATCAGTCTAGACGACTACGTCCTAAACACCGAGGCACATCCATTAAAACGTCTAAAGTAATAGTTCGCTGATCATCGGAAGACTAGATGTTGGAATAATGTTACGGTCTCCAAGATTGGAGTAGGTGCACTAGGAGTCGTTGCTCTCAAGCCCGGACTCAGCAAGATCTCTGCCGCGACAGTCATTCACTTGTCCACTCAAGTGGATGGTTCTCATCCTGCCAGAGCGTCTTCTTTTGACAACCGAAATGCGATTTCACCCCAAGGCACTCTGACAACAGCATTCAGGGATACCTATTTGCTCATTACCAAACTATTGCGCGAGCAGTGCTTGCTTATCTTCGTTGACGTTGGCGCAGAATCATGAAGCGCGCAGGTTCATCACGTTTCTCGACGCGCTGCACAAAGCGAGATGTCAGTTGTAGATAGAGGCGGCCGCCTCCCACCGGACAAACTGTCCGTTTCAGAGACCAGGATCAGGAGATCAGCAACAGCGTCCGCTTCTGGTGCGACAGGTCACGATGGTGGCGGTGCCGTTCGTGATGGTGGTGACAGCAGTGAGTCAATCACGTCCGAATCCTTCTCCGAGATGTACCAAGACTCCAAGGTGCCTTTCCGATCCAACATCTTCTCTTACAGAGGCAAACACGCACTCTGCAATACCTTCCTCTGCCTCTCCCTTGTCTACACCGCCCTTGAAGGATCCAAGCGTTCGAACCGTCCTCGCGGACGAGGACGCTGATTATGGGCCCGCCCACGAGAACAGGAGGGGACACGGGAAATCGGACTCAACCTCCTCGCACTGGGATAATGGAATAGCAACATCCGACCCTGAATTCACCAGCACGTCTGCACTGACTGGAGAGGATGAACGGTTCCCGTATAAGCGTTCAAGGAGTCGGCTGTGGGAGATGTGTCGGAGGAAATGGTGGGATGAGCGCCTGTCCGTTGCTCAACGAGTGGATGATAATGAGGGTGATGACGAGGATGTTGATGATGGAGGTGGCGAAGGCTGCATAGCTGCAAGAGAGGAGCACACAGTGACTGCATGGCGGCGCTCCGTCCACAGATCCGGCTGCTCCTGGGGATCGGCCGCTGCCGGGTGGTCAAGCGACCTCGCCGCCACTACACAGCGATTAACAAGAACAACCGGGCAACAGCAACGTCACAACAACAATCCAACAGACGCCGCTCCGCCGCGGCCCCAGCCCCAGCCCCGGACCCCGGGCTACGCCTGGTGCCCACGAGAAGTGACGAAGACGAAGTGGATATCTCCAAGGGGCGAATGAACAGCCAGACAGACATCCAGACAGACAGACCAGCGCGGGACGGCAGTGCACCACATGGTTCGGCATGGTAGCCCGCCATCCCGCATATAAGAACAAAAGTTCTGTTTCTATGAACGTCTGTGGCCTGAATAGATATGTAGATACGGAAAGAAAAGGATGCCCCGTCCTCAACCTCCGATCGTCAATTTCCAGTTCCCAAATCCTCCAGTTCTATCCAGTTGTCGTCCAGCCCGCTTCCGGCCATAACCCCCTAGGTTGCTTCCATTGCAATTTCCCATTTCATCTCTAGCTGCAGATCTGATCTCTAGATTCTAGTCCGTCGCCGCTGTCGAAGGTGTTATTCAATCAATCGATCAATCTAGTCCTCGTCGTCAACGGCTGGCGGGGTGCCCAGATAGCCCTGGTCCTCAAGGTATTTGATAATGATCTTGACGCTGTCCTCGACTGTAGTCTTGTCGCTTCGGATATGCACCTCGGGCTTCAAGGGCTCCTCGTAAGGGGCTGTGACGCCGGTGAACTCGGGGATCTTGCCCTCGCGAGCCTTCTTGTACAGGCCCTTCGGGTCGCGCTGCTCGGCAACTTCGACGGGGACATCGATCCAGACTTCAACGAATGGCACGCCCGGTTCGCCGCCGGGGCGCTCGGCCTCGTGGAGCTTGCGGGCGAGGTCACGGTCGGCGCGATAGGGGGAAATAAAGCTGGTGATGGCGATGGTGCACGAGTCAGCAAAGAGCTTGGCGACCTCGGCGATGCGACGGATGTTCTCCTCGCGGTCTTTCGGGGAGAAACCCAAGTCCTTGTTGAGGCCGAAGCGGATGTTGTCACCGTCCAGGCGGTAGGCATTCTTGTTGAATGGTTTGCGGATGAGGGCTTGTTCCAGGGCGACAGCGATGGTGGATTTTCCCGAAGCCGAAAGGCCAGTAAGCCAGATCGTCAGACCGGTTTGCTTGAGTAGCCCTGCCCGGATGGAAGGTGTCAGGGGCGTGGGATGGTAATGGATATTGCTATTTGAGGGTGTAAGTACGGTGTCAGACATTTTTCTCCTCTCTTTATCTCTTTCTCAGGGAGGGCTTGTGCGGGATTTTGTTGGATCAACCAAAGTTTTTTCTCGCAAGCTAATGACGAGAAACACAAAGCAAAATAGTCCCAGGTCATGAAGCTGAGGGGGATGAGCATGGCTAGGATAACAATGATAGACATATCAAGAAAAAGTATCCCCGAGAGACTCGAGTCGAAATACAAACAAGGGACACAGGCAAATGTCGTGCTATCATGTTGTGCGAATTGAGCAGAACCCAAGGAGGAGGACCTACGTTGCCATAGTTCGTAATGTGTTCCTGCACAAAGGACAAATTCTGTGGATCCCGTTCTTGGTTGACCAGGGCGACACCCTGATGCTGTAACCTCGGTGTAGAGTTGAAATGGGTCTGTTTACTCAGGAGATAATATGCTGTTATATCAAAATCTCCTTCACCGCCGTCAGCTCCTGAGGCGTTTCTGGGCGTTGCTCTACCTTCCATTTTCGTTCAATTTTTCTGTTGATATCGGAAGTCGGAGCGCCAAGGTCTGCTGGTCTGTGCCCCCGAAGGTTAAGTCTCCGATAAAAGGAGACGGTGGCCGGATGGGGGCCAAAAGAGAGGTCTCCGCGCTTCTCTCTTGATCCTTTCACGCTGCTCTGGAAGCGAGGTGAAAGGGTGTCAGGGGGATCTGGACCATACACACGGTAGTTTGCTCCGTTCGATGCTCTAGGTATGTACATATGTACGCTGAAGGGCTGCTGATAAAGGTGTTTGCTTCGTGTTGCCAGCGCGCTCCGCCCCAGCGCTTCCGGAGTAGCTGGGCGTTGTGTGGTGTGTGGGTTGGGGGCTCCACGATGTGCGGGCAGCCTGGCATTCTTCAACACCCGTCATACCTGTCAACGTTTCGTTTGCCAACCTAACCATGTCGACAACCACTAGCCAGCTATCTAGGCTCAAAGGTCGTACAGGGAGCATCGGGAGCAACGCCCGACGGATATGTGCAGTCAGTTCAACCACAAATATCTGCATCCTTCACGGCCAGGTAAGCTCTGAATCTGGGATTTCCTTCGCGAATACCGATTTAGTCTTCTCTCCTCGAGCATGTTTTGAACTTGCTTGATCCTCGTTTGGTGATGTATCACCCTTGGTCGCAGGTGACTTCAGTGTAGTCGGCTTCGAAACGACGCCTCTTCCAGCAAACACGACGGCTTCTGTCTCAAAATACCTGATCTGCATCTTGAGAGAGATTGGATCTTGTGGAGGTGCGGTGAGTTTTGAGGCCCGCCAACGATGACCCAGATCCAAGATCGATCTGAAGAGCTGTTTGCTTCCGTTCTGTTTTGCGAGTATCAGGTGCCCTGGCCACTCGAGGGGATGATCTTCTGTTTGAGTTGGTTTGGTGATACAAACAACCCAAAAGGCTAAGCGAGGTCAGTCAGCCACACCCTCTGGACTCTCGCAGTGTACTATTCGTGTTCCCGAAGTCGCCTCTAGAGGAATCGAGGGTGGTGTCGGATACGATGCAACCTGGCAATTCTTCAGGAGGACATGGTAGGCATTCGTTGAGGAGTCGGTGCAATGCACGATGGCGATCATCGAGAGTCGGCCGGATTTCATCGCCGCAGCCTGTGAGGTAGAGCAGCATTGGCATCCCAGCTGTGTTAGCGAGAAGGGGTGTGGCCGGTACGTACACGAGCCTTTACACGTTCTTTCAGACAAAGAAAAGCTGACTGGCCAACAAGACAGGAATTATGAGCCGCCAGATGCCCTTTGCATGCAACCTGTGCGACACGTCGCACCGTTTGTGAAGGACAGGCATGCCCCAGCGATAGCATTGGCCGTCCAGTACTTAGAGAGCAAGTACCCTTCCTCAAGTTGTTTTCTTTGTTCCTGGTGTTTTCATCTCCCGTTGCCTTTGCACCAATCAGACTGGCGGTGTTGGGGTTCTGAACTTGATTGTTTTTTCCCTCCCCGTTGTGTGAAGGACTCTGGTAAATGCTTGAGACTGTTGACAATCAGCGGACAGCCACTGAACATTGTAATGCTCTGCAACAGTGTGATGATGATGGTTGTTGCATGTGGGCAAGCAAGACTTGTCTGAGTTCACCAGATGCTAGACTGGACTGGCCGCGTCGGTATCAGAAGCAGGCAGTGCCAGCGGACAGAGAGGGAGGAAGGCAAATCCTGGAGCCGCGAGAGGAGCATCGACAGCTGGAACCAAGTGAAGAAAAGACGTGGCGAGAGAGAAAAAAGTCAGCTCTCCAGTATCTGAAAGTGCCACTGCGGCTGCGGCTGCGACTGCGACTGGCACAGGCTCTGGTACAGCAACAGCAACAATCAATGGGCGCAGGTGGATTCTGTCTGCGACTCGGTCTGCGATTCTGTCTGCCGGTCCCCTCGATTCTCACTTCACTCGTCGCATCCACACCAGCACTTCCTAGCTTTGGCATGAATAGACGCGACACTTTTGACTTTTGCATCACTTTGGTTTTCACCTACCGGGTTATGTCCCTGCACTGTACCATTGACACCGCCATTCGAGCCGTCGACGACAATCAGGTGGCAAGTCACTTTCAATATCACATTCACCATCAAACTTTTCCACCCAACCCACCGCCCCTTCACCTGCTATAAGGTCGCCCGGCCTCTCTCCCTCCTCCTCTGTTGAAGTTGTCAGCTCAGATCTCTCAGTACACATCTCCTTCCCATTATCAACCCCTTCAACATACGCCTCTTCCCAGTTCAGATCTCGTGAAACAGACAAACAGACGCGATTACACAACTTCATCGCCAGCTCACACCTCTCAAATTCACCTCACCTGGCCCATTCACAAAGTCGCGACAATGATTGCCTGGGAGAAAATCACCCAGTTGATTGTCGGGCGTGGTGAGTTTCTTCTTGCGCGCCAGATTCCAGCATTGCTTGGTATACGCTGACTTCTGCGTCAATCAGCCGCCGCTGAAAAGAGCGAGCACAAGAAACTCGAGAAGAAATACAAGGAAGCTGAAGCAGCTCTCAAACTCATCACTGAGGTTGCTCCCGAGCCACTGCCCCAGTGTCTCAGCCGTAAGTCCAATTTCACTCTTTCTCCCCTGTTAACCATGTCACTGTTGACTGACCGTGATTCTAGGACCTCCATCGGTCTACAGCGCTGCCATCTCTGCCATCTCTGATGAATCACGCCAGCCTCGTGAAGGGGTCCTGCACACAGCCCGACGACCCAACTACGAGCGAGCTTCTTCAACTCCTGCAGTGACCCATGTCACACCTCGCAGGTCGCCATCAGGCCCACCAGACATTACCGCTCGCTCTCTCAGCCAAGAGGAATTGAAGCGGAACTACAGCTGTGACAGCTTCTGGGACACCAAAATTCACCCTCTCCCTCCAATGCCAGAAATGACCGGCTTCGGAAAATATCGCCGAGCCGTCAATGCCTCTCCAGAGTGGCAATTGGAACACCTTCACAAACATCTTTACGACATGAGCGACATAATTTGCGGCCATTTGGGCTCGCAGCCACCTGTTGGCTTGGATCCCGAGACCTGGAACCAATACAGAACTCAATACTCACGAACCACCAGCTTTGTCAGCTCTCGAAGCTCCATCACAGGCCTAGGAGTCGATGCAAGCACAGAATATCTGGACCCGATCACTGGTACCAGGATCACCCGCGGATTTTCCGCTTCAACCACCTCGAGCGCAGCAAGCTCTTTCAAAGATGGCTCAATTACCTTCCGCCGTGGCTCCAGTTACTCCAAATCAAGCATGGCTAGCCCCATCTCCGATGGCGATGCAAAGGGCAGCCGAAGACCAAGCCGAAATTCCTCATATCATACCAGCATTACCTCAATGAGCCATTTGGCCGCCATCAGCGAAACACAAGAACCATTCCCCAACTTCGGTCGCAAGATCCAAAAACCCTGCGAGTTCGACGCAAACGGAAACACTGAAAATGCGGTTGCTTCCGACGAAGACGACGAACTCGAGTGGGAAGACATGCTTGAAGTTGGCGGAGCCATCATCGGCAACCTCACTAAACGACTTGACCGAACATCATCATCTCGCACTATGCCACACATCAAGCCCGCATTGACTCGCCCACGCACAAAGAGACAGAGATCCAACACTGTGCGCCGAGTTCACCTGGTGGACAACCGCCACTAATTCTTACATTCTACCAGCCAACGCACAAACGGACAGAGATCCAAGGTCCAGCGTTGAGTTTATTTAGTGGACAAATTGCCACTAATTACTACTGTCAACCAACCAACGACTTAGTTTTCTTGGGCTTACGACGAATGAAACAACTGCATCACGACCTATACGCCCGTCTATAACGAATTTCGCATTTTCACTTCCAGGAAGGACATTATGATGAAGGACCATTGCTGAGAACAGTTCAGGAGTTCAGGAGTTCGGGATTCACTGCTTGGGTTATTTCACGGGAAGAACTCGGCAACTATGGGATTCGCTCGACACACGTGCAATTGCTTTCAGGTTTCACTATAAGACTATAACAAGTATAATTTCTTTTTTTTTTCGGGTGCTGGATTGTCGTTAATAGGAAGGACTATGTTGATAGTTTTTCTGATAGCCATCGCAATCAACAATACATACAATGGAATCATTGGAGTCAATGTTCTCCGGTTTCTCTTTGTAGTGTTGTCCTCACACAGTAGTCAAGACAGCCAGTTATCTTGTTGATGAGTACCGGCCCTTTTTCAAAGCACCGAACTGAAGCTGAAGGTGACGCTAGCTCTGGAGTTCGTTCGTAGAAAGTTGAAACTGATCCGTCGATCTGACTGAGCACGGGACGCTTCTCCTACTGTGCACCTCTTTTGGAGTAACACGAAGTCGCCTCACCAACACACCAACACATAACTCATTACCACTTCATAGGTGACTATGTAATTTTGCAACCCAACCCATATCTATGTCAAAGCCAATGTCAACGCCATCAGAGCAGATGAAGAAGAAACGACCGCTCTCTCCCGAAGCTGACAAAGAAGACACCACAACGACGATCCCGGAGGGGGAGGAACCAGCAACCAGCAGCGCCGCTGGCGCCGAGAGCAATGATGAGCAGATCTTCGTTTCCGCACCGGTCCACGATCGCCAGTCCACGTTCGTAGCTCACTTCCACCCCTCGCCGTCCGTGTTCGCGAAGCGGCAATCCGCGACTGGACCTGGGTCGAAGCCGCTCTCGTTGACAGCGGTCATCAAACGGCATCAATCACATGCGTCGTTCGCCTCTGCGAGCCACCGCATCGTCGCGTGGCGGCGCCGATCAAGCCAGCAAACGCTCTTCACCGCCACATCATCATCGTCGTCGCTATCATCTACTAATTCTTCTAACCCTCTTCTTGCCTCAGCGAGTGGCAGTGGTGGTGCGGGTGCCGGGGTAGGAGGACCAGGAAAAGCCATCATCTATGCGACGGGCTCGGAGGACGACGGTGAGAAATATGCCGGCAAGCGCCTCGAGCGGCTCCTGACCGATCTGGACGTCGAGGGCGTCGTCGTCGTCGCGCGCTGGTATGGTGGCGTATTACTCGGGCCCGTGAGGTTCATGCACATCGAGGACGTAGCCCGTGAGGCGATTCGGGCATGGAAAGTGAGCATTACCGATAGCTTGTTGTCGGACGGGGGACTGTCCAAGAGGCAGAGACTTCTGGGTCCCGACAGCGGAGGAGGAGCGGGCGGTGTTCCGACGAGAGGAAATGATGAAGATGGCCTCAGAACACGTCTCGCGGAGCAGCTTGCCGAGCGGGATCAAAGCATTGTCGTGCTGAGAGGGCTGTTGGCCGACAAGACCAAGGCCGCGTCCACGACAGTGGACCAGCAGCAGCAGCAACAGCAGCAGCAACAGCCGCAGCCACAATCACAGCCGCCTCAACAGCAATCTTTGACGACGTCGCCTTCGCCGGCCAAGAAGATCGATTATAGCGAGATGCCGCTGGCGAGACTGAAACAGCTGGAAAAGGCACGAGACGCCACGATTGCCTTTATCTTGAGGCAGCTGGACAAAGTCGAGGAAGAGGAGAAGGCAAAGGGAAAGGACAGCCAGAAGCAAGGAAGAGGCGTCCCCAGTGCCGATATAGAGACTGTGACACGAAGGCAGGGTGAGCAGGGCGTTGGGAGTATCGACGAGGACCGAAACGCATGAGGCACGGCATCGGAAGTCTTTGGACAATCAAACAACATCGAGGAAGGGCACATCTCAATGACAAGAATTGTTCTATGGGATATGGAGGCGCGCTGTTTGGACATTGAGCGAGTCCCGCTTGTTCGGGCGCACTGGGTAAGCACGTCGCTCGATCCAATGCACACATCACGCCGATACAGACACATCCTCCTGGCCGCCAACATAGCCGACTCCGCTGGCCCGGCTGCTGGCAGGGGTAAGCGCGTTTTTCTCTGCTTCCTCCTCCTTGAACTTCTCAACCACCATCTTCCTGGCCAGTTGTTGGTAATCTGCGAAGTCACATGATGTCAGCATATCCAACATGGCATGTCCATAGAGCGGTAAAACGACGAAAAGGTTGTGGTGGTTCGAGAGCGAGTGAAGGGAAGTTCAGAAACACAGAGCCAACTCACGCAAGACACCACTCTCCTTGGCCTGATTCAACACCCCTTGCGAATACACTCCTCTCTCCAAATTACTCTGGGCAACCTCACACAACTCAAAGTCCTCCAGCGCCACCTTCCTCACAAACTTGAAGTAGTCTTCGAACCCTTCCATCCCGCCTTTCCCATCGTCGAAGTAATAATCAAACTCCATGCGAGTTTCGCCAACCTTTTCACTCGGGCAAACACGGAAACTGCTCATACCGCCACCGTATAGATTGAGAGTACATACGGGAAAGAAGAATAGGAAAAGACCGTCGTTGGGCTTTTGCGGGTCGGCAATGTGCCGGCTATATGTGTCGTGGTTGTGTACTTCGTAGAAGGTAGGCGGATATTTGACACTGAAGCTGCGGTGCGTGTATTGGCAATGCAAGCATTCTTGGTACCCGTCAACCATGGTCTTCCAGTTGAAGCGACCGGGGTATTTGATGGAGCGGCGGTGAGGTAGGCGGCGGAAGTTGTATCGTGATAGGAGTTCGAGCAGAGATGGTGGGAACCATTGCTCGAATGGCGGCGCAGATCGGTCGATGGTGGTAAACAAGCAACCCGTCGGAGTCAAGTGATGGCTCAGTGAGACCCCCTGGAAGATGAGAGAGAAGATTACAAAAAAGAAATCAAACAGGAATGAAATGGTGGCGAGCATACATCGGACTTCCTCTTCACCTCAAAGTTCTCGTTCCCATCATGTCGGACAATGATGGGGACGCCCGCGAATTCGTACTCAACTTCCCGTTCCACTGCAAACCGAGGGACAGCTCCAACGAAGTACCAAGCTTTATAAAAGATGGCTCGTTGTTCAAGCGAGTAAAGATTTTGTGAAATATACCACGACGCCGGCAGTGTTTTGGTTGCATCCATTGCTGAAATATGGCCCTTTGCTTGACCTCAACGTTCCTAATAAACAAGGGCGTCGATGGACGGCGTTATGTCTTCCAGGCAAGAAGCATCGTTGACAATTCCAGCCGTTGGAAGGATATAACATCCGCAGCAGACCGGCCTTTGACATTGGATTCCAAAAGAGGTATTCGAATACCGACCGAATGATGGACCATGCTATACGGTCCACCCGTGTTCCTATTCGCGCAAAAGGGAAAAATGGGTGCCCATAAGAGTATCATCATTATTCATCGCTGGGTGAACAATTTCCATGTGCTAACATCTCACTGGGCTGATGTTGGCCGTGTGGTTCGAGGGGTACTTCCGCAGAAGTCAATAGTCGAGACGCGAAGGAGGGTGGGTTGATTCTTGCGGGATCGTATTGCCCAGTTGAGCCATGGCGTTTTTCCCTGTGACCAAAGAGTGCGTCAGCTTTGATATCATGGCGAGTAATTGACGACTCAGAGTATAATAGGTGTCGGATCCGAAGGTGGATGGAGTACAATCGCCTGCATCGATCAAGGTAATTGGCTGCCTCTCTAGTAGCTTTCGGGAAACGCATCCTCCTAACTGAAATGCCTGTTGGGTCCAAACGGGCAATCCGGGTCCACGGTCTCGTTCGTATTCATAAATGACGATGCCCGTCTCGTTGGACCCAATATCAATATCACCGTGGCCCAGACCCTTCTAGCATGGCCGTGAACGTAATCCAGAGCCGTTTGGGCTCACTGAGCTCTCCATTCTCCATCTATGTTTTCATTGCTGCTTGCATTGTTTACCTTGTCGCACGTCTCCTGTTGAGCTTCGTCCATGATGATCGGAAATCCTTTGCTCCTGGTTCAAGTCTTGACCAGGCCGAGAAGGGCAGTTTGAAGAAGCAGGAGAACATGTCAGATGACGAAATCTTCCAGTTGGAGAAAAGAGCATTCTTCAGCAAGGTAGTCAATTTCATTTCGTTGCAACGCCATCAGCTTAGGCCAGGACTGACTGATTTCAAGACGTGGCTTTTCGTTTGTCACCGTAGCAGGTTCGACAAGTCTGGGGATTATCATGCTTATGACGTTGCCGGCATCTCATTCTTCGTCGTCCTCGGCAAGGACTTGAAGCTGCGAGCTTTCCACAACGTCTGTCGACATCGCGCATATACCGTGGTCCGCAAGCCATGTGGTACTTCGACGAGGTTTTCGTGCAAGTACCATGGTTGGCAGTATGATGACAAGGGCGCCTTGGTCAAGGCTCCAAAGTTCGACGAATCGCCAGGATTTGTACTTGAAGACAATGGCCTGTTCGAGATCAAGTTGATAACGACCAGGGAGGGTTTGGTGTTTGTTAACTTTGACGCAAGCACGATGAATCTTCCTTTCAATAATGTCAAGTCTCACGTGGATCTTGGGAGCTGTTCTTGGGTGGATGCAAAGGAAGTAACCTGCGCAACGAATTGGAAAGACGTTGGTGAGTAGATCTGAAGTCTGCACGGCCCGGACTCTGACATGGTTAGCAAATGAGTTCTCCAATCAAGCTCAGTGGGCGCAGAATCCGTTTGAGTGGCTTTCTGTACTTCGCAAGTCCAAGGTTGTCAGACTCCTTGGCCCATTGAGCATTATCAAGGAACTGGACAATGACCTGTGGTGCACGATGGTGCTTCTGCCACGGTCAACCTCGGAAGTCATTGTTAGATGCGACTTTTACGTCAAGGAAGGGCACGCAGCTCCTGCAAAAGTTGTAGAGAAGTCGAAGTGGATGTTGGAGCAAGAGCTACTCAACCTGTCCAGACCAGATGAAGCAAAAAGCTCAACAAGATCCTCATATTTTGCATATCAATGCGGAGGTAAGTGATGGCTCCCCAGCGCAACAGAACCAATAGCTGACAGATGGGGCAGGCCGCACGATTGACTTGTTTGCGATTCTTGCTCAGCATCAACGGAACGAGAAGATGGCCAAGAGAAAGCTGCAACCAGCGATCAGGGTGACCGGCACAGGTGATATTGACACCGAAGCCGAGGCCTTGTGCGACGCCCTCGAAGGGGTAGCCGACTCGCCTTCCTTGGAGAAATGTTCTCGGATTTCCAGCTTTCCTCAAACACTAGAGTGGTGATCTCCGTCAGGTCATCGCGAGAGGATGCATGCTGTGGGTAGAAAAAAGCACTGAGGTATGCGTTGATTGTTTCGACGACTTAATCTGTACGCTGTAAACGGACGAGATATCGCCGGTCAAGCAGTCGCTGGTGAACTAGAGCTCGGGGCGCTAGGCGCGAGACACAGAGCTTGCTATCATTATGTTGGCGCGACATTGAGTCTGTTTGGCGTATGGAGGAGCTGTTGGGTTGAGGAATTTATACCTAGGTATGGTGTAGCGTCTGGTGCACTGGTGTGTCGTGAAATGGAGAGGGAGCCAGGATAGATACTCTTCCCTCATAACAATCAGTCTCTTGTTCAGGCCATATTATCTGTATAGGATACGACTGGGTCGCTATTAGAACGAGGGTGCCCTTGTATAAGAATGGGTATTCCGTTTACCTTTGGAAATAGGGGTGCTCTATCCTTCATCTACTGTTAGGGTCTTTGGCACAGGGGCCACTTCGCTGTTTTTGAACTCTCTCAGTCATGTTGGGTGCAGTGTCCATTGTATACCAGAAGCATCCTACAGATTCATCTTCTTTTGTCGCAGGTATTGGTTCAGGGGCAGGTCGTCCACCTGCGAGAGCCTGAATGGATCTCTGTATCCTTCTCGTAAGCTTCTGTAGAATTAGCCATGAATTCTGCCGTCAACTAGCAATCCCTTCTGTCGGGGAGAGTGGTTCATGGTTTCCTCAGCTGTCTAGGGTAGTTAGCTGTGTCCGGTGATAGCGTCGCCCTTCGGACATCTGTGAGTCCTTGAGCACGTCCTATTCGTGTTCTATTACGGTCACAGCATGGTGTTGGTCAGTGAAGAGTATGATCCTCCGCTACGTCCCAAGCCAGGACGTCCTTTGGTGTGAGTTGGCTTCGTCCCTGGCACTGAGCCTGGTATCTCGAAAACATGGTGTGCTGCGGAGGGATAGCCCAGAAGTGTGGCATGCCCGGAAGCCTTCTGTCTCTTTGACTAAGGAGACTGAGGTCCGCCTGCGAAGCGGAGAGGCTTGTATCGTCCGTCGTCGCGATGGTGATGGTGATGGTGACGGTGACGGTGACGTGTTTGTTTACAGAAGCATCAGCGGGAAGAGGATTCCCGAAAAGCGGCGGTACCTAGCGCCAAATTCGGCAAGGAATGTCCCTGCCCTGTACCGCGTAGGGAGGGAACCAAGGGCGGCGTCACACCGTTCCCCAAAGTGGGACAAAAGTCTTGGCCGACGTCTTCTCCTTCCGCCATGTACTGACCTGACCGCAATCAACGCAAATCGTTCCGTTCTTGTTCTTCTTGCCCACACGATCCCTTTAACCCACGCGCTCGACACAGTCCTGCACCATGTTCAAAAAGGAGTATGCACATATCCTCTCGCCGGAAGTGAAGACCAAACACTAACTCGGCATCACGCAGCTTGTCGGCGGGCGCAAAGTCCAAAGTCAAGTCCTCGGTTCAGCGGGGCATCAGAGCCAAAGTGCTCGAGACGTACCCGAACCTCGAGCCATACATTGACGAGATCATGCCCAAGAAGAGTCAACTGGATCTAGTAAAACTGTGAGGCCCCGTCGCTCGCTATACTCCCCCTTCCAGATTTTATTGCAATGGGGGTAAAATAGAGCCATCACTTTTCAACTTATTCCCACCACCAGAGGTCTCTTCCGCATACCTCTGTATAGCGGCGACAAGCAAAAGAATTTCGACCTGTGTCCCCTTTCATCCCCCCTATCGCTCACAACTCCTCCTTCTAGACCCGATCGTGTCTCCCTCTATGTCCTCGACGACCACCCCCTCTTCTACCAACACATGGATGACCCTATCATCCCCCACCTGAAACTGGTCCACCAATACCCGCAATGCTTCAATCACCTACGCATCGATCGGGGCGCAATCCGTTTCGTCCTCTCCGGCGCCACGTTGATGGTTCCCGGCCTCACCTCCGCAGGAGGTTGGTTGCCCGGAAAGGACCAGGAGGTGAAAGCGGGGGAAATCGTTACTATCACAGCAGAAGGGAAAGAAGAAGTATGTATGATTGGAATCTTAGAGGTAGGGACCGAGGAAATGAAGGCGAAGAAAAAGGGCGTGGCCATGAGCTCGGGCCACTATCTGGGAGACGGATTGTGGAAGTTGGATCTGAGTTGAGCAAATGAAATAGGACAAAAGATTGATTGAGAGGGAGAGTCGAGAGTCTTTCCAATACAAGACTTGTTGACAAACAGGAGAAAGGGGGGTTTCCCGGGGGTCATTGCCGGTCGAAAACAGATATGAGTCTACATTCCAGGGGCACTTCGAGGAGCGATGGCGGGCCCTGCAGCACGAATACTCGCCGGCTGTATTCGGGGAGGCATGCTCCGTTGCGCTGATATAGTTGAAGAAGGCGGCTGGCCAGCGAGGGAAGACATCAAACGTCGGCACAGGTGTCGACTTGAAGCCTGATGATTGAGAACCACACAAAGTTGGCAACCTGATGGATCCGACCCCCGCAATTCATCAGACACCAAATGATCACGAACCGAACGAAAACACCTGCCTGAATGCTGTAAATTTGGAGTATATAGCACTCACATTTGGCTGCTGCGCACCACGGCCCTTACATGTAGTGTACAGTCTACTTTCAAGCGCAGTCGATTGCAATGCATGTAATCCGTAGGAGTCTACGGTGACACTAAATCTGCGGGTTTGACAATAAACCCCATTTTTCAATCAATCACCTATGATTTCCTGGTCTCGTGATACTGTGTACAAACTTTTGTCTTGCCCCTCGCTCATGGAAGTGGATGGACTCGGTGTGTTTGTGAAAAAGCTCGGAAAGGACCCGTAACACAGCGCATCATCCTTGACCGCCACTGAACTAGTTGCCCCTTTCTGACATGCAAATGTTTGCTGGTTTAATCCCCTAACTTTCGGTTCGGTAATCGGTGGCCTCCATCCAATACTGACTCGTCGAGGTGGCCCTTTGATCGAATGAGTGTCTGCCTGCATTTCTGTCCCGAATGTCAAACTCATTGGAGCATGATCTTGTCGCCAGGTAGGGGCAGGGCACCCTTTCCGGGTCATTTCCTCCTCTCCTCTCCTTTACAACTCAACCAGTGCTTCCATGACCGTTTTCCAGCCTCTCCGCCTCCAAAGCTCTGCCTTTCCCGCCCTCCCTGCCCTTCCTGTGAACACTGTAAGAGGGTCTATGCAAGAGACATAACGATGTCTTCAAGTGAGAAAGTGAGCCATTACTCTGAAACAATTGAAGAAAATGTGGTGAGCAACCGCGGGATGGTATCTCAATCATAATTGGTCGTGGGGTGGTCCCAAAGGGGATCCTCGAGCCTAATTCAATGCGCCGCTGGTGGTACTTGCATATGCCATTGAATCCTGCTGAAAGCTGCTTTTTTTTTCTCTCCCATTCATTCGGATTGACTCCTGGTGTGTTTGGAAAATTGTGGTGAAAATTGCTGGTCGATGACAAAACTCGCTCCCTTTCGGTTTTCCCACATGTCACACATCAAGCAATGTGATATGATGGATGAATGACCATGTGCATTGTACAAGAATCTCGAGTCAATGTCGGTGAACTTGTTGGGTACCGGTAGCTCGAGCAGGTGAAATGAATCATTTTCGAACGATAAAAGATCATGGAAACGATGATCTCAGGTGGTGTGTAATCTGACAAATGCCATTATGAGGTTGGTAGTATTCATTCAGTGACTGAAGTGGTTTTCTCAGTACATTTTGCAGGATGGCAAAGATGAGCAGAGATACGTTGCTGATTACAATGGCATCATAGCGCATCGGAAAGTGCAAAGCAAAGCAGGCATTTGCTTCTCTTAGCCACTCTTGTCGAGTTCGGCCTTTTCCTCAGCAGTGAGGATGTCACCGAGTCTTTTGATAGTTTTCATGTTTGTGGCTCCGTTGCGCCAGGCAGCTCGCAAGGTTTGGAAAATGAGACGTTTATCGGGGTTTTCTTCCCGATAAAGAGTGACCATGTCGGAGGCAAGACGTTCACTGATCGGAACAGGTGCAGATAAGAGCTTGCCAAAATAACGCACAAGGTGCGACATGCCGCTATCATTGCCTTCTTGCAAATCGCCGGCGGCAGTTGTTTTAAATTCCTGGTACATGCCGACATTGAACTTGTCAACAAGGAAATCGGTCCAGAAATTGTAAAGAGGCTCTAGAGCCCCTTCCACTCCTATTTGGCGCTGCTGGAATGCCATGTCATGGAGTGATAAATAGGTCTGGTCAAACTGCCCTGGCTGTGGAGGCGGCAGTTGGGTTTCTTGGCCATCTTTGGTGAAGTAGATAATGTTCTCATCGCCTGTGGGGATAGTGTACGGAGCGCTGAAAGATAAGCTGCGGAACTGCTCGAGCCTTGTCCGGCATTAGTGCTATAGTCGTGACGGCGATCGAAAAGACTTACTGCTGTGGACTACTGGCTCCGCCGCGCAAACTCGGGAGACGAGCTTGGTCCAGGTCCAGTGGCACATTGTTGCCTTCATTCTGTCCACTAGAAGATCCAGCAGAAGGGATGCGAGCGATACCGGGGAAAGACGGGGCTGCGCCATTGAGAACGCTTGGTTGCATGCGGATATTGACATTCGGGATCTGCTCATCTGGGAAAATGTTGTCCTCAATGTCGGCGCGGGAACTCTGTCGACGATGACCATTGACAATGTTGCTCAGGGGCTCCGAAGCGTGATGCTGAGGGGATTGCACAGCAGCTGGAGCAATATGCTGGTAAGATACGAGCGAAGGCCTCTCTGTTCCATCGCTAGAACCATCTTCGAATGAGCGGACAAGCGGCTCCCCGGAAACCTGACTCTCCGTTGGCAGCACAGGAATATACGACATCGGCGAATTTGCGTGGAACGTTCCATTGCTGGAACCCACGGTCAGCTGCGGACTACGCAATTGACCGAAGGCAAAGGACGGATCATGTAGACCAACCTGGTCTGGGGGTGCTGTGCGATTGTAAGAATCCGGGTTATGCAAAGGCCCTTCATTGCGGGCTGATTCAAATCTCTCCTCCACGGGAAGAACGAAATCACGCCAGCCTTCGCGACGACGGAGTCGATCATCCCCATCAGTCCCCGGTAGGAACTCCACGCTCTTCACCTGTTGGCAGACATAACGAAGGTTGTCCATGGTCATGTTATCCTCAGTAAGAGTCTTGATACGCTTGAAATTCGCGATAACGCCGAGCGGGACGTAACCTTGACCGTCCATATGCTTCCTCAGAAACAGATCCTTACAAAGGTTGTCAATTGAGAAGTAGTACTCGCTAGAGACTGTGTTAGTGGACCGGCGCATTTGGGAGGTCGATGGTTTGTGGACACTTACATCTGGGTCATAACCATTGACAACAAAGCGTACGAGTTAAGGGGATCATTGTACGGCATTGCACTCATGATACTTGGTTGCATCTGCATATGTGAGGGGTAACCATAGATTGACATGTCGGTCTGAATGGTCGGGAGACCTTGTGGCATGGCCGGCATGCCATTGTAATAGCCTGTGAACATCATACCAACAGAAATGAATTGCGAACGTGGGTTTGTGCGCGATGTGTTTGATGCTTGAGTTGGCACAAAAGGCTGCGACGCTTGCCTTGAGCGAGTCTCAGTATGCGAATTAGATCTTGACGGAGGTTCGAATCCATTTTGCGGAAGAGGGGATGTGTAAGCATGAGCCGGAGTGAATGGCGGGTTGTAGTTGTTGTTGCCCCGGCCGCGAAAACCACGTCCGCGCTCGGATCGAGGCTCACGTCGATTGCTCTGATCACCAGAGGCCTCCCGATCCCGCCAGGATTCAACTTTCTCGCGAGCCGAGTCAGGTTTGTCCCTAGGCCAGTCTCGGTTTCTGCCAGAGCCGCGGTCTCTGCCAAATTCACCCGTACTTCGGGCTCCACTTGTTCCGGAACCTTTGTATCGGTCATAAGTGAATGAATAGCGAGCGATGGGTTCGCTAGTCTGGTTGTAAGCGCCAGTCACTTGTTCGACTGAGGTGTTTCCTTCTCCGTTAATCATCCGACCGCCAACGTTCCCAGTATGTCTAGAAGAAGACCTGGAGCTGTGATCAGCCCTTGGAGTTTGGTCCTCAAGATTCTGCTGAGGTGCAGTTGGGTTCGTTGGGACGTTTTCGGCTGCTGGTTGATCCTTGGTGTAGGCCGCGGAAGACTTCCAAAACGCAGAATTTCTATCTTCACCACTTGTAGGTCGAGTGCTGCTAGTGGGAACGGACGCACCGCGTGCACCACGTTCCCCTTCAGGTCTACGGCCGCGGTCTTGTTCGCCAGACTGTCTTGGTACTGGAGGTGGCCCCATGGAGGTGGTCCCGTCTTGCTTTTCTGCGGCAGAACCCACATAGCCACCCCCACGACTGCCGTTATCTCTTCCTCTTCCACCCACTCTTCCGCCTCGTCGCGCCGCAGATGGTGGAAGCTGTGTTTCGAACTTGGCTGTAGGAACGAACGGAACCGCGACCCATTTGTTACTGTGGGATTTCTGAGAACCGGGTTTGACGTCGAGCTTATCCGTCCTCTCGAAGGAAGCCGATTTGCGTCGTTCTTCAACATTGGAATTTTCCGGGGTTGGCCATGACTGTGTGTCATCTACCGGCGGCGGCGCGTCAGAGTCGCCCTTTTCGCCATGCTGAGAAGCAGGTCTAGAGGAACGAGCGGACGGCATATCTTTCCTGTTGACGGCTCTGGCGCCATCGACATTCTTGCCTTCTTTCTCAGAACCGCCAATATCTTTGCTGAGAGACTTCCGTTTAGGATCTTCACTGCTAGATTTGGGCTTTGGTTGTTGATTAGGGGTGGTGGAAACTAACGCTCGTTGCTGTTCCAACCCTTTCATCTTTGCGGCTTGAGCTTCTATGCGCACTTGCCAAACGTTGACCGTCGGGATAGGGGCAGCTTTGTATTGTGTCTCCGCACTCATCGAAGGTACTGAGACCTTCTCCCAGTCATCTTCGCCGTCCTTGGATTTCTTTTCAGTGACGGAAAGAGCAGATTTGTCGTTTGAGGTAGAGACAGGCAGCTCTTCTGAAGACAATGATCTTCCATTGGGAAGTTGTGGTGCAGCATCACGTTTCTGTTGATCTTGGGGGGGCGCAACATTGGGAGTTTCGACATGTGCCACAGGTGATGCCTCAGCGTTACTGTATGTCGCAACATGCTGAATTTGCATTATGCCTTCTTTGTCTGTATCTTCTTGTGTTGACTTGGACGCAGAACGCTCTGCTTCTGGCGAAGACTTGAATGCAGCGCCCTCCCCGCTCGATTTGTCCTCAGGTTCAGACCTCGGTCGAGGAGACTTGAGTGTGGAAGTTGAATTAGTCGTTTCAGTCACGGACCGATCCTTGACACTCTTGTCAGAGGCCGCTGGGCTTTCGTTCCTCGACGCCGACTGGGTTGAAGCTGCCGATGTGAGGCCCTTTGCGGCCTGTGCATATGAAAATACTGGCGCTGCTGCGCCTGAGGAGGATGCCATTCTCACAGACAATGCTGATAAAAACCACACTGCACCTCCTGTTTCACTTCCACAATACTAAACCCCTCACCAGCAACAAGCTGGCCGCAAGATAGAGAGCCCAGTATTAGCCAGGTGACAATTGCGGCAGTAAGACTTCTTTCGATTCACGTCTTGTGCTTTCCCTCTTGTTCGTTGCTGGATCTTGTCTGCACGATGACCAGTGACGGATGGGTGAGGTCAAGGGTCAAGACTCGGCACGAAACTTTCCCAACCAGGTCCGCGACAGCAAATTGTAGAGACGTTGGAAAAATATCCTTGCTTCTGTGAGGAAGGATCCCACAGTATGAGCCAAGCAGCCCACCTGTCTCGCCGTCAACCTGCCTGTTTTTAAAGACTCCGCGGCTGACCTGCCGTAGTATTCCACCGGTATATCCTCTGCCGACTTTTGGCTATTCGATTCTGCTGCGATACCACAAGGCCACTAGACTGAGCCCTGCAGGAGAATGTCGCGGTTGTTTGTCGGCCAGGTTATGGTGACTTGGCAGAGCGACCGAGGCAAGCCTGGAAATGCAGACTCGGGATCGTGACGGCAGGATGTCCCTGTTCGTTCTCGAGCGAGATTTCTTGTCGACAGGAAGCAGCACGGACGATCCGGTTGACGTGAGAGGGAGAGACCACGCACGGCCTAAGACGTACAACTGTCGACCGCGGCTGTTACAGGTGGTCTGGGGGGGATGAGCTGATGCGGCCCAAAAACTTTTGAGTGGGAGTCAAAGCGGAGTCCTTGGTCTCGGAATTTTCAGCGCCAGAAGCGCACGGGTAGACAAGAACGCTGGACAAGAACAAAGGAGCGAGGTTGGGGGGTTGAAGGGACGACGAGATGGAGAGGAGATGGAGGGAGAAATGTGTGTGTGGGTATTGAAGAGAAGTCTTTTTCGTGGAGAGTCAAGCTAAGGTCTGAGTGCTCAGTGAACTGAATTTCGATTTTCCTAGCGCGGCATTTTGCGAGTCGGGCCAGTGACGGGGCTTGAGGAGTTGCTTCCGACCGACTCATGAGACTCTCTGTTAGACTCTCAATCTTCACTGAGGACAGCAGGCAGAGCAGGGCTAGGTGTTGGAATCACCGCAAACAACCGAGAATAAGTGAGGGGCTCGCTGCTGCTGCTTGCAGTTGCTGGCTACTACGCCTTTCGTCCCCCGATTATTCTCACTGCCACTGCTGCTAGTTAACCATGTCCCGCCTCTGCCAATGACTGCCAATGATTGTCAAGACTGAAGCCTGACGGCTTGCTGCGTTTGCCTGCGGTTCCTCCTGCCCCTTACGCACTTCTCGTTCGACCCCAATCCCAGTCACAATCCCGACTGCAGCCCATTGGAACTGTAGGATCAATACGGCTTGGCTTGATATCCTCCCCTGCCACGACTGCTAGCACTCTCACCAATACGACGTCCCACCCAGAGTGCTGTTCGAGCGTGGTGGTCGAGGTTAATGGAGTCATGAGCTGGTCTGGGGCACGGCAGCACATAATACTACACCGTACGCACGCAAAGCAAAACAAAGGAAAGGACGTGTGCCGCTCTTGGTGTTTGAGGCCCATTGGACCTGTTCTGTTGTGGCTCTTGACCTTGACCTCCCTATGCCCGTGAAGACGGGTCAGCGGATAGTAAACGCGTGATTTCGACGTGCCTGACGGTGATAGGTATCTGTTAGAAACACAAAGAGAACCTCTATGTCTACCGCTGCAACATCCCTCAACCCTTCTCTGCTCGCGATTCTCCTCGTCATTCAAGGCCGAACCGGTTCGGGCGCTGAAATTGTCTTCCACTACCCTCCAGACCCTCTGTCGGCGGAGCGACCTTCTTATGCTTCAGAGTCAACAGATGAAGATGATGGAGAAAGTTCCAGCAGTGGTTCGGAAGAGTCATCGTCGGAGGAGGATTTTGACTTGTTCACGAGACGGCTGGGGAATGTGATGACAGCAACGCAGAACCAAGACAACCAGTCACAACATTCTGACGATGAGGACAGCAACTATCTGAGCAAGAGAGGCACACAGGACAATGGACAATGGAAGCCTTCATGGGAGCCGCTCCTTGGCCTCGGAGAAGATGGGCTGGTCAGCTTGCTAGCCCCAGGTCGTGCCTGGCATAAACGCAGGTTTGAGCTAGGCATTAACGATCTCACCTTCTTGGGTCGACCAGTCTATGCTCGTGAGGATGGCTTCTGGCGAAAACCAAAGCTGAAGAAGTCAAAAATAGTTGAAGATGAGGGCCTTCCCTCAGAGGCCACGGCCAGTGATAGTGCCCAGGATGTTGACGGCGACGGCGACGAAGCTGCGCCGACTGACCACGATAACAAACAGGAATGCCATGCAAAGGAACATTCAAAAAGCCAGTTGACCATGTTTCACGTTGTGTTTGTCATGGACCCTCCGCTGGTGGAGCATACAGCTCGGGTCAAAGAGATGTACGACCATGTTGTGAAAAAGTTCTCGAAGGTGCTCAAATGGGCACAATCACATCATGATTATGTCTGGGAACAGTCTGAACTGCTGCAGTCTATCAGGTCGGCGCACTTTCACCAACAATCGCCTGCAAAGGTGCTATATACCGAAATGAAACAACGTTCTCCTTTGGCTGCTGCCATTGCCAAAGTGTTCGATAACATCTCCGCCTCCAGAATAGCTGCAATCACACTCAGTCCCAAATTGTCCGTGTCTCTCCAGATTCCTCCTGTCACGTCGACTTCTTATCTTCCTTCTCTGTCCGAACCTCCACTACAGCCAGGATTATGGCTTACCACGGCCACGGATCCCTCGTCTACGGCCTCAGATCTGGACGCCACTTCCTCTACAGGTCCATTACAGCTATCCAAGAACTTCACTCTTCTCCTCAAATCGAGCCCGCAGAAGATCCTCAAGGACATCCAAGCGGCGGGTGGTTCATTAGCAATGCCGTTGACCAACTTCATTGGACACTTGAAACCGACCAAATCCTTTTACAAGATATCGATTGCGTCCCAAATTGCTTTAGGTGATATTCAACATCTGGCTCGTCACCTTGTTTACTGGCGGAGGGCGATAGCGATTCCGCCGCTGCATCAGCGCGACACCTACATCGTATCTCCAAACGCCAACATGAACAAGCTGGTGTCGGCTTGCAAAACATACGAGGCGACTTTTCCTATGATGCCGTCTCTGCCGAAGATGCTGAACGCTTTGAGCGGTACTCCTGCCCCATATGGTACTCTCATTCCCAGCAGAGACCATAAGGAAGAGTACTACCGAGTCCTCGCCTGGCTCATGCGCGACGGCTGGGTAACACAGCTCCGGACATTTGCGTTTATCCGCGTGGACCCAGAAGTGAAGAAAGCAGTACGTGAAAAGGAGCGCGAAGAATCCAAGGGCCCCAAAACTCCCGTTATTGAGAGGGAAGCAAGCGAGCGTGACCGAGATGCGGCGAGGAGCTTTGGTAGCGGCACACCAAACACCATTGCAAGCGGAGCACTTTCATCTTTCAAGCAGCGTCCAAGCATGGCAAGTCGCCCATCCAGTGACGGGCGACAATCCATTTCCACCGACCGCAACAGCGTGCCCGGCGGCGGGCAACAGTTCAAACACAATCCCAAAGCTGCAAGCCTCATTATCTCCCCTCAACGCGCCTCACCCGAAGAGTCCCGCTGGCTCGACTATATTGCATCCACAATCAGCTCTTCTCGAAGCACCTCTCGGGCAGCCTTGTCTCCTTCGCCGGCTTCATCATCATATTCCGAGGCCGAAACTGCAGAATTACGGCACTATTGGCCCGTGTTTGTGAAATATTTCAGCGGATCAGAGCCTCTCGAGAGGATCCCTGTCAGGGAAGGGCTGAAGAGGAAATTTGTCTGGGATATATTGGAAAAGGTGGGATTGGATTTCGACGGCGGAGTGGAGGACGAGAAGGCGGAGAATAAGAGAGTGTTGGTTACAATTCGACACTGGTAGGAGCGGGTTTTTTTTTTTCCCTCCCTCTCTAATCATGTGTTTTGCGTATATGGATGAAGTCCAAAAGCATCAGAGGGGAAGGGATTACAATGTCAGATCAACGAAAGGAGACCACCCGTTCCGGAAGGGCAATTCGACGTCGCAATCGTGTAATACCAGACACTAGGGTACGTTGACCTCGCCAGCCATCCGAGATATATGCTGAGTCTATCGATGTAGGTATAGTCCACGTTCCATCTCTAATATGTGGTCTAAATCTAAATTTAAGTCTAAGTCTAAGTCTAAGTCGGGTATGTTGTCTGTGCGTAGCATCCATGCGACAGCCTTCGAAACACCGCATCGCCCTTGCCGGTCGCGAGACCAGCCACCATTCAAAGATATGTAATATCCGCTGCTAAAATCAAAATAAAAAAGAAAACAGCAAAAGGGCGAAAAAAGTCGAGACAGGCCACAAAGGGCAGCAGAGAATAGGAAACAATGGTATGGCAGCAGAGTCCCCGATTAGGGACACAAGGGGCCTAATCCAGGGTCTTGACTCCCAGCTGCACTCGGACCTCCTCTTGACGGACAGCCAGAAAGACAGTGTGTACGGAGGACATGCCTACAATTTGGACGTCCTCGCCGTTGCATTCGTCTTGCTCAACGCCACCTTCACCTGCGCGCCCGCATGGTCGTTGTTGCTGCCCCAACCCACACGGTCTCGTGTCGCTGCGGACGCTATTGGGGCGTCGCTCTTCTTCGGAGCGCTGCGATATCCGGCGTGGACGTTCTCGTCGTTGAGCACGGCGCCGGACTGGGGGTCGCGCCGGATGCCCAACTCCAGCAGCTTGGCGAAGACGCGCGCAAAGTCGGTGAAGAAGAGCTCCTTGTCGGCCGCATACCGCTCTACCCAGACACGGAACTGCGGGTCCTCGAGCAGGGCCATGTCCGTGGGCAGCATCATCAGCTCCTCGGCCTCCTCGACCCCCTCGTCGCCGTCTTGCGCATCGTCATCCACATACACGTACTGCACCATCCCGTTCTGCAGAGTCTTCTTCTTCCAGTCGTGCGTGCGGAGCAGCTTGAAGTACGTGTTGCTGAAGCGCGTGGGGTTGTTGACCCATTTGCCCTCGAAGCCGGAACGGTCAGCGTGGCAGCGGCCCAGGTTGTGCGCGCCGCTCAGACAGACAATCTCACGGTCGTCGAAGCCCATGCGATAGAAGATGCAGCGCAGGTGGTCGCTGCCCTTGGCGCCGTCCGGCAGGCGACCTCGCGGCGGCAACCTGGAGTCGTCGTCGGCAAAGTCTGTGCGGCCTCCCATCCAGGGGATCTCGGGCCCGCCCATCGCGCGGATGGCGACCACGGCCGCCAGCGTCCACAGGTCGGCGTACGTGATCCACGGGAACTGCCGCTTGATGGGCTCCAAGAAGGCCCGCGCGTGCTGCAACCCCGCGTTGGCCGGGTCGCCCCCTTCCTTCTCATAGCGCATGCCTGCCCCGTTGGAGCCGCCCGTGTTGGTCTGCGCACAGTATGTGCCGGCGCTGTGCCAGGCGAGGCGGACCAGGACGGGCCCCGCGCTGCCGTCGTCATAGCCGGGTTGGTTAAGGAGGGAGATAATGGCTTGTTTGACTTGAGCGAGTTGGTCGGCGGTTGGCAACGATGGCGGGTGAGGGTTCTGATGGCAGTCGGGCGTGGAAGACGGCGGCGCAGGGAAGGTCGACATGTTGAATTGGAGATGGACAGGGCCTGATGAAATCGGTTCCGGTGGTTGCTAGTTATCAGCTTTTTCAAAGAGACAGTGGCGAAACGTTGAGGAATAGAAGGCTTCTCTCTTCCTGAAGGGATATCAATGCTTCAGCTCCACGGGAAGGAGTAGGACGGGGCTAAGGAAAATGAATCAACATGAGCACAACGAGGAAAGACAACGAAAGGAACAGAACAGCAGGTGGCGAGGGATAAAACGGGATATGAAGGAAAGGAGCAGGAGGAAAGGAAAAAGGACCAACAAAAGGGAAAAAACACAAGGGCACGGGGAAATGCGTAGAAGATACGGACGGAGGCAATGCTTGCAGCAGCACCACCCATCTTGCCTCGGTATCACATAAATATTCTGCTGTCCCTGCGCGACCAAATGATGGTATCTGACACGCAGCCAGTGGGTCTCAACAGTGGGCTGCTTCGAGACGAGCACATGGCAGAGGGGGGGAAAAAAAAGAAATTGAGATAGTAGTACTCCGTAGGATGGTGCAACTGGATACTTCGTACCGAGTCGGGAAGGCTGAGGTAGCCCGATAAGAAAAAGTGGGCAAGGCTGCCACTTGCGTGATATGGCGCAGTAGGTAATAGTAACCGTCTCCGGCCTTCGGAGGTCGGCAAAATCTCGCATCATGGTCCCCATGGTCCACACAGCGTTTATCCCATCGTCTGCGAAGAACCAAGACTAGCTCGAAGAAAAAGTCGGCATGGCGTTAGGGCTTCCAAGAAATTCAGTAGCCGAGGTTCCGTCGATCCAGACCCTCTGTTCGCTGCTTACTGCCTGCTGGCGCCTTGTCCTCAGCCCCAAGCCACACTTTTAAACCTGACGTATTGACGTGATACATGTGTGTGTACCCAGTATCGTTGCCCATCCCAGTGCAAAGCCCAACGCCGCTTCGCCTGCTGTGTTGCCCGTTGACACGAAAAGCATCTTGCAAACACCGCCCAGTAGAGTTCTTCAATATCCGCGAGCCATATTCGCGATTTGGTCCTCCGGAATATCTTCCCGGTCCAGGATATCTGGATTGCGCTTGAACTCGTCGCTATCCAGCACAGGACCGATCTTCCTCACATCCCTCTCCACCACCGTCACGCCCAGCGGCAGTTTCTTCAAGCTCGAGGCCTCCACAACCATACAGCGCGCGAGATATCGCAGCATTGCCGTGACGGCTTTGATCTTCTCTTCTTGGGAGCCGTTCAAAGTGCTTCCCACGGCCTTGGTCAACATCGCTGGCATATATGTTGGTTGGACGGCCGGTGCTCCTATTGATCCGTCCACATTCAGGCCCTGTACCAAACGCTCGCGGATTTCATCTGAGATGCGTTCCGTAAAGGCAATATAGAAAACATCGGCATTGTCCGGATTCGACGTGTTGCCTAAACAGAACAATCGCATCAGAGCTCGATCTGCTAGTTCTTTAACATTAAATTGTCGCGAGTAGCCGGCTTTGTGGAGCAACTCCAGCTTCCTCGTCAGGATGATATCGTAGCCTTCTCTGACGCCCATCTTTGCCTGAATGATGCCGTGCGCAACGTCATATACGTTATTATATGACTGGAAGATTGGCTCAATCATTTTCTTGGCGCAAGTCCAGTCTTCATGTCCGGAGGCTCCCGCAAGGTCGAGGATCTGTTCCATGAATCGCATCTCGAAGGCTCGGTCATGATCTCGCATTTCCAGAAGCCCTGAAAGCGAGGCTGGTGCGTTTTCTGCTTGAGCAAGTTGCCCGAAATTGAAGTCTGAACCAAGTTTGATGCCCAAGAGGAGATAATCCTTGTCTTGCTCTGTCAGGCGATCTAGCGCGGGGACCATTCTTGCTTTGACCGCACGATAGAGGATCATGTCATGGTTAACTTTGGAGATATCATTCCCAAATCGCGTGGCATAATCCGTCGCAAAGGTCGGATCTTTACCCAGATCGTTGATAATCATCGAAATTATGAGTGTATAGGTGTCTGCTGCGGATCTGAGGCCCTTCTCGAAGAGTTCACGCAGCCAGTTGAAAGAATCGCGTTTCAGCACAATGGGCGGCGGGCCCTGTGTTCCGATAAAAGTCTCGTAGTCGTCGTTATGTATCCAGCGGAGAGCTAAAACACCAACCAGCGTGCGATTGATCTCGGCGTATTCTTGTCCGTATAATAGCTCTGAAATCGAAGGTCCAGCTGGACGGGCTGCATTCGGGTTGCGGAGAAACGTGGCATTCTTCAGTCGTTCCAGCTCCTGCGGGAACTCGAATTTTATCAACTGGAGGAGGTCCATGTGTGGCATTTCCCAGAATGAGCCATCATCGATGGATTGTTGCAGAGATTGGTGCCTCCCTGCGATGTTAGTTTGCATCTCGTCCCTTTGATGAGGGCGATCGCTAGGTTTTTCTTGGTGATGTGTTAGAGGCGCGCTGCGAGAAGAAGAATCAGTCTTCAACTGCGAGGCCGAAGTTAATCTATGGTCAGATGATCGGAAAGGATGAGTGCATGCTGTGAAGATCCGAGTGAGTAGAGTGTGGCGTTCCTGGCTACCGTCCTCGGTGCTGTCATCCATTGTCACTCCGGCGAGTTTGTCCGTTTCCGATGGAAGCCACAAAGAGACGGCCTCTCATGACGGCCTCAGAGTAACGCCAGTGGACTTAATCTGCTGAAAGGGAACTCTAGGCGGGCGGTGAAGGTCCTTGAAAAGAAGAGAGCGCCTTGATCGAGTTTGCGCCTAGAATCCTGCCAGGACAACCCAGTCACTTTCGGTGAACGGATTTCCCGAAGCAACAAATGGCAGAAAGGGAAGTGAGTGAGGGACCGTTGGTGCGCTTCGCTGCGCGTAATTCTCACTCCCTTGTTTGCGCGTGCTCTGCGAGGGGCTCGGCTGACTTCAAGGTTCGCGCACTGGGGCGCGGATTGTGGCTGATGCGGCACTTAGTGTCTTCTCATAGACCTGCTCCCGGCGCATTAACAGGCAGAAACAGTTTGTGAATGGATTGAATTCGAGGGACAATGAAAGTTGTCGCAGCCTGGAGATTAGCCTGAGCTGAAACAAGGACAGCAAGACGGCCTGGTACAGCGCCTGGGAGTGATGGCAGTTGATGTCTAATTGGATACGATTGCTGGGTATTTTCGTGGCTAAACCTAATTAATAAGCAAGGGCCTCCCCTGTACGTATATATACATATATATATCAATGAAGGCTGATGCGAGGTAGACAGCAATGGCATCCGAAGACAAGATGTAACAACGCGAGTGCGTGGTCGGGGCAGTCACAAATTTGCCATGACATGTATGGTTTTCACAAAGCCTTCTACAACGTCCAGGACACGATAATATGATGGGTGCTAGCCACCACCAGACCTACTGGGTGATGTCTCAGAAAGCCTCGTAGCCTCCCGCTGCAGCTCCATCTTCTCATCCACAGTAAGGTCGCTCTTCGCCTTTGGCACCTTTCCCCAGATCACGACCAACCCCAGTGCGGCAGCACCAGAAGCCACACCGAACCAGAATGTGTTCTTGTAACTCTGTCTTAGCCCAGACTCGTCCACCGTGTATGACTGAATAACGTCGGTGAAGCCCAGAAGCAAAGCGAAGCCAAGCTGCAAGACCGAGTTGATCAGTCCACCTGCCAGCCCCTGTCGTGCCTTGGGCATCTGCGTGGTAATAAATACGGCCATGAGATTATACGAAAGATCGATGCCGACAGTACCCAAAATGCATGCTGGAAAGACCCAACTCCAATAGTTTCCGCCCTCTGGAATCCGAGCAAGAAGCAGCTGGGATCCAATGGCTCCGAGGCAGGAGACGATTAAGAGCAGACGGCCCGACACCAGATGCAGGATGAATCCTTCCATGGTACTCAAGATGACTCCCCCAATCACCATTGGCGTCCACCATGCGACGACCTGCATAGGCGTGGCGCCCATGATGTTCTGGAAATACAGTGTACCGTAAAGCAAAAGGATGCCGATATTGCCGTAGAGAAATAGCATGGCAATCACGAGCTGTACCATGCACGGGACGGTGAAGATGTCACCAGGTAACAGGGGAAACTTGGCTTTCCAGCCTTCCACATATGATGCGGCCAAAAGCAGCGTGCATCCAATGCAAAATAGTGTTGGGATATAAGGCGCCCGCCACCGCTGTTCGGCATGAGCTGATTCGGTAATTGCAACAACGACAAGAACCAGTCCCGGGACGATCGTCACGGTTCCGAGCCAATCCATAGGAATGTTATTCTTGCGTCGTTCTTTCCAGTCGTTAGGTATAGATAGGATCGATGTCATGGTGGTTATGGCGGCAAGGATGGCCCCAATCCAGAAGAACCAACCCCAGTCCAAAAACTGGCCGACGATTCCTGCACAGAATATCCCCACGAAGAATCCGACGACAGCGAAGGTCCCGTATAGAGCGAAGACCAGGTTCTTGCGCGGCCCAGGTCGATAAGCGCTCCCCATCAGCATAACTCCGGTTGGCAGGTAGGCGGCGGCTCCAAGACCTTGGAGAGCTCGGCAGAAGTCCATCATTAGAGGAGAAGTACTGAAGCCACAGACAATACTCCAAATAAACAGCCAGATCAAACCGGCGACGTAAACCGAAAAGCCCCCAACCATGTCACCGAGCCTGCCAAAAACCAAGAGCATGCTCGCAATGACTAGGGAAAATGCTGTCGCTGGCCAGACACTGGATGATTGGGGTATCCGGAGTTGTTCAATGAGCGTGGGTAATATGACATTGAATCCAGACACAAAGTACTCGGTTATGATCTGGGACATGATTATGCTGAACACGAACGCGATCTCAGACCACATTGACTTGAATGCTGGGGGCCGTTCGCGTCCGAGTCTTTCGATTCTTGCGTCCATCGACTCTTCAAGATCAGGCTTAGTGTGAACTATTTCTGGTGGCTGAAGCTCCACAATTTCACAGTCGGGAGAGGGTGTGTCTAGAGTTTTTGTTTCGATGTTCTGAGAGCCATTTACGTCCATCCTGGGAGGCAAACGAATGTACAAGCCTGGGGCAAAAGAAAGGTAGTTGTGAAAAAGAGAAGGCACTCGGAACTGATTGAGCAAGAATATAAAGGGCGGCGTTGCCAGCCCATTTCAAACCACAGATTCATCTATACGCGCACATCAGTAGAACTGAGTAAACGGCAGCGGAGCAGAAAACGCTTGAAGAGGTCTAAAGAAGGAAAGCAAAGTCCAGAACAGAGAAAAGAGCGGATATTAGACCTCCACAATCCCGCATTGAGATCTGGACCGGACCAGAGGGAGATCCATCATTGTCGTAAAGGCATTAATTGCCGTCGAATCACGGTCAAAGCATGACAGCATACAATGCCTACGGGGCTGCGTGGAGTGTCTCTTTGGTAGGCAATAAGACACAGATGGAGAAAGCTGCCAGCTGAAACCCACCGGAGATGTAATCAGCCATTGCCAAGAGGCTGCCGTCCGATCATCTCCGGCCATCCCCCTCTGGTTATATCCGATCATTTCCGTCATGTCCAAGACGAGACTCGGTACCCAGTACGAGGTACCCAGCACCGAGTATGGCACTTCAGGCACTCTCGATTCCCCGGTAACAACGATGCATGGAAATATTTGCTTCGGAGAGCTGCACTGCTTCTCTTATCGGTGCAAAATAGTTTCAGCACTGCCAAAACTCTCTAATGCTTGTTAGATGGCGGATAGTGCCTTCTTTTGTGACCACAGCCTTTTTGCCCGCGCATGTGATGTGACAATCGGTTAGAATGTGCAGCCTGCAAATTAAAAGCACATTTTGACGATGGGAAAGCCTTCTTGAAGGAGGACGAGACCGACGACATCACCTTCGATGAGCTCTAATAGCAGAATCGCTCGCTGATAAGGGGATTGTGCGGATTCAGTGTTACTGTTCGTTACTCCGACTCGAAAAGCCCGTAGAGCGATCAATTTCTGCAATGGTGAACTTTCGATGTCGAAACTCGAGCTGTAGGAGGGAAAGAGCCATTGTGGAAAGAGTTGCATTGATTGTCTGTGTGTGTCTGTCTGCACGCCAGAGCCCATGGAGCTTGCTGAATCTATATGTAAATTCGCCGAGGGCGAAGCTCGGTCTATGAGCTATGGAATGCGTCCGAAATGCCCTCTCAGCCTTAAATCCACCGAGAATTAACCTTGCAACCAAGGCTGCGCTAGGCCGACTCTCTGTATAGCCGGGGTGGGAGTAGCGACGGTTACTGATCCGTTTGGTTCATGTTCGGCCAACACACAATGTTTTACTTAGGCAGGGTAAGTCTACCACTCAAAAGCGAGAAAATTTGTCTCTTTGATGTCAATGATCTTGTAAATGTTATCATCACCCTATGGACGAAAGATGACACCATCTTTACACATGAATGCGTGCGGGCCCAGATGACCTTTCTGACTCTGGCATGCTGTTTCACGGGCACTCGTGTTGGTACCTACCTTGGGAATGGAGTGGCAGAGGTGAAGCGACCTGACGGTCAGGTGGATAAGCTAGTTTTCAAAGGGTCGACGTTGGAAGGTAAGGGAGAAGCTTCCACCGCTTCAATCCCGATGACTGATCTGAGGCTGACACCTTGGCATAGGATGTCCATATTTACCTTACCCTCTCCCTGATGGACGTAGGGAACATGTTATAAAGCTCGTACAAAGTTTGCCCTAGAACAACAAGCATGCCGAGCATAAAGTATACACTATTCTCCTCCCCGATGCGAGGGCCGTTGGAGCCGGTTGATGTCAATGTACGAACGAAGTCCCAACTTGCGAGCAGGGGAAACTCATTTTCGACATCACAGCATTTCTCGTCTTCTGGGACGAGGTACTCATTGGGATTAAATTCCCTCAAGAGCTCGACAACTTCCAAGTGCCGGAGGGCGATGATTTTCTTTAATTACACGTCAAAGGCTGAAAATACCCGTCCTGGGACGACATGGCAGTGTCTCTGGCAGGATGCTCGGCGCTTCCACTCCCGATACTAATTTCAGCGGATCGTTCTTAATGCAGGTTACCCAGGAGAATCTCGCAGTTCATTCTTTGCGGCGAGCAGTCGCGAACGTCGTTGATGGTGTGAGAAGCCATGCCCCTACCGACTCCACGTGACTAACCTGGGCTTTCTGCCTCTGAGTAGAGACCCCCACACCCGGGACAGATTTCTTCGTGATGAAGGTGAAAAGCCTCACAACGACTATGTCAGGCGAACTGCGGAGCGTGAGTACCAGGCGTACCAAAGGCCTACTGCAGCAAGTGCCTTCAAATGGGATAGGCGACGCACTGGATGAATCAACGACCAACAAGTTGTACCAAGAACTCTTGAGTCTTCGGCAGTGAGGCACGAGCTTTCGCGATACCAGGGAAGCAAGGCTGAAATGTAGGGCATATTAACGTTGGGTTGCCACGCAAGCAAAGGCACGCTGGAAGGATCTCATATGAGAAAGGCTCAGCGACTCACGGCCCTGAAGCGTTATTCTAACTCATGCCAGAACGAGCACAGCTAGCACGGTCAGCCAAGATAAACATACCTCGCATCTGTGGACAGATGCTGTCAGATATGACCGATCTCACCTTACTCTGCCAGAGGAACTTTGAGGTGATGTATCATCCGGGAGAGGAGCCTATCAGCGGGTCCTGTCCAGTATACCAACTAATGTTGTCCACGGCTAAGAGGAGTTGCGTCCGCCATATCCAAGCCTGTTGCCGCAAATAATTCACATCTAAGGTGGAAAAGGCGGGCGGAGTTCGATGCTGTTTCCTCTGCTTCAATTGCTGTGCGGGTGATCCAAAGTGGGAAGGACATTGCGGTGACTATCTTGTCTCGTTGGCACTACAGTCATGCGCAGCCCGCATTTACTGCCACACGTTGATCGGCCCAGCTTTCCGTTGTTGGTGTTTCAACCATGGCGGCCTCCCGGCTGCTGAGAGGCTGAAGCAGGTTGAACGAAGCTCTGAACTGGTCGACCACATGTACGAGAAACACGTTGCCAAAGTGCAGTCTTGGTTAGTTTTTTGCAGATGGAAAGCATCGGTTGAGTGTTCCTAGTCTATGCGTCACCATATAAGTGATGATGATGATGATGATGATGATGATAATGTCTGGAGAATGGAATGGAAGAATTGTAGGAAGCCACGGGCATTGAAGCGGAAACGACGCATTATGCTAGTTCCTATATGTCTTGTATATTGTACATGCAAACGGCATCCATGGTTCCGCAGCTTCAGTCACGATCTCACCGCTATGAGCCTTCTTTCTCGCCTCTCAGATGGTGATACTTCCTCCACCGCCCACTGCCTGGCTGGCATGCTTCTCGGGAATTTCTTCCTTTTTGACCGCTGCGAGAGCATGCCATGGCGTGTCATCCTTGGTCGGCTTTATCTGGCCATGGTTGATTGCTGGCCGCTCGATATGCTTCCACTTTTCTGCTCCCTCGGACCTAGAGCCGTCAAGAGGATGGTTGGCGAGTTGTGCATTTCCCTCAGCAATCTGAGCGGGATATTGGTCAATGTCGATGATTTGGAGGTGCTTGCCCATGTGTAGAAAGTCTTCCTTGGTCATTGCTGGTGGTGGTGTCCCATCAGTAAAGAACTGACCTGCGTGAATATTCCTCATGCTGGAGCACTTACTGACTGCTAGTGAAGGCGATTGGCTTTGAATCAATGGAGTACTGCCTTGGAGAGAATTTTTGATTCTAGAGCGCAACTGGCGCGCAACTGGCTTGCTCGACGAAGGAGCGTGATATGGGCGATATCAAGACACCTGACAAGCCAAGCTGGAATGGACTGTCGAGGAGTTTGTGAGCTTGACCACTGCTCTGCCATCTTGAGACGCAGTCCTTTATAGCTGCGGCAACAGTAGCATGAGGAAGTCCATTGTCAATTGCCTCTTTCGGCAGTGCCGCTGCAAGTTGTTCGTTTCTGCAGCATGAGCATGGTGGTTCATGTTCCCAGACAACGTACCACTGGTGATTGCTGGCTTAAACTTGTGCATTCCCACATCGGGATAAGCGCATCGTGCAACGGTCTACCAGCACTATGTAAGATGCGTCTTTCGATTTGCTCGCCTTCGCTTGAGATTGTGCAAGGATTGTGGTAAGACGCTAACAAGCAGGTTTGTGGTTTCAGGCACCGATCAGGGGACGGCGAGGATGGAATGACGGGGAATGACCTCAACCACTCGTTACGTGAATCGAAATCCCCTCTAAACTTCTTTGAGTAAAAGACAATGCGGGGCCACGGGTAGATCCAATTAGCACCCGCCCCTCAGCTTTGCCCACAACCCGTCGTTGTCTCAACGCCTTCGTCGTCTATCGTGATCTGATCACGCCTCGCACGGTAGTCGGGCACTGGCCAGCTGTGGCTCGTCATGTCATGGCTGACGATTACCATTTCTTCCTCTTCCCTCTCTTCTCCTCCTCTTTGAAAAGCTGGCTGTTCTCGCCCTGCTCCCTCGCGCAAGTAGAGGACTGCGCCTCTGCGAGTCCTCGGCGAACAACATATCTTCAGCCTGACTTCGATTCTGCCTGATGCGCTTGCCATAACCTTAATACGACCTCACAGTCGCTCTTACGGTCGATATGTCTTTACCAAAGTCTCCACGTCTATACGACCCTAACAAGCGAGGCAATGCCCCCCGCATCCCAAATGCCACCTGGGAAAAGTTTCGGAAGGAGATCACGACACTTCATCATGAAGGGTACTGGAAGCCGAAAATACTGGAAGTATTGAAGAGCATGGAATTCGAGCCTTCGTATGTCAAATCACTGACTTCCAGATGCGAACTGACCTAGTCAGATATTACCAGTTGAGGCGCCGAATGGAAAAATGGGGTCTGAATGCGCACACAGACGAGGCGACATTTGCAGATCTGTCAATGGCTTCAACCGGTGCTGTTACAGGGAGCAATCTCGAGAACGGCAGCTCCGTCGAACATTACATGATACCAGATCATGCATCGGTCGTCACACCTAACACCGCTACGGCGCTAAGCTCACAGGCAACCTCCGACGTCCAATCACTACCTCAGCGTGGCTCCTTCGGGATGCGACGTGACCACACATTCAGAGAGACAGCAGACCAGACTATGCCAGCGGAACAGAGCCCCTCACCTTATGGAGGCTTAGAAGTCGAACAACTAGCCGCGCGGATTGAACCAAAAGCCAATTCTCTTACCAGAAACTCATTGGAAATGCCTCCTCCGCGGCCGACAGGCGCTCCTTATATCAATCCGCACGACATTATTTCGTCTCCATCCGAACGTTCAAATGTCAACAGCGCTTGTTATGAGAGGCGATCATCGCAGATCTCTTCGACTCCACCTCTGACGCTCGCGGAGACTGCGTCAACAGACGATGCATCGATAACCAACCGGAAGCTCAGTGAAGAGGTCCCCACTCGTTTAGTGGACCAAGCTTCATCCTCACAATCGACGCCCCCCAATAGTTCGCGGGACTTTGAGTCTGAGCCAGGATCTACGGCGACACCATTTGTCACACCCATATCAATTGTCAAGGTGATCGATAGCTCGCTGCTGCGTCTCTGGCCGGCTTTCGACGACCCGCGGACTCTCTCAGCATCAGATGTGTGCGAGATCCAAGGAGTCGCTGCCACTCTCGCTGCTGCTGGCCTTTTCGATGATGCCTTCGATTTGTTTTATGTCGAGTACAAATATTGGCAGGCTTGCATAAGCAACATTTCAACTGACGAGATATACCCCCTATTGGCTACGTCAGTCGACAACTCCACGCGGTGCATGGTTACTGCAGCCATCAATTGCGCTCGAAACTCTAGACCCGGCCGCCGGGGAGAAATGGCATACCAAGCGCTGCTAAATGTTCAAACCCTACTACAGGCGTATGGCTTCGCTTACAGACTTGACATGACTTTACTCAATCTCTATCTCTCATACTTGTCGAAGAAGGATCCAAAGTACACTGCGCTTGACATGGCTGTCAGCTGCTTTGGAGAACGCTTCGCGGTCATTCTGCCTGAGGTCCAGGATCGCGAACACGTCTTTATAACAAGTTCTCTAGCAAGCTCTCTGAAGGAAATGCTAAGAGACGGTCTACCAAGTGGTACTTGGCATATATCATCACGGTGTCTCGAACTGCAAGCGGAATATCATGAACATCTGTCCGACTGTGAAGAAGTCAGGACCGCAATGAGGACGATACTTGAATGGTGCAAAACTTTTGTCGAGAGGAATAGGCGCACTCTTAATAAAGCCGGCGCTTGCTCGCCTATTGCTGCTTGGTCCCGAGTATCTGCAGCCTGGGTTTTATATTGCTCCTGCGTCTTTGGCATCTCCTCCTTCGACTCGCTTGTCCAGAACACAGAATCAATATGTCATGTGCCGCTATGCACACATGGGGTCAAGCCGTTAAAGCTTGACATATTACTGGCATTGGCGGTGATCTGTGAAAGTTTCCTACGCTCCGGAGCTGAGAAGACCAGGCGTCTACTTTTGGGGCCTCGGTTCGGTGATTATCTCCAGGGTGAGATCAATGCCTCGATCACCAACTGGCCTGCACGGGGTCCTGACATCGTTGGAGTCTACCTTTCACGGATGGCCGATATTCCCACTGCGCCGAAATGTCCAGAAGCAATCAGTGGAGCAAGCTCGGTCTTAGTGAAGGAATACATTGTCGCGGCTTTTCGAACGCGCGAATCTTCACTAAGAATCGACCGCACGTCGTTCTCAGAGTCTGCTTTGTTGGCCTATTCATCACTTCATATACTTGGAGACAGCATTTCACGAAACAGTATAGCAGACTCTTTTCATTCGTCGATTAACAGCATTCGGTCTTCCCTGAGCTGGGATACCAAGCGAACGCTCGCACAAATGCTCGAAATCAGGGATCGTCTGCGCCGGCCCAAGTCGGTGCTTTCAACTTGGAGCAAAAACACTAACAGTTCGACTGGAATGTCAATTGGTTCTCACGGAAGCAACAGCTTTGAGAAAGTCAGCGGGATGCCGTCCTACTGCCCGGATGTTGATATGGCTGAAGATCCCTACTCAAGGGCTCTCGAAAACGAGGATCTGATGGTGATCGACCGAATTGACGAGGAGATGGAGGATGTTTGAGATGTACAATCATCCCATGACCTCGTGAGAGAAAGCTAAACAATGGGCGATTTTCACACATCATACTGACAGATCTGCTTATCTGCACCAAGTTACCGACATGATCGACGAGACCGCAATCCATGACAGGGTGCCTGTGCTCGCTGGCAGTTGTGAGTGCTAGCCGAACCCCGCCAGATCAGAGAGCAGGGAGCCTAATCTGGCTCCTTTCGATTGACTGCCTGGGTAATAATAATAATCTGAAAGGCAAGGTGACAGTTGCCAACCGAACGCGGCTAAAGTCTAATCAACCATTCTCAAGAGGCTGTCGTCCAATCTTCTCCAGCCGTCTCCGATCGTCTCCGCCATGTCCCCCATCATGTCCGAGACGAGATCCGGACAGACAAGTGAGCGGCCTTCATCTTAGAGATTGAGACGCGCATTTTTGCTATCAAGGCATATATATTACTGTCTTCCAAATCAAGCTCGTGCTTTAGCTACTGAACTACCAACCACACTCTTCCCCGAGCTATCTCTATATTGCCAAGGAACGACCGACTCGATTTCCACACTCTCTTAAGCGTGGACAAATCTGCTCAAACAACAACCGGCCCGGGTTTGTTCAGCGTCATCTCTTCGGCCTTTTCGCCATCTGTCGCAGGTGCGGTTGCAGGTCTTGGGGCTGTAGTCGGCGCAGCGGTGGTTCCAGCCTGGCTGTCTCCACCCACTCTCTGGCGATGAAGAGCTATTCCGAAGACGGTCAGGGTCACGCAAAAGAGCACACTGGTTAGAAGACGTCAGCCCCTCTCGCAGTTGACGGGTAGTTCAGGAGGGATGAAACTTACAATTCAAGACCGCCGAGCCCAGCAGCCGTTCCCGCGAGGGCTACGCCTGCTCTTCTGGTACTCGAATATCTCTTGACGATGCTCCTCGGACTAAGACCTATGTCCGAAGGCCTGAAAGGAGCATGCCAGAAGCCATAGCTCTGTCCGCTGCCATACCAGAAACGGTGGTAGAAGCTCGTCCATCTTGATAGCAGTGCAAAGCTGACCAGCCACAAGAGTGTACCACAGGCTTCGATGGCGAGAATAGCCCAGCGGTTGTAGAGCGCTCTCTTGCAAGACAACGCGACGAAATAGTAGGCAAAGACGATCAACGTTGCTGACGCCTTCAACGAAGTCAGCTTTCAACCCCACCAGCAGCATGTAGTGATGGACCAAATTACAGTGAGTAATGTAATACCGAAGGCGGGATATCCGCCCCAAATACCAGTACTGGCGGCAGTAAAGGCCAGGACCAGGATTGCGATGACAGCCCTCGCACAGCCAATTGCGTTGGACCAACGCGGCATCGGCACGACGGGCCGGTGGCTTTGGAGAGCGTTGGACATCCTGCGAGAAGTCGAAGTTGAAAATCGTGAGATTGGCTGAATTGGTGCCTCTTCAGCGCCTTGTTCAACCATCTGCTTGAGCAGTAACGATATCGATGGTGAAGGATGAGAAGAAGTCGGTGGTTTCAGCCCATGGCACTTCAGCTCCAAGGCCTTTATTACCTCATGAATACTTGTGACTTGGGCAGAGTGATGACCGCAAGCGTTCGCCCGACAACCGACAAAGAATGAAGACTTGATTCGGCCTGTGAAAGAGCCTCGCCCAGCATGGACCATTCTCGGTGCTCCTTTATTGGGTCGAGCGACGAAGAATGCGGACCGACGTTTGGCTATAGTTCGTGAATGGTCGGACGGAGAGACAAAGGCTTTGTTCCCTCAGCCGCATCCACTCGAGTTCCAGTGGGAGAATCTGACAGAAGCAGAAGCAGTGGCATTGTTTGATGAGAATATGTCCACCGCCGCGAGAGTCGAGGTTAACATGGGGAATGTAGTGGAGAAATGATTGCGCATCTCTGACGGGATTTTTGGACTTGACAGGCTTTTCTCTATATCGAGCTGTGGTCATGTGCTTCGGGGCGACCGATCCATCACGAAAGCATTGAAGAGGAAGAAGTGCTGATTAATGTTAAGAGTCGGATAAACTGGTGTTTATTATTGACATCGGATTTAATATCCGTGGCTCACCAAGAGAGGAAGCGAGGAAGCTCCCCAGTGACATCAGCATCAGGAACCAGGAACCAGCTTCTCAAGCTTCGAGTCCGTCACACCACAAGTGAGCTTCCAGTTTGTTTGAATGCCGAGTACATTCAACAGCTTCTCCCACGGTCTGTCTTTTGAAATAAGCATTCGAGGTGCAGGCTGCCTGTATCCTTCATAGAAGAATATCGACCCGAAACCGCCACCCTCGGTGTTTCGGGATCCCTTCGTTCTCGCCTCAACACACCACACAGCCTTCCAACCATGATGCTTTCCCGATGTAGCAGACACGCCATATCGAGCCTTAGGGGAATATCACGGCAAATCAGTGGCCAGGCCAGAACAATAGTAGGGTACACAAAAACCCAGTTCCCGCTGAACACAGGCGCCGAGATCCCAGCCGTAGGGTTTGGAACGTGGCAGGTAAGCTCGTCTCGCGCCTCAACAGATCACAGTGGCCCAGTCTAAGACATGTCCAATTACTGCAATTTGCTGTATGCCATCTGACTTGCATAGGACAAAGAGGCGCAGGAAGATGCTGTGGTCGAGGCATTGAAGGTGGGCTACCGGCATATCGATACAGCGCGGATGTAAGAGACCTATCAGTCCAATTGATCTACCTATCGTACCGGCGCTGAGTCCTCTCAGATACGGTACGGAGCCGGGTGTCGCCAAAGGCATCAAAAAGTCGGGCATCCCTCGTAGCGACATCTTTCTCACCACGAAGCTGTGGAACAACTCGCACCATCCCGACGACGTGGAGAAGGCGTGCGATGCCTCCTTGAAGGACCTCCAGACCGACTATGTCGACCTCTACCTGATGCACTGGCCTTGCCCGTGGGCGCGAGGCGACAAAATGAGGCCCAAGAAGGACGACAAGATCATCCCGGGTGACACCGACTACGTTGAAACCTATCGCGCGATGGAGAAACTGGTCACCAAGGGCAAATGTCGCGCCATCGGCGTGAGTAATTTCTCCCATGCAGAAATGGAGAGACTGCTGAGAGAAACATCGATCGTCCCCGCGGCACATCAAATTGAAATGCATCCGTACCTGGTCCAGGCGCAATTCTCGACGTGGCATAAATCAAAGGGCATCCACATCACGCAATACTCTCCCTTTGGCAACCAGAACGAGATCTACGACAAAGGCAAGACCATGGGCAAACTGATCGACGACCCGGTGTTGAAGGAGATCGGGAGGAAATACGGCAAGAACGGGGCGCAGGTAGCTCTGGCGTGGGGGATCTCAAAGGGCCACTCGGTGATTCCCAAGTCCAAGACCCCGGCGCGCATCAAGGCGAATTTTGAGGGCGATTTCAAGCTGGAGGACGAGGATATCAAGAAGATCGACGGCCTGGACAAGAAATTGAGGTTCAACGACCCGTCCGAGTCGTTTGGGTGGAATTTCTTTGCCGATCTTGATGGAAAGAGCACATGAGAAATCGTCTATGACAATCCAAGACGCTGGGCCGATGCCGGCAGGAATTTGGTGTAAGAAGGGCACTTCTTCCTCGTGTTCACAGGAGGTGCGGACAATCTGGGATGGAGTGAGATGGCTGCGTTGGCTGCGTTGGCTGCGTGTTCTGTTTGCCACTCGAAGAGTTTCACCTGTACTCAGGAAGGGGAAGGCTTGCACAGCCTCGCAATGATGCGTCCTTGTACACACCTTCACCAGTCGGCGGGTGAATTGGAGTAAGACGATGCGACGTAACCAAGCTCCGCCTTCTTTGTCATTATTATTGTCATTCTGATTTGATGACGTCGGCCAGCTGAGCTCTGACCCATTCCACGCCCATTCTTGCCCATTTCCACCGTCTTTTTATGGCAATCTCCTCCATCAACTGAGCACGCGCTCTCTCTCGCTCCATGTGACGACGAGCTGACCTGAGCGGCTCTTTGTTTCAGGACATGTTGGGTTCGTACATGGGTGCTACAATAAATGTCCTTGTAACCTGCCCAGCTCAACCTTCTACAACAACTTGAACAATCTTTTTCTTCCCTGTTTGATTGCCTGCGCACACGTACCGCCGGTCGCGTGCTCAATTTCCGCAAATGGCTGCCGCTCCTGCGAAGACGCTGAACAGCTTCACCTCAGGCATTGGGCGTGTCTCTAAGCGGCTCGTTGCCTCCTATGTCCTCGACTGGATTCTCATATGGTACGCATTGATCACTGGAACGCACGACTGGGCATAGAGAGAAAACTAACCACCCTCCAAGGGCCACAATTGCAGTCGGCGCCGCCTTCTCGCAAATCCACGGCAATAGACATACCTTCTCGCTTCAAGATCCAAACATCTCCTTTCCTTACCACGATGATACTGTCACCGTTCCAGTCCTGATCGTCGTGGCCGTTATTGCACCCGGAGTCATCACTGCTGCAATCTCCCTTCTTTTCGTCCCTGGCCCGACCGCCCATCGATCAACGGCCAAGGCATTGCTCTGGCGCAGAAAGCTCTGGGAATGGAATGCAGCATGGATGGGTCTTGGAGTGGCCCTTGCAGGGGCATTCGTCATCACCGAAGGGCTCAAGGATCTCACGGGGAAACCCCGACCTTTTCTGCTCGCCGTGTGCGATCCAGACTTGAGCCCTGAAGCCATCCGCAAATACCAAGTGGGCGGACTGGGGACATCTATAGACTCTGCCACGCCGATCGTTGTCGATTGGCATATCTGTCGCACCACGGACCAGAGCAGATTGCGTAATGCATTCGCCAGTTGGCCCTCGGGCCATTCAAGCTTTAGCTGGGCAGGCATGCTCTATCTCACCTTGTTCATCTGCTCCAAGTTCGCCGTCCAGATTCCATTCCTATCATCAACCTCCGAGAGTGGGCGACGCATTCCCGCCTTCGATGAAGAGGAGGATCAATTAGGAAAAGAATCAATAACCTCCTCTTTTCACCAGCGGCCTCATCCTCCTCGAAATCAAGCAGCGGCTCCCCCGATATATCTGCTGATCATTGCATTTATTCCCATTGCCGTCGCCATGTTCATCTCAGTGTCACGGTACTTTGACAATCGTCACACCGGATTCGACATCATTTCGGGCTCAGTCCTCGGAATTTTCACCGCCTGGCTGGGATTCCGATGGTATCATTTGCCGATTCAGGGAGGAAGTGGATGGGCTTGGGGAGCGAGAAGTCGTGATCGAGCGTTCTGGCTGGGCGTAGGCCGTGCAGGATATGTGGGAGATGAAGGATGGGAGGCTGCGCACTTGACAGCGCACCGTGGAGATCTGTCAACGGGTCAACGGGTCACAACAGCAGGTCTCCCTGATCAGCAAGATGCAACAGAGACGGTTGTGGCAAACAGAGTTTAGGGAATTGCAGATGAAGGCTTAATCACCATTGCTTTCACTGTAGAGGAGCGCGCGTCATGAAATCGCAGCCGGGGCATGACCAAACAAGCTTGATAAATCCGATGATAACGGAAGAATCCAGAGATATGGGAGCCTGGCAATTGCTCCAGAAGACTTGCTCCCAAAATACAAGGTGTAGGGGCGAGGCGAGAACTTGAACAAGTCGGTAGGGCAGAGACGGCACAGACTGTTGAAGTGAGATGTTGAGATTTCATGGACAATACCTCGTACAAGTCACAACAATTAGACAATCGGTAACTTTAATGATTTGCTCATGAAGACGTCAGCGCAATGTATGCTTTTCAATGCATGGCAGGGAGCATTCAGCTATCCTCTTAAGTGCCTACAGAGTAATGCGAGAATTTCCACAAGGACACACTGGGACATCTTTCATGCTTGAGTAGTGCTCACATTCTTGCAGACTCCAAAGAACCATTTTTCAAATGACAGATCAAATGTCCGCCTCTCCAGACCGCTCCCATAAACCGCCATCCTTGCCCAAGTTCGAGCCGCTGCCACCGACCAATTTCCTCAACCGACTCATTAACCGCATCCTAGCTCCGCTCTTCTACCTGGTCTTCACCCTTATTACCAGCATCGTCGTCGTCCCGGTCTACGTCATGATTGACAGCTTCAGGCATGGCCGCAACAGGTCTGGCGGCCGCCAGCGTGGAGCAAAGGACGAGTCGGGGCAGCCGCATCCAGGGCAACCAGACAGGACCAACAAAGTGTCCAGCTTTCTGCGCGAATATGGACGGAGCTATGGCGGGACGAGGAAGAGTGAGAAGACGGTCTGAACATTGTCTTGAACCAGGAACTTGGTGGGAAGTGGACAGAAAAACTCGAGTCCTGGTATGCCCGAAGGCCCAATCCAGTCCTCGCCAAAACGCACGCTCGAGGCACATACAAAAGACATGATGGCACCGGATACCTCTTATGCATCACTGGCAGCGACTCGTTTTGCTGATCTAAGATCTAAATAGCCACTCTGCTTGAAGCCCGGTGCTATTGCGCCAAATGGTAATGCGTAGATAGATGATTTCTGAGATGTACGAATTATAGTAGCATACTCGGATCTGATATTGACGGGTATCGAAGCAGAATCATTAACTTTTTTTCGGTATTCCTATAGCAGCGGCGGCGGCGTGCAGGCTATGGCTAATGAGCCGTGCCGTTCACGCCGTTCTTTTTCACCTCGCCGGTAGAGTCATAGGCATAGTCGATCGGAAAGCTGTAGGCCGGATCGTAGTGCATATCCCAGTACAGATCCCAGATCTTGGTGGTTAGCGGGCCAATCTTGCCGTCCTTGACGGGCACGCCGTCGAGAGACGTGATGGGCATGATGCCGCCGGCGGTCGTGCACATGAACATCTCGTCGCAATGGTACGCCAGCTCGACGGGCACGAAGTCCAGACGCACCTCGATGCCGAGCTTCTTGGCCACGTCAAAGACGCTCTTCCTCGTCACGCCCTCGAGGACGCCCCGCGCGGGCGTGTAGAGGACGCCATCCTTGAGCAGGACGATGTTGAAACCCGAGCCCTCCGTGATGTTCCCGTCTCCGTCGGTCAGGAAGGGATAGTTCGCGCCGCGGTCGCTGGCCTCGAACATGCCCCGTGTCAGATCGCCCCACTGCAGATTCTTGACCGTGGGATCCATGCAGCCCGGGGGCGTCCTGCGCACGGTCCGCGCGATGATGGCCTTGCCTGTGCCGTGGCGCTGCATCTCGGGCTCCATGACCCAGATGTACGGCAAGATGAAGAGGTACAGGCTGTTGGACAGGTCCTCGGGCTGTGCGGCGCCGCGCACCCCCTTGAGGCCGCGCGTGACGATCAGCTCGACGAAGGCGTCGCGCATGCCGCTCTTGGCGACCATCTCGCACAGGACACGCTTGATCTCCTCGCGGGGCAAGGGCAGCCGCAGCCGCATCTTCGCGCAGCTGTTCTCCAGCCGGGTCAGGTGGTCGTCGAGCCGGAAGAAGCGCCCGTCCCACACGGACGGCACGTCGTATGTCAGGTCGCTGTGCAGGAATCCCTGGTCCAGCAGCGGGATGCGCGCCTCGTAGATCGGAACTATTTGGCCCTCGACCCAGGCCACCCCCTGGGCGAGCGGGTTGGCGGACTTCTCGAGCACGGCCTTGCGCGCCTCGTAGGCGGCGAAGACTTTGTCCATCGACGTCATTTTTGCCGATTGATGGGAGGGGGTTTTTGTGTTTCGTGCTATGAAAAGGAATATCTAAATGACTTGTTGTTGTTGTTGTCTTTGTCTGTGAGAGACAAGAGGGGGAGCGCGCATACGTCCTTTATCATCAGGGGCCCAACAGCCTGGCCTTTCTTTATATACAGACGGGGAAGTTATCGTGCGGATCTCCGCCTCGGTTCTCGCCCTCAGAACCAACCAGGATGCCGGATCTTGCCTGCCTGTTGAGGTAATTCCTGATGCGGCAATCGATTTTGTCAAGCATCGCGCTTCATTCTCCAAGGGGGGGGGAGTCGTGGTAAGCGCGGTCAGGGGAACAACAGAGGCCACAAGGATTTATGTCCCCATGACATCCCTAGGGATTTTTAGATCTGTTTACCGTGGCATCATTCACTGAAGACCAGGCACAGCGAAACATGGAGAGTTCAAGGCATCATATTATTAACTGAATCATGGATATGATACTCGAAATTGGGCAGGGCCTCTGCTGAAAACCGCTCACTCTGGATACCCCGGGCTAATGTTATTGGCGAGGAGAGGACAGCCATAGACTCGCGCGTGACAGCACGAACCCACCAGGCTTTCTCTATTCCCATCCATCACTTGCATGGCCACTTATTCTTTCGGCATGGCTCCAGCTGCTGTCAACGGCAACAAGGAGTAGGTGAGAGGGGCAGCTTTGGCTCCCTGGAAGCTGTCGGTCGAGTCTATCCGTCACAGCAGCAATCGTGACGGCAAAGGCAGCAGATTAACATCGTCCATTCGCAGCATCCTGTTCCCTCCCAACCATATCCCCCTCGAAGATGCACGTTCATTCCAATCTGCGACCCGCCATGGGAGGCGCCTAGGGTCTGCCGGGGATTGGAATCCGCGGACGACGATGACGTGGTCGGAGTGCTTTCCGGGTTGGGTCTCAGAACAGGTAATTCGGGGCATAGGCGGTTTGGGGACTGGTAGGCTGTTTTCGTGCAGCTTCCAGGACTTCCGGGTTCATCTCCTCCACTTGGCTTTGAGACAGGCCCTAGCTCAGCAGAGAGATTTGGCTGTGGCCGGCCGGCATCTTCTTCTACCATAAATCTAGGGTCCTTCAGTGAAGGCATTTTTATACGGGCAGGGGGCCGACAAGGGCGTAGCGATCAGGTTGTGTCTCTCGGGTGGTTTGAGGATGAGGCTGAGTCTGAACAGGTTGGGGAAGGGTGTGATGGGAGGATGAGATGACATGCACAGAATCCAGGAGAAACATATATGCACTATACTTGGTGACATGTTAGGGATGTAGTGAATCCTGCTTTTCATTCTTTTTGCAATCAGGCTCTTGGATATGCCAGTCATAGCCCTACCGTGAAGTTTTAGAGTGCAGCTCTGTCCTTTTGATGGATAGGACTGTGTCCTGACAGGAAGCGTCAACGGCAGCAGCGGGAATGAAGCCCCTCTCCAAAGGGGGTCCTCTCTCCTTTTCACGCTTCTGAATTCAACTGACAATGACTGGTATGTCTCGCGTCATACAGAAAACGCCTCAACCGCGATTGCGCATGTCGACTTCGCATCAGTTGGGCCGAACCGCAATGTGAGGATTGAGTAGAAGGGGGCTGATGGGAAAACCACAATAAGCTTGGCGGCGATCTGGCTACTGGGTACATAACCGTTAGGGGAGCTTGCGGAGCGTTCCCCCGCACTTTAGGGAGCTCGGGGCTGCTCGGGGTCACCTGGTGACCGCTCAAACCCCTGTCGCCCCCTGTCGCTCGGTTAATTACTGGGTACTTGTACAGTACCTAGTTAGGTACCCAGTACCGAGTACCCAATACAGTAGCCAGCTCGAACTTGGAGCTTTCACCAAGCGCTCTCCAGGACTCTCTTGGGCTCTCCAGGCAAAGACAGCCACCCAAGAAGGTTAAATGTCCAACCAACCAGTCGAGTGCCTCTGCTCGAGCTTCGAGCTCGAACGTCCCTTTGGTTCAGTTCCTGCACGCAGCCAACAACAACACCTCGCCAGCCCACTAGCCTCAATCTTCACTTCGTTGACGTCGCTCGCTCACAGCGTGAATTCGGCCAGAAAGCGTCTTCCTCTTCCCTAGGTCCTCTTACGATGATTCATGACTGGACACGATGGAGTCCAGCTCTCATTCACGAGAGACAACTCCCGAATCGGCCGCACCTGGCCATCGCCATCGCCATCGCCATCCCCTTCCGACACATGATGCCTGCTAAAATGGTGGCCGGCTGGAGCGACGGAGCGATGGGCACGGCCAGTGCATGGATCAAGGGATCGTGGTGCCAGCTGCGTCACTGCCTCGTGTCGTGATATATTGTGGCTCTTGCCTTCAGGTAACGACGGCCGATCCTCGTGTCCAGCTATTGACCAGACTTGGCTCTGTAGCAGCCTCATCTTTTCCACCTTGTCCACCTCCGCATTCATATGGGATATTCGGGCTACGCTTGATTCGGTTGTATCAATAGCGCAAAACATCCTTTCAGCCCTGCGACATCACAGCGCCAATGTGCCGCCGCCTCTTCCTCTTCCTTGTCGCCTTGACCTTTGTCCCCTGGAGCTATGCCGCGCTCAATGACCGGCAGCCACCTGCGCAGAAGCCCAACTTTGTCTTCATCATGACCGACGACCAAGATCTGCACCTCAATTCCATGCAATACATGCCAAACGTGCTGGATCTTATCGCTAAAGAGGGAACCACTTACCAACAGCACTTCTGTACTGTCGCCCAATGCTGCCCTTCGAGAGTCTCATTGTTCACCGGCAAGCTTGCCCACAATACCAATGTCACGGATATCATCCCTCCCTATGGTTTGTGCGCTCTTGGACGGGTCAGGCTATGGCACGCACTGACTGTCTCAGGTGGCTATCCCAAGTTCGTCCAGCAAGGCCTCAACAACGACTACCTCCCTGTGTGGCTGCAGCAAGCCGGATACAACACTTACTATACGGGCAAACTCATGAATGCCCACTCTACGGCCAATTGGAATAACCCGTTCCCTGCAGGTTGGAACGGCACAGCTTGTGAGGCTACCTTGTTGTTGCCCGGAGATCTCTTGCTGACGGCCGATAGTCTTGATCGATCCAGGAACTTACAACTACTACAACGCCACATTCCAGAGCAACAGAGACCCTCCCGCGAGCACGCCTGGCCAGTATAATACAGACCAAGTCGCTCAGCACGCTCTGAATATGCTTGACCAAGCTTACGCTGCTGGAGCTCCTTTCTTCCTCGGTGTCACACCAATCGCACCACACTGCCAGACCATCTTCAATCCCACCACCCCGATCCCAGGCTTTCTTCCACCGATTCCTGCATCTCGTCATCAGAACCTATTCCCCGGTGTCAAGATCCCACGAAGTCCCAACTTTAACCCTAATGTGCCTAGCGGAGCAAGCTGGATCACACACTTGCCTCAACTCAACAGCACGGAGATTGACTATTTTGACAACTTCTATCGCTCGCGCCTGCAGGCCTTGCAAGCCGTTGATGAGATGATTTCGACCATCATCGATCGTCTGACCCAGCACGGTCTCCTCAACGATACCTACGTCATCTACACCACTGATAATGGCTATCACATGGGCAATCACCGCATGCAGCCAGGAAAGTACTGCGCCTACGAGGAGGACGTCAACATTCCATTTTACATCCGTGGGCCAGGTGTGCCTAGAGGGAAGACTGTTGATTTTGTGACGACCCATACGGACTTTGCTCCCACTTTGTTCCAGCTGGCCGGAATTCCGCTCCGGAGTGATTTCGATGGGTCACCCATGCCTGTGACCGGCAATGCCCAGGAACAGCGTCGTAACGCTCCTGCCCCTGATCATACTATGGTTGAATACTGGGGAACAGGTGGCTTTGAAGGAGCTTATGGACTGCAGGGTATCAACGGAAGTTTCAGTAAGGGTATTCCGGGGCAGGAAATTCTCACGAGCGCTTCTACTAACGTTGAATTTCAGCTCAATTCCTCAACCACACCTACAAATCAATGCGCATAGTCACCAACAAATACAATCTGCAATATACAGTCTGGTGCACAAATGAACACGAGCTGTATGACATGACGGTAATATATCTTTCCCCGCTTCCCCTTTTGTCTTTTGGCTAATATCCACTGACAATGATCCAGCGCGATCCCTCGCAAATGAATAACCTGCTTGGCCCCAGTGCCTCAGTCAATGCTACTCCCTTGGCCAGTCCCTTAAATCGACCCCTTTCTCAAGTCCAACCTCGTCTCGATGCCCTTCTCATGGTATTGAAATCCTGCAAGGCCAACCAATGCACTCAGCCATGGAAGGTCCTTCATCCTGACGGCGACGTGAATAACCTGGTGGATGCGCTAAATGGCGAGTATGATGCCTTCTATACGGAACAACCGAAAGTGGAGTTTGAGAAGTGTGAATTGGGATATCGGGTCCAAAGCGAGGGGCCACAGACTCCGAATTACTATGGGACCAATATGGCGGAGTGGACTTGAGCTACGTAACGGCTAGTATTTCGAGGACGGCATGCATGAAGAAGCGAACGAGACAAAGCGAATTTCAGGACACGACTGTGGAAATGGTAGGTTTGGCAGAAAAGAATTAAGCCTGGCGCGGCTGAAAGATCATATCTACAACGGTTGGCGACTGTCAGGCAGAACGGAAGTCGAGAGCCTCTATTTTTTCTGTTCTTAGGTGCAGCTTGCATTTAAAACCAGACTGCTCTATCATTAGGTTGCTAAGTACCCAGTACAAAGCCGTCGCCCCTCTGTTCCTCGGGATGTGCCGTCCAGACCATGTTTTGTAGTGAACCCCCTCTACATGTCAGAAATCAGCTGATCATTTCAAAGTTCCGCATATTGTCTCAATGTTGATCGAAGCAAATTCCCAGGTCATGGCCATGCGAGACATTACTGACTCGTAACCCAATCCCAATCTCCACCAGCACTCGCACTATGACCACGAGCGCCGTACGCGTCCCTCCCATTTTGCAAGAACCGGATCACATACATACTTCGGCTGGGCGTGCCGTTGGTAGGCGAGTCCCCTCGTCCTAGACGTCTTGAAAGGGGAGTGCACCCGTTTCAGGCTTCTCTACTCCCTGACCGGGGCTAGGGCGGTCGAGAAGTCCTTTTGGGGCCTGGACCTCGCCCCGCGACAACGGGACTCGAGCTCGATGGATCTCGTCGGGGACGGAAGCCTCACTAGCCTGCCAGGGTGAGGTCCGGTGGGCGCGAGCGTGCCTCTGTCGTCTTTGCCTGTCGTGCAGTCCAGGAAGGTCGGGGTGGTCGTCGTCGCAGATATGAGGTGAGGTCGGATACGGACGTGCCGAAAGATGTTATCGTATGAAGATGGGCTGGATCTCCGAGATAGCGTTTGCTAAGCACCGCATGAGGGCTCCGCGGTTTCCAAGCTCCGCTGGCGGCGCCGCTGCCCTTGGTCGGATCCTGTGGGATATCGGTTCGCGAGATCCGTTTCTGTGGGTGGTAAGTCGGGAGAATAACGGTATAACTCGGACCATCGGGGTCATCGCCACCACCATCATCGTTGTCAGCGAAGGGTAGCATTGTGAATAGCTTTTTTCTCCCCTGGTCGAGTGGAGATCAGATATTGTTTTGACATTTAGCTGGTGCTCCAACGCTCTTGCTGTTTTCTTGCGCGAGGCTCGACGGGAATCTGGACCGGTAGATTATGCCAGGACGACTAGCAGGAGGGGTGACCAAATGCATCTCGTGTTGAGACGTGCCCGGAACAGTAATAAAGGGGAAAACATGATAGTGATAAACTCAGATCCTGGGATACCCTACCAGCATTTCCCAGAGAGGGGCTAATATTCAGACAAGCTCATATTGTGTTTTAGGAGAGACGCTTTAACGACAGTATTTCGCCAAAGCAGACACGACTTCCTCGTTAGCAGTCGTGATTTAATGTTCTCGAGCAAGACCTAGCTCCTTTTACAGGGACTTCGAGATAGTCAAAGCCTTTGATCGCTAAGTCGGGGTTGGAATCATTGTCGTAGTTCGCCTCATACAAAGGTCAACATCTCAAGAAAGCGGCATAGAGATGCAAGTCGTGCTTGAAAACCTGTCTGACTACCTGAACTTGACGGAAGATAGTTGGAGAGGAATTCAAGTGTAAACAGTTTTGTATTCGATCGGTACCCCTGTAAAGGAGCATCCATGCTGTCAGAGAAGTCGAGAACGGTTCCAGTAGAGCAGCTTCTCCTGAAGCGGGTCTTGTTGCCTCCCTTTCTGCGAGATTCGTTCTGTGTCCAAGTATGAGTTGAAAAAATACTATTGGTACCCAAATTGATCAGATCTCGAGGAAGAGCAAGCAAAATCGCTGAAATGAGAGCGGCATTGACTGCATATCCCTAGACCTCCCACAAAAGCCAAACACTCTTTCAACCCAGACAGTTGAAAGAATAGCTTCCTCAAATGTCCTGGACATTGCAATTATAACTTCAAGGGACAGCATTGCCGGCAACACAGAAAAGATTCTGCGAAGCTCGACGGCAGAGCTGGTCAGTTCGCCGTAGGAATCGCAGTTTGCCATATGCCTCACAACTGATAGCAGAAGGCTGCTGATTCTTTTGCGTGACCGAGTCGAACGTATCAAAGTCACTCGAGATCGGAATGGGAGTTGCTTAGGCTGTATGCCTAGGTGGCGACCGCCTAGGCACAGAAATCTTCTCGATTTCGGTCTGCCAGCATCTGCAGAGCGAACAAGATGTCAACCGCAATTGCATGAGGCTTCGTCTGGTAGTTTGGATCCGAACGACAACGATTCCAGCGCTGGCGAAGGTGTGTGTCAAATCGACGGCCCTCCAGCTGCTCCAACTATTTTCAGACTCGACTTCCCTTGCCTCGTCTCCTCGATCTGGGTGTATGCCAACCAATAGCGATTAGGATGCCACTCTACCGCAGGAATTCCACTCGTGCCCGTAGAAATCGTGTGCACAACATCACCCGTTTCGGCATGATATATGTCAAAGCCTGAACTCAAGCCCTCGCCACCGCCAGATCCCATCTCTTCGCTCGCGCCAACAAGGTATCGACCATCCCATGACCAACTCAGGCCCTTGATGGCGCCGGAACTGGCGTTAGACACGGTGCGTCGACAGACCCAGTCAGTCGTGTCCCACAGGGATATCATGGCATCTGAGCCACCAACGGCAACGTATTTCCCATTCGGGCAGTAAGAAATGGCAGTGCAAGAGGAAGTGTGTGCGGAGATGGTGTGTAGTACCGTGAAGGAAGGGTAGTCGAGTATCTTGACTGAGCCATCACCCTGGGTTATTAGCAGATCAGAGGGTGGGTATGCATTTGAGAAGGTTGTTTGGTTCGTTTGTTGGTTTTGCTTGTGGCGTGGTAGGATTTGCGGTGAGGAGGGGATTGCTGTTGAAATGGGAATGAGAACGTCGCCCTGTGAAGCAGGATCTTTTCAGCTTTTGAATGGCACACAATTCTCCTGGGTCTTACGCACCTTCGTCCCCGCCAGTAACACACTTCCATCAGCACTCCAGCTCAAGGTAAAAGGTTCACCGCCAACCTCAAGTTTGTTCACGCAGGTTTTCGTCCGTGTGTCCCAGAACCGTACCGTGCCGTCTGCGGAACAGCTGGCCAGCTCGAATTCTCTGACAGGGTTGAACAGGACCTTTTCAACGGCATGTCCATGGCCTCTCAGCTCGATCTGGCTCCGAGGACTTGTGCGTTCGGGGTTCCATACTCGAACGGTCTTGTCGTTAGCCCCGGTTGCAATCAGTCCGCCAGAGGCGTTCCATGAGATGGTGCGATGGCTTGAACAAAAAGGAATGGTTCATCAGCCGATATGTTGTAGAAGGACCTTCGCTTTATGATGGCAGGGCTGGGTCGAATGCACTTTTCATGCAGACGGCGGGTACATACATGGTCGGAATGGATGTGCGAGTCGCAGGGTCGGTGTACTGCTGCGTCTTGAGCAAGCTGAATTGGGCTCCAAACTTGTCGCGTCCGAGATGCTTGCGTTGGCTCACGGGCGCCATACCACCAGAGTGCAGTGTCTTTATAAGTTTAGGTTGATTGCACAATGAAGCATCGAACAAGCACTCACAGATGGCAAGAGCTTCGGGGCGCAGTTGTCAAGACTTGGGTGGAGACACTTTATTTCCCACATGCCTTGGGAAACCTGGCCGGAGGTCACGAGACCCGACTGTGCTGGGTGTTCCTCACTCACCCCTCTCACGACTTCAGAGCCAGCATCTACAGCATCGCACCCTGATGCCAGAGAAGTCGCTTCGGCATCCACGAACCTGATAATGTCCATTTACCGCCCGACAAGTAGCCCAGACAGGTGGCGAGCCCCCCCCCCCAACAAGACTAGCCGTACAGTCGACGAGTAAAGGGGCCGCCTAGTTCTTATCCTTTCACATATCCAACCTTGACAAGCGTTATGTACCTTGAAGCTTCAAGATTTATATACCTAGTCAACTATACCGACTAGATCAGAGTTGGGATGTCGCTGCTGACTCCTGGGTATCACATTTTATCACTCCAAACTTTTCGCGGCCATGAATCGTAGATCTCACAATATAGATAGGCATCCGTCTGGTGCTCGCGCAGTCGGGGTCATCAAGGCTGGGGGGTCGAACCTGCCCAGGCAAACATCCATTCATTTCCATCAGGCATTCCTTCTGTCGGCCACAGAGAGTCAGGGATAGGGGTCAGCCCTGTCGGACCAGGTGTCATCCCAGTAGCACCAAAGTTCATATTTGATTGTGCAGGTGACATATCCTGTCCCCTTTGAGTTGATATGTTCATGTTCCAGGAAGACTGAGCGCCACCCGGGAACGCATACCCCGGTGACGGCTGCCCCTGCCCACTACTCGCAGTGTTGCCGCTGCTGGATTGATTCGGAGGGGAAGTGTAAGACGTATGCGATGAGGTTTGATTTGACTGGGTCGAAGGCGTTGGGTGGTTGGAATGTGGCCGTGAGCCGGCTCCATCTTGGTTCGAAGTGTCTGGTGAAGTATCTGTTCCAACAGACTGGATGGGAAAGCCGTAACCATTCTCGAATCCATCGCTTGCTGATGGGGCCGTCTGGCCCATTTGTGCGCTGGTATTCGATCCCTCCGAAGCATATAAACTTGGATAGCCCCTATCCACAGTCTGGGCGGTGGCATCCATGGGCCAAGGAGGATGTACCTCCTTGCTATTGGTCCCTTGGACTGATCCCACTGGTTCGCGACCTTGAGTCTCTCGTATTTCAAAGAGCGGAGAGCATTTCAAGGCGTCTGTGTTAGCAGGACTTTCACCCTATATTCAAGTCAGCTCTTTTCCCTCTCGTGTTACTAAGAGACAATGGGCAGACTGACTGGTGGGCGGTGACCAAATCTCCATCGTGAATAACTTGTCGGAATATCCAAGCCGCTGCCTTCGAGGTCAACATCGAGCTGGACCAAGAACGACTCGGTGAGCGGATTCTTGGTTTTCAGGACTTGCATCGCGGCAAGTAGGAAGTGCAAGGAGGATTTGACCGCTGTATCCTCGCGTCTGGATTTGAGATATTGTACGAACACGCGCGAAGCCACATAAAGACAGAAGGCAAGGAAAGGATTCATCTGGAAAGATTTAACAGCTAACCACACGCGTTGAGATCTCAGACGTACCATCGACATGTCCATATGGCTGATCATTTTCATGATGTTGGTGATTTGGTCCGCTGCAACGATACATCGACGTTTGGACTCTGCACTAATCTGAGCTGGCAGTCGATTTTTGTCGGCTTTGAATATGGCTGCTTGGTGCAGACATATAGTAGCGGTATGAATGTTCATGTTGAGAAAGACGGTGTTCGGATCATTGAGACCTGCCGGGAGGCGGAGAGGCGGGGGTAGGGACAAAGACGTGTTGAGAAGGATATTATCTAAAGATCGATGACGTTTCCAGAATGCGCCATTGAGGTCATGATCATTGTCTTGTTCCGATGGTCGATGGAGATGGGTGAGGTTTCGACCAAATATTGTCGACAAGAGAATCACACCGCCAAATGAAGAGAGAGAAGACGCGCCATCACCATTCAAGATGTCGGATAACTGCAGTGTAGGTTCTGGTCGGCACTTATTGAACGCTTCCTCGCTAGCCGGTAGATTTGTGAGGATCTGTGGACGATTTCTCAGTTTGCTGCCATCGCCTTGCTGGATATACGTACGTCTCTCTCGTCAATAACCATCGGCCACCCAGTCCCGATGCTGGCATATCTGTCCTGACAGTATGCCATCCAGAAGGTCCGCCGCCGTTCTTCGCGATCAGTCCAGTCTCGAGGAGGCGGTAGTGTCTGTTTCACGTCAAGACCAACACGATCCTGCCGATGTAAACCCATCATTTGCGCCAGCCTTGCAGCTCTTCCGATGCTCATCCACGCTCTTGGGAAATACATTACTCTAAATTCGTAACACGCAAGCAAAGTCCAACATTGTGAGTGGGCGATCGTGATCATTCCCTCACCGTGCCCTCTCATTTCGTCCATCTCTGCGTATTTCCGAGCCCTCGCATAGAAGTGTTCGGTGTAGGCTGAAAACTTTGAGGTAATGGCACAAGCGTGGGTCCACATGGCATATCTCAGGCACACTGCTGGGCGCATATGAGGCGCGAGGTCCATTGAAGCGAGAAAACGCCCTTTGTGGATCATGGGCAACGAAGGATGGATCTTTTCGAAATATATCTCATTCCTGAGGTAGTCAGCAGCGGAGAAATATGAGAACCGAAATCGTGATCAACCATACATCTCATCTATTACCTCTCTTGCTGGTAATGCTTCCTCGAGACCAAGACCTATCACCTCCCAGGAGAAGTCGTCGTTGGCGTTCATGCTGAAATCTGGCATCCCGACCAGAGTTGGATCGGTGAAGCTGTTGTCTGGCATCATCCCGGTCATGGAAGCATCGAGAGCATTGGTCATGTCCAGGGGCGGCATAGAGCTCAATGATTCCGCCGCTCTTGTGGGCTGAGGTTCATGGGTAGCAAGCTCAGTTGTGGCATCTCTTGTCTCTAGCAAGTTTTCGACTTGCTTCAGTCTGGCCTCTAAGAGTTTGACATACCCTCTCTTGGGGCCGCTCTTCTTCCGTTCCTCGGAGTATTCGCAATGGTGGTTGAGTCGCGAACATGTCCCGCAGCTCGGTTTGTTTGAATCACATTTCAATTTCCTTTTGCGACATAATATGCATGCAATTCTCTTCGGTCGAGGAATAGTATCATTCGCCGCTCCTGTCGACTGTTCACTCTCTCCATTTGCACCGCTCATGTCCGGGTCATCAATGTTGCAAGACGCCATCCTTAACTATTGAAACTAGCTTGCGCTCTTGAGTCCAAACGAGGAGATGCGCGGAGGGCTTGATCCGTGGGTTACCAAGGTGTATTTACCCCGCGAGGGAGGGTCTATCCGTCCAGAAAGGTGCGAGGAAGGAACATAGGTAGGGTGGATTGTAGTCCGCCACAGGTCGTTCGGGCGCAGAGAGTGGGAACAGGAGACCAAAAGAGGTAGAACTGTCTGAAAGAGAGCAACAGACGACAGTGGTAAAAGAATTGCGGAATGAAACTCGGGCGTCTGACTGCCGACAGCATGCGAAACAATCAGCGGGCTGAAAGCTGCCAAATCCAATTTGTCAGGAAGCGATATGTCAGAGCAACTTAGATGGCTTCTTTCCCAATGACAAGGGGCTTGGTTGGGCGAAACGCTCCAGGCAGAACCATTACTCAAGGCACCCAGAAGGCCCACGAGGCCCGGGATTCAAGGTTTGACGAAATACGACAAGAAATACGGGCCATGCAAGCAAGGGGGGAGACTTCTCCTTGGAGGATGGTGGGCTGATTATCTAAGTGTGTATAAATTCCAAAGCCGCCAATCCGGCTTAGTCACTTGTTCCCCGCGTCACATACCAGGTCACCTACCAGTAGGGGGCCAGTAGAAGGCCCAAGAGGCCAGGCCGACGAGTTACTTACGTCCGTACTATGTAGGAAGCGAGTCGCAATCAACAGCATACGCACAATACAGCGAATCTCCCAAATTCCCGCCTCGCTGGCCCTACTTGGAAACTGCAGTCACGTCAATCATGATGAAGTTTTGGTAAATATTATGGTCCCGAAAAGCAGGTTTGTTTAGGGCATACCAAAAACCCGAAAAAAAAAAAGGAGGAAAAAACCAATCATCTCGACAGTGTCTTGTGAGCTTGGCTGCGCAGGTTACCACCCGCCGATCGAAGGACGAGATTCACTCCTTCTCTATATCTGATTCTATGCTCCTTGATATATTGATCGACATTTATCCCTTCCGACCCTGGCTCGCTGCGCGAATCACCACTGCTTGTGCTTTCCTAACACCGTGCAGGAGGTAGCTTCCGCAGGAATTTGCGCCTGGGTCCATCATTTCGTGTCCGAAAGTAACCAACGATGACACACCTAATGAGAAGGTACATCACCGCCGTCACCCTCCTCGTTGAAGAAGACCTTGATCGGCAACCAAGAATCACCACATACCTTGAAGCGGGTCTTAATGTTGCTCAGCGCGTCCATCTCCTCTTGTGTCAATTCCCAGCCGTCCAGTTGGAAGTTGGCCTCAATACGCGACGGCGTCACAGATTTCGGGATCACGCTAGTACCTCTCTGTTTAGGAAGCATGATGTTAGTTCAGCAAAAACAGCGTATTTCGGAACAATTGCGAGAGACCGTCTGGGACAGGTGGTCCCTAGAAATCACGTACCTGAAGTCCCCACATCAACAGCACCTGCTGGGGAGTCTTGCCGTGTGCGTCTGCGATTTTTTGGAGGGTCTCGTCATGGGCCAGGGGTGAGTCCGTCGATCCCAAACAGGAGTATGCTGTGCAATGGATTCCCTTCTCTTTGCAGTAGGCCAAAGTCTTCGGCGAAGGCATGTTGGGGTGAAGTTCAATCTGATTCACAGCAGGTACAATCTTCGTGGAGGGTGCATTCAGAAGCTTCTCGAGGTTGGAGATGACAAAATTGGACACGCCGATATTTCGAACTTTGCCGGTTCCGACGAGCTTCTGCATCTCGCGCCTGTTCGTCAAAATTAGAAACAGAAGACTGTAGGCAGAAAAAGACCCGATATTTACCAGGTGTCGATAAAGGTCCAGTCATCATAATGCTTCTTCAAGTCCTCAGGGACTGTGGAGCTGGGCCAGTGCATGAGGTAGAGGTCGACATAGTCCGTCTTCAAGTCTTTCAAGGAGGATTCGATACCCTCGTTGACACGCTTGTGCCAGGGATTGTCGAGCTTGGTGGTGATCCAGATCTCTTCACGAGGAACGCCAGAGTCAATGATTCCCTGGCCGACCTCGGCTTCATTGCCGTACGCGAGAGCGCTGAAAAGCGTCAGCATATTAGACAACCCGCGATCAAGCGGACAGGGTTCCTTACGTATCGATATGGCGGTAACCAACTTGCAGCGCGTGCTTGACTGCTTCGCGGACTTCATTCGGTTTGGATTGCCAGGTACCCAGGCCAACACCGGGCATCCTAGCACCAGTGTTCAAAGTGAACACAGTCCTGAGAGGTGAGTGTTAGCAGACACCATTCTCCCACAATAAGCAAAGGAGTGGACGGGGAAGGTTCTCACTTTGTGCCCTTCCCTGATTGTGTAGTCGTCATGGTGCGGAGTAATCGAGGATTCAACAATTGGGGCTTTGCGAAGTGGCTTGACGCAGATTCGAACCGTGCGACAAGAGAAGAAACCCGGGATCCTTTAAAGGGAGAACCAGAGAGGCGAAGAAAGGACATGCGACGCGGAGGCAGAAAGACAAAAAATTTCGTCTGCGGATCAGTTGGATGATATATAGTTGCAGTTATATTCCGGTGGGCATGATTGCATCGGGTCTTGTTCTCACGCACTTCACCTCTGCGAAAGATTTGGAGGTGGGGCACTGGCTTTTGCAATGCAACAACACCTACGCAATACCCAGGTCCAGGAGGGGCGAGGGGCACGCATCAATCAAGCGCGCTCATTCCTATCGTCCTAGCTATTCACCCGAGCGTCATTGGCGGGTAATGGGGAGGGACTGGGAATATTCTAGATCACCTTGGTTGCCGTGATTTAGGCTGAAATGATCGACTGGGTCAAGGGAAGGGATAAATATCAAGATGATGATTCATGTCCACATGCGTTCGAGTCTCGTGGCATAGTATCTTCCAGGCGCGGAAGAGCGTTCCCCACTGCTAGGGTTGAGGCTCGGAAAGAAGAAGCAAGGGCACTGTTGGAGCATGCATTTTGATAGCCACGGCAGGTACCGCAGCGGGTGAGCAAATGAGAAGCAGAAGAACCAGGGATCAGATCGAGGGCCATGTCCGGGCCGCACGCAGGCGAGGACAGCGACAGCCATGGCGATATTAGTGAGTGTGAACGAACGCTGTGCTTAAGGAAACTCGTGGGAAACTCGTGGGAAACTCGTGGGGTGGCCAAGGTGGCTTCGAAGCTTCCTCCACAACTTGGGATTTTTGCGGAATGAACCAAGGAAGTTACTCGTAAATAACCGCTGCCGAAAACCCTTGTGCCAATGCATTGTCCCTTTGACATTGGTACACGACGTAGTTGTGCCCGCACATTCTCATTTGGCCGCAACCCATCGCCACAAACGCGCCCTTGGCTTCGACAAATTAACCCGATGAAAGAATTTATCCTGATCAGCACCGGCGGCTTACCACGCTCCTCGTGATATATATATCCGTGACCATGTCCCGATTCGTATCAGCTGGCACCGATGCCGACGCCGACGCCGACGCCGCTGGCCCTGCCTCTAACGATGCCTGGATGAAGGCGCAGCAACAGGTCGAGTCTACGAGAAAGCCTAAGAAGCTGGACGAGGGGACACAAGACGGGGGCAAGAGTCTTTATGAGGTGCTGCAGGCAAACAAGGGTAAGCGATCATTTGCCAGGGCTCTCTTGACAGCAGTCGAATAACGCGTCACTGACACAATTCTACTTCACCGGACCCAGCTGCCAAACAGGAGGCCTTTGAAGAGTCCATCCGGCTCAAGAACCAATTTCGTGCCCTTGACGATGATGAAGTGGAGTTTCTCGACTCTGTGCTCGAAGCAAGTCGAGCAAAGGAGAACGCCATCAAGCAAGAGACTGCCGAACAACTCGAAGTCTTCCGCAAACAACGCGCCGCTGCCGAACAAGCTCTAGTCGAGGGCACCGAGATCGGGAAATCTAGCGATCCTGTGGACAACGGCTTGTGGGCCATCAAGAAGAAGAAAAGACGTCGAGAAAATGGCGGCGAGTCGGACGCTGATCCCAAGTCGAGAAAGCTGTCAACCGCTGATGGCACTGCCGCTACTGCTGCAGCAGCTGATGATGATAATGACCACAACGCACTTGCAAAGCGTGCTTCGCCAGTTAGCCCGGACATCAATGACCAGATTACACCTCCGATCATAGCTGCACGGCCCCGAGCAGCTGTTGGACTCGGTCTGGGCGCCTACAGTTCTGATGAGGATGAGTAAGTCCAGAGGGGTCAGCAGTTGATTATTAGGACGAGGACAGGACAGCCATTTCCAACAACTAGGTGATCAGAAGAACCCCTCCCGACGTGCAAATGCGACAGGCCGCAAAGATACCCGTCCTTTCCCATAGAAATAATTTGACTGTCAGTCTTGGCTCGGTCGATCCGAGAGAGATCACATTAGTTGGTCGACGAGTCCGCCAATTGCGCAAACTGTTTGGCCTTCTGGTTGGTCTTTGGTTCTGCAGACCCAACGCGTTTTGCGGTGCGTCGCGACAACAGTTTCCCTCGCCACGCAGCGGGCGATCCCACCCACCTAAAGTGGGATGGTGTCTGCTGTCTTTCCGCCTGTGAAATATCGCCGAGTGGCTGAAGCGGCGAGAACGGGCAAACGGGGCGTTCCAGTGCTGCCGAAGAACTGCGTTGGCTTTGCAGCTTTCCCTGCATCGCGTCTGCCCAGTCCCATTCAATCATGGGACCAGCAAGTGGCCTGCTGATTTTGGGCTCCTTTGCTACACCAGTTGCGGCTCTGCAGCCATCGATCAAGCCACCATAGGATGCATGAGAAGGTTCCCAGACGTATGAAGGGGATCCCGAATCCAGCAACTGTAAACTCAACTCGGTCCCCCTTTTCGGGGCGTGGGTGTTTGCAGCTCGGATCACATCTGGGGGGGGGGGAGAGGAGGAGGGACAATTCAACGGCACGAAATGTGTGGGTCGATTGCTTTCTCACCTAGACGAGGGCCAATTGCAGCAGTCGAGCACGCATCCCAGTTATCAGGGAATCTCCCACACCATCATCGCTGCTTGGTGGTGACGGGCGTTTGGTTCCACAGGCCATTCACAGGCCATCCACAGGCCATCCACGTCCGGTCTTGCTGGAATGCTGCTAATTTTGCTGGTCTCGTCCATTCCAACCCATCACCAGCAAGCTTGCCATCTGCTCCTCTCCTATTTGTCTGGTGGTCGCTTTGCAATTGTAGCGGTGAGCGATTCGTTGCCACATCGATTGCTTGCCTGCATAGCCTGCGAGACTTGCCAGGCGCGTCATTCGTCGTTCGCCCTGCATTCAACACCGCCATGTTTTTGCCAGATGCAATTGATGCATTGAATGGAGTCGTTTGGGCATTGATGAAAATTTCGAACGGGAGTGGGCTTTGGGGTCACCTTGCTGCGGATATATTAGTGACCTCATTTCTCTCTCTCTCCTTTTTCTCCTGCTTTGCCCGTTTGTGTATCGATAGGGAGGGTGATAACTAGCAGATAGGCCTGGGGCGCGGTTTTTGGCTTGCCCACTAGCCCCCCCTTGACTGTTTCTGGTCCCTGGCCAGGCGAGTCGCTGAGTTTTGGTGTTGGTGTGTTGCTGGGATCTGCGCAGCCGCAGCGTGACTGCAAGGGGGCATTTGGCACCCACTCGTCTTGCTCGTCTTCGCTGTTGGTCCATTGGCACCTGGGTTTGGCCTTGCACACCAATGAGCAACTCCAACACCTTGTGACCTCCTGACGCTGCACTTCCCACCACAAACCATCGCCCTCAGTCTCAGTTCTCTCAGTTCTTCTGTCGTTCAATACCAGAGGCTCTGTAGACGTAGCCTCACTCTCTTGCTGCTTTCTTCTTCACCTATTTGTTTCGCGTCGTCGCTGCCGCATCAAATGCTCTCCCACTTTAATCTATCCGAACGTCTTGCCCAGCTACAGCAACAGCTACAGCATGGCGGCTCTGGTCGCCGCGTCGCCCGCCGGCAGAGAAAGCGCGTTATCTCGACCAAGGACCCCGAGATGGAGGAAGATGGGAAAGGCTGATCCCGAGTCCTTATGCTTTTACGAGATGGGGGAGGTTGGGTGTATTTCTCCAACACCTCGGATTGCCGATTGGCGCCATTACATGCACACCGCCATGCTCAAGACCTACAAGCCAGTACAACGGGTATGCAAGACACTATTCCATCCTAACGCGAATTCGGCGAGTGCCTGCCCCTGCTGCTGCTGCTACTACTACCACTACTTCTTCTTTCAAGCTTGCGATTCCACTTCGTCTCCTACTCCTCCTTCCCCCCTCCGCACTGGGATCTCGTCTGACACGGACAACAGTATTCCGTCCCGAACTATAATGTATACCTAAGAGCAGCTGCGCTGGTCGCAGCCTTCTTGCAGGAACTCGCAGATCGCCCTCAGCCTTATGGAAGCTGCACCTCGTTGCCTACCGGCCAAGACTTGGTACAATCGCAAGACTTTTCAGAACCTGCAGCATACGCTCGATCATTTGCCACGTCGGAACATCCTCGACCCGTACCTCTTGTGAGGGAGCCCAAGCCCCGGTTTGCGGCGATGGATGCCAGCATAGACTTTGGTGGCTCATACGGCTTCCAGACGAGGGCCAAGAAGAAGAAAGCCGGGAAAGCTGCCCCACAGGCTAAATGGCTTGAATCAGATAATGAAGGAAATGGGAACGCTGCTGGCGATGGTGGAGATGGTGCTGGTGGAGGTGATGGAGGCGGTGATCAAGGCGGAAGTGCTGGCGGCGACGGCGGGGGTGATGACAACAACAATGGAGGAGGAGGCGACGAGGACGAGTGGGACTTTGGTGGCAGCAAGAAGAACAAGAAGAAGAACAAGAAGAAGCAAGAGGAGGAAGAGAAGAAAAAGCAGGAAGAGGAGGAGCAAAGGAAGAAAGAGGAGGAAGAGGCTGCAAATCCGCTTAGTTGGGCCGACGATGCGAATAACGCTGCGGCCGAGGATGACTGGACAGCAGGTTTTACCACGAAGAAGGATAAAAAGAACAAAAAGAACAAAAAGGTACTTCCATCCGACGGCTTCATCGTACCAATACTAACTTGAGTAGGGGGCCGACGATCCCCTACTCTCCGCCCCAGACCCTCCAGCGGCGGCCTTCCAAGACATCAGTCTTGATGACACCGCCCCGAAGCTGGAGTTTAGTTTTGGTGGTACTGATAGCAAGAAGGATACTGGAAGCTTTGGTGCATGGGGTAAGACATGGGACTTCGGATCCCTCGACACCGCAACGACCAAGGCCGATGACAAGGCCTCTAAGAAGGAAAACGACAAAAAGGAAGAATCAAATAGTTTTGGAGACAATAACCCCTGGTCTTTTAGCAGCAAATCGAAAAAGAAGACAACCACCTCACTCGG